CCTGCTTGTTTCTATGGATATGTCATTGCTCTGTCAGGAATGTTCCACAGTATGATTTTAAACAGGTCTACCTTACCTTACTTTTACTGATTCCCACTCCTTTTTCGGACACAAGTAAAATCTGCGTGACATTTATTTTCGCTTATTATTATAGAAAAGAACTATTTACTTTTTGTGTTATATCTATGTATTTATGTTCTCATGTATGTTCTATGTATTACTGTCCGAATAAACATTCATTCATTCAATTATAGGTGGTGTTACTCCTCAAAAATGCCTAGCAAAACAGGCATTCTGACAATGAGCGGGATTGCCTCTTCACAGATCTGAGCTGTAACTTGGTCTGGTTTGGTCTCCATGAAGAACAAAAGTTTAATGTCATACTGTGAAACATTCCAGACAAAGCAATAACATGGCCATGGAGAAAAGTATTAGATGGACTCTCCACCAGAAAAGTTACACAATGCCAAGGGCGTAGGTTTGGTCTCAGCTTTGGTGAGGACATTGTCAGCTAACCCACCCCCCATATGTTTTATGAATTCTTTCCAAAAACACACAGTCTGGGTGGGTGCAAAATAAGTGAGAGGTGGTTTCATTTTTCAGTTTGCAAAATGTAAAGTTTGTGTCCATTGCCCTTCTAAGATGATTCTTTACCAGATAACAGCAATGTAGATGCTTGTAGCAGATTTCCCTTTGCCTTTTGGTGATGACATATTTGTGAGGTAATGTCCATAAATTTTTCCATTGAGTATTGTCAGTAGAGTCCGGCTGCTAACAGCTAACACGAATAGGGCTCCTTTTGGGAGGTGCACTTGTGGTGATAATTGCTCTTTTTCCAAGGCAACTCATTGTAAGGCAAGTTTAAATGAAGATGAAGCCTAGTAAGTTCCTTTTGAAAAGTTTATCAAAGTTTGGTGCGCAGCATTTTCCCTCACACCTGCTGAAGCTGTCGTCATATCAAGGAATACATCTCAGAATGTCTAATAAACAAAATGTGAACTAAAACGTGTTAAATTAATACTATTTAGTTTGAAAAAATATCAGAATAAATTTATATTTCTGTTTATTAAAATAACATGGCAAATATTGGTATAGGGACTATTTTGTTTCCCCAAATATTGGTTGTGGCATGTCCCCACCGTCACTATGCAAACCTACACCCTTGCACAATGCACATAAATAAGTCAACTAAATATATTTTTAATGTATTTTATATTCAAATCCTCAATATAGCTTCTTTAAAACTCCTACACAGCCTCAGACTCAAGAATCACTCAAGTCTCGACAAGGCCTTTTTTGATGATCTTTTCCAGTCTTGTGAGAACTCCCCCATGCCCTGCCCTCCACTCCACCACTACCACCACTACAAAGAGACGCACAAACCAACCCCTGACATAAACATACAACCACACAACCTTTCAAAGCAGTGGTCTTCATAATAAAGTCTACTGAAACGGTTTTCACTTCACAGATGTGCCATGTCAGGGTCAAGAAATGCCAAAGGTGCAAACCAGGGTTCAAAGCAAAATGTGGCTATTTTGAGGATCTGAATATAAAAATATATCCAGTTGAGTGTGGCTGTTTTTTTTGTTTTTTTTTTTTTTCAATCTCAAACAAGTTTTTGTTATTTTGAGTTTATATTTTGTTTACTACATTCCTTCTGTGTGCATTTATAGTTTTGATGCCTTCTGTGAGAATCTACAATGTAAATAATCATAGAAATAAAGAAGAAACATAAATGAAAAAGTGTGTTCAAACTTTGGCAGTGTATGCAATGTCAGAAAAAATCTATTTGTCATAACATTTATAGAATTAAATAGATCTGTGTTATTTTCATCAAAAGAGAATCTCTGTGGGAATATATTTCTGTCAGGGCATTTACACATATCAGTTACACTTGATACAATTCCCTGTTTTTTATTTTTAGCTGTAATCTCATCTGTGGGAGAGGTTTTCAGTTCTGTCTGCCTTTTTGTCTCATTTATTTGATTATTTTTTCTTGAAGGTACACTATGTAACTTTTCTGGTGGAGAGTTGGAGATGTTATTGCTTTGTCTGGGCCAAGTCACCGGTCAGATCTGTATAGAATTCATGTTTTTTCAAGGTATTTTTGAGCAATTCTAAACATTTTTTTAAATGATTAAATGTAAGACAGATGAAGAGCAGGTGGGTAGTATTCAGTTACATTTACTCTTTTACTTTTTCAAATAAATTTCTAGCAAGATACTTTTACTTCTACTTGAGTAATATTTTTTATTGAAGTAGCAGTAGTCTTACTTGAGTAAACCTTTCTTGTTACTCTACAAGTGGCAAAACCTCTTCTTTAGGTATAATGTACTTTAGTGTGTGTTTGTTCTTTGAAAATTTTAGGTTTTGTGCTTTATTTAATGTTTTGTCCTTCAAATAACAATAACTTCAAATTAGAAGTCAGACGTTTAAGTTTCCCACAGTCATGGAAATCCTGGAAAAGTCAGGGAAATTGTAAATGTCATTTTCCAGGCCTGAAAAAGTCATGGAATTTTGTCAATTCAATGAAAGTTTCGGAAAAGTAATGGAATTTTAGTGTCTTTCACGCAACTACAGTGTTCTGTTAAATTATCATTAGGCTATTATGATTATTTCCGAACGTATGCGCCTTTTGTTTAAAAGAGACGACAATAAATGCACTGACAGTATTTTGAATGTTAAAAAAAAACTATAATACCAAACCATAAAGTGAGTGAAAAGGGTTAACATTTCATATTTAGCCCTAAAAGTCTGATCAATTCTTATCATGTAGGGTGCCGTAAAGTAATGGAAAATTCACTGTAGGTCATGAAAAAGTCATGCAAAAATTTTGAAATTTTCAGTAAGAGTGGGAACCCTGGACATTACTCTTATGGTTACTCTTAACTGAGTAGTAGCTTTCGCAGATACAATTCTGCTCTTACTTGAGTAATGTCTTGGACTACCTTGTATTTCTGTTTGAGTAATATTATTTTGATGTAACATTTTGATGATTTTTGGCTGCTGTACACCTCTGGCAAACCCAAGAAAACTTGAAATCTACCACTTCATGGCATCACAAGGTGGAACAGAGCCTTTTGAGCTTTGGAGATATAGACAGACTAATAATAAAGGGTCACTCAAACATGTGTGAATGAAACAAAATTCAACTTCAGGTATGTTTTTGATGAGGTAACAGGATTACAACATAAATGAAAGCTTACGAGAATCAATTTTGTGTAACACTGGACCTTTAATATTAGAACATCTGAACACGTCAAAAAGCTAACAGCCCCAAACCAGTGGTACAGTGAGTGGTAAGACTGCTCTGTCGATGGTGATTACATGTTTTCATTAGTTGATGGTTTGAAATCAGGGCGAGTCGTTCTGGTGCCACACTGTTCACAGGGAAGCAGCTTTGGGCTCCCACTGGGCACAGCACCAGGTGATTGGACTGATGGGCCCCTGCCACTCCCCCCGTCTGAAGGTGGGCCAATCAGGGAGACCGCCCGCTGAGAGCCCCACCCCCCTCTGAGAGCTCCTCGTCTTCTGTCAACACCATCACTGCTTTCCCCATCACCTTTAATTCAAACGTGGCATTTTGTTTGAGATAAATTGGATGCTGTTTAATTAGTCCTTGCAAAGAAATACCAGGCAGTCAAGATGTGTGATAAAACAGTATCGATCGATGATAAGCCAGCTTTTGTTTAAGTGAGTGCTACACGTTTCTCTTTTTTAACTGAAAAGAGCTTTATAAAGAGGGGAATTAGCATATAAATTAAGAGCAGGTATAATCACCTCCAGTTCTGAATAGAAAAAGAAAGTTTATTGGAAAACTGAACTTTAGTCTGAAGGTTAACGCTTGTGCTTTGTCATTTTAGTTTGATCAAAATGTTTTAAAATCAAAAAAGTCTACAATTTGAGACTGCAATTTGACGATGTAGTGCTGCCTGCTGCTTGGTGTTTCATTTAAAGATCCTGTTTTATGCAAAATTGGCTTGTGAGCTTTAAACCATGTTATAATGTTAACTGAAGTTTTGTTTTGCTTGTTTTGCTTCTCACATATTTTAGTAAGCCTTTATTACTAGTGTGTCTACATTTCCAAAGCTCAAAGGCTCTGTTCCAACTTATGAAAATATTGCTTTCGTTGCAATGAATACATCATGCACAAGATAATGTCAAAATAATTGTGAGTTGCAAAAACTATTCAGCTTATTCTCCATATCAGTGGTGCTCAAACTTCTCACACCAAGTACCCCGGTAGAAAAGACTGTCTTTCTGAATACAACCAGATTTAAATCAAGTCTTGATTTGAACTATTGCAGGTCTAATTTAGGTAGTCTAAAAGTGGACTACATCATTTTCACTGGAATTTTAAACAAAAAATTATCCAAAAGAGGGCAAAAAAGTCTAAAACTGTCTAAAACTCTAAAACACGTGTACTACATTTTGAGAAACACTGGTATATCTAAAATATTACAGTCAGCAAAGTTAATTTCAATCAAGAATATTCAGACTTTGCCACTCTGTTAGAAGCTCTGTTACTCAAATTAGGCGAAATCTTTATTTGAACACAATCTGACCAGAAAGAGCTGACTTTGTGCGCTTAAACAAGTCTCTCACACACAAACTATCTAGCACTTTTTTTGTTGAACATCGAACACCCAAACAAGACCATGAACACTCGTATTAATCACAAGCTCCTGAAAATGTCTTCTTCAAATAAATGCATATAAATGTAGAACATCTCTAGCATGATGTCATTGCAAAGTAACAATCGAGATGTCCTTCTTTCAAAATTGTCCACCCTTACACCATAAGTGCTTTTGTCTTTCTAATTCTTCTCCTATGTATTTATTTATTACTAACCCTAACCCTTTCATTGACAGAAGTGGTTGACCAGTTTTATTTTGCAGTAAGAGTAGCTTTTCTTGAGTACAGACTTGAGTACTTTGTTATACTGCGTGAAGTTCCATTGACTGAACTCCTGTGTCTGTGTGGTGTTTTTGCTGCAGTGGAAGCCCTTCACTTGGGGACGCTGATGGCTGCACACGGATACTTCTTTCCCATCTCAGACCACGTCCTTACGCTCAAAGACGACGGGACTTTCTATAGATTTCAGGTAAACTATTCTAATGCATGCGACCCTTCAGTTAGTTAATGGCTTAATGAAATGAAATGGCTCTAAATCAATTAACTTTGCAACAGGGCTCTAACTATGTGTGGAGGCAACTTAGTATGCTAATTTTACATTTTCAGGTGTTGACAGCAAGCCTAAGAAATCGTGTATACTGATATTTTAACACGTTAACGTCTGTGAAAGTACTGTGTCACCACCTTCTTGTTCTCATGGAGATGCTATGGCAGAGGGTATTATGTTAATGTTACTTTCTTCATGGAGGCAAGCAGGTGGCACCAGCAGGTCAAGTTAAGGCTGAGAGTTGGGGTCTAGGGAGAGAGGTGAGCCCTTTCACAGTTAGAATTCACATTTTCACATCACATCACAAGGTATGGCTAGATTTCAGATGACATCGCATTCTATACACCAATAATATTTAATACAGATGGGGGGGATTTCTCAGCCTGATTCATCAGTCTGACCTTGCAGCATTAGGATTCGTTTGCTCGATGGTAGGCGGGTACTTCTTTAATTTAACCAATCGCTGCTATTTGGTCATGACATAAGTAATGCGCCAAATCCCATAGGAAGAAGTGCAATTACGTCTTTCCCCTTGATAAAATTCACCAAAACATTCTCCTTGTTCCGGCGTAAAATCTTTGATCTCAGGAATCATTGCCAACATAGAATGTTTGGACCGCTTTGTTTACTGTTGTGCTGTACCACAAAAGAGACCCAGACAGGCACTTGAGTTTGACGTCATGGCTTCACAGCTCTTCACTGATTGGCCAGTGCGCGGTCTATAATTTCTGGAGTTCCTACAAAGCGTCTAGTGTATTCCAATTCTTGACCTAGTCACTGGAGAGAAATTAAATTGAGAGGAGGCACTACGTGGTGCCAGCTTGGCTAGAGATTTCCCGGGTTGAATAGAAATAGAAATAATAGAAACGATCAGGTTCAGCATTTGTGAGTGAACCTTTTGAATATATCACGGCAAAGTACAATCGATAGGAAAAACTATCTCTTGCCCCTTAAAAACTCCTGTAACTGAATAAAGTGTGAGACTAGGGCTTTGGTAATTCCAAACTGAAGATCATTTTAAGATACATATCAGAGACAAGCAGTTAGCAACTCTACACCAGAAAACACTATATAGTGCATTTTTAATCCTAAACATATGAAAAATACTGTTGCTGTCGCTGTGTATAGTTAGTCTAGTGATATGTGTGCCATTCTTTTGTATTGATTCCGAACAGTCAATGGTGTCATACAGGCCGTGGGTCATATAGATTTGATAGAGGTTAAATAGTAAAGATTTGTATGTCGCAGCTTGTTATTCAAATGTCAGATTAGTGATTTCCACACTCATAAGGTTATTGTATCATGGTACATTGAGCTGTTTACATGTAATCGTATGAGGAGCCAGACCATATACAATATTGGTCAAGTGCTGGGTTAAGGAGTATGCTAATTCTCCAATCAGCTTATGTGATTTAGACCTGTTCCAAATCCATTCTGTGCTAAATAATTATATATGAGCCAACAGCTACATTAGATTCACCATGTACTTATAATGTCTCTTTTTCAGACTCCATATTTTTGGCCATCAAACTGCTGGGAACCGGAAAATACAGACTATGGTGAGATGGAAATCATGTGCACAGTTTTATTTGATTCACTTTTTGTTCTGAAAAGCACAATGTGAAAATGATTGGAATTAGAGTGAGCATGAGATTACAAATGTGCTGGCAAAAAGTTTTTGGGCATACTGATGAAATTGGAGACATTTCAGATCTACTCTTGGCTTGCCTGAGTTAGTGATTGTTAAGGCTAGTTATTTTTGACTGTTCCCCAAACATAAAAGTACCTCTTGCACTGTGTAAGTAAACTAAAAACTGTGGAAACTAAGCGGAAATTGTCTGACATTGTGTCCATGACCACGACACTCTCCCCAAATTACCTGTGTGTATCAGATGAGATCGCAACATTCTATTGGAAAGTTATACTTACAGATGGGAGCACCAAAAACTTTTACTGTTAAAATGCAGATGTATGTTGTAATACAGTGTGTTCAGCTTTTGTGCATGTACTTATTAGATATTTCCTGGCAAATTACAGTATTATTATTTTTTAAAAGTGTCTCTTGTCCTCAAATGACTCTGAAAACAACAATTTTATGTCAGTTATTGTCTCATTATTACCATAATATTTTTTAAGCAATATGTAGCTTCTATTATAACATGTAGGCCTATCAACTCTAATTTATTTATTATTTATTGATCTATTTATTATGTGTCCTTGACTTTCAACTGATTTTGAGATCTTGTTAGGTATGTATTAAGATGACAAATTGAATATCCCAATCAAGAAGCAATTTGGGAAGAAAAGTTGAAAAATATGTTTACAAGAAGTAGAGAATTATAAACATATATAACAATAGTGAGAATTCTATCCAAAGGTTCTGCAAAATTTACACATAACAAATAATTTTTTTCCGATACTTTAAGCATGATTTCAAGAAAAAAAAAAAAAGCAGTTTTCTTATTTTTGTATATCTGTAGAGTTGTAGGTAACAGTTATGGATTCCCTAGAGCGATGTCACGATTCCCAACCACAACTGAAACCTAAAAAATGACCAAACTTTGGGAACTTTATTAGTATTTCTTTGTAAAATCTTGATGATCTTAACTGTGTTTTTGCAAAATGAGTAGTCTAACCTGTCTTAGGCACTTTACTTTCCTCCAAATTGTGTCATTTTGTAATAGATTCTGTGCCGTGGAATATTTTTAACCTCACAAGTGCCATGACTGAAAACAGGCTGAAAAACATTGCCTTACAACCTGATATTTCACACAGCTTCGTCAATGTCAGTCCACAGTCTGCGATATTACAGTAGCTATATTTGAAATTCCACATACGCCCCTCTCTCTGATGTGATCAAACCCTAATAAATGATCTGGGGCTTGTGTATGAGGCCTGCATTGTCCACAGCGGCCACCCGATAAAGATTTCATAAGACTAAAAACAGCGCTGTCAGTCAGTCATGCAGCCCTTTTCATTTGCAGCTGAGCATCATGGGAAAGCTAACCCGCCAACAGCCAATTTACTCAAATGATGTGTGTTAATAAAAACAACACAGCAACATAATGAATGCCCGCTTTAATGGTCAGTTAAGAATGATAGAATGGTTTCAGAAGTTGGATACAGATTTGCGAGGTTCTGTGTGACTCTGGTGTAACTGTGCTTTAGTTGAGAGGATTAAATTGGTAAAAGCAGGGCCACTTATGTCTGCTAAAAGCTCTTTAACCAAACTGTCTCACTGTCTGTCTCGGTACACAGCTGTTTACCTCTGCAAAAGAACAATGCAAAACAAAGCACGCCTGGAGCTCGCAGACTACGAAGCGGTAAGTATAAGTATATGTCCTGTTTTCATTGGGTTTTTAATGAGTCCATATTACTCCATTTTCTGATCTATGTTATAATGTTGTGTCCTCATTACAAACATACTCGGAGCTGTGTTTTTAAACTCTTTACACCTTCACTAGTATCATTTGAATAATTTCAGCCCTGGAATTTCCAATCTCTGCAAAACAAAATTTAAAAGGTAGCTATTATTGTGAAAATTACATTCATGACATCACAAGGTTGAACAGAGCATTTTGAGCTTTGGAGATGCAGGCAGACTAATAATAAAGGGCTACACAAAACAAGTGTGGTAACAACATTCTAACATGAAGTTATGAAATTATAAATATTGTTTTTTTTATTTTAGAGCTAAATAACTGGTAACAGTGGGCTCCTTTTATAGAGACAATATTCTTTTCATAGTTTGTATCTTCACTATTTCTTTTCTTGTTTCTATTCTGATTAATAATAGTTGTTAGTGTTGCTCAGATTAATTCATTCAGTTTGATTTATTTTTGTAGAGGCCAAAATCATAACAGCAGTCTTTTTTCAGGTCTTTACAAAACTGTTGTCTTAACCAATAGAAATTTAACAACAAATGTATCAATAAAAGACAAGTAGATTCACCATATTCACTATTAAAATACTTCTTCAATTGGTACACTTGTAATTTTGCCTTAAAAGTGCATTATGTAAGTTTTTGGTGGAGGGTTGTTTTTATGGATATGTCATTGCTCTGACTGGAATATTTCACAGTATGACATTAAACAAATCTACCTTACATTTATTCAATTCCAGGTTTTATAGCTCAAAAATACCTAGAAAAACAGGTATTCTGACTGTAAGTGGGGTTGCCTCTACACAGATCTGACCTGTAACTTGGCCTAGTTTGGTTTCCATGGACCTAGAAAGGTTTAATACAATGCTGTGAAACATTCCAGACAAAAGCAATAACATCTCCATGGAGACAAGTATTCATGGCAGAAAATTTACACAATCTTTAAATATAAATATAAATCATTTTGTTTCTAATATCAGTTTTATCTAACCAAAATAATTTAATATCAAATCATAGTCATGTATCATAACTCATTTTAAACAATTATCCAAAGCAATTATCAAATTAAGCAGCACCCAGTATTGCATAGCATTTTATATTAGATAAAATGCTGTGCACATGGTGGTACATGGACCTTTTTTAATAAAAGTATATATTGTACTGTGCCGCATAGCATGAGGTACATATGATATTGCCTGGTTATTGTTGGCAATACACAGTATTCTATTGTATGGTGGATACTTCAATCTCGGTCCTTATTTCCCCTGTGTTCTCGCTGAAACCCAAGATGACTTTTTTTTTTTTAACACAACACAGCTACACAAAACCCTCCACAACAGCGCTCATATTACTTTATTTTCTGATCTGTTATAACGTTGTTTCCTCATCACAAACATATATGGGGTTTTGTTTTGTTTCATTCACACATGTTTAACACACAAACTTTCAAAAGAAAACACTCTGTACTAACTTGCAATGTCATGTGATGACGCAGGAAGTGCTCCACTGTGTTTTTAAACTCCACACACCTTCACTAGAATCATTTAGATAATTTCAACCCTGGAACTGTCAAAGGTAAAAGTAGCTGTTAACTTGAAAACATCTGCTTCATGACATCACAAGGTGGAACAGAGCATTTTGAGCTTTGGAAATATAGACAGACTAATAATAAAAGATTACGCAAACGTGTGAATGAAACAAAACACAACACCAGTATGTTTTTGAAAAGGTAACAACATTCTAACATGGCTTAAAGTTCACAAGAGTCAGTTTAGTTTAATATAAGACCTTTAAGTGAATCCAGTTGTTAGTCATATCCTGTTTTGTATGTGTGCCACGGAGATCATTAAAAGTGTGATCCAGCGGTACATTGCAAACTGTCTGTGCTGCTATAACAAACTCTAAACCCACTGTCACGCTAACATCTCTTCTCTTCTCTTTTCCAGGAGAGCTTAGCCAGGCTACAGAGAGCATTCGCCAGAAAATGGGAGTTCATTTTTATGCAAGCAGAAGCACAAGCAAAGTAGGTCCCTCCAAAACAAAAATCGAAAAAGGCTATAACGGTCACCATTTTGTCCTGGCTTTTAAAGGTGCACTATGTAACTTCTAAGGGGGAGGGAGGGTGCCCTACTTTAGCCAGCCAAGAACCCCAGAATTTGTAGACCACGCATTGGCCAATCAGCGAAGAGCCATACATTCTGTGTTGGCAACCATTCCCGAGATCGAGGATTTAAAGTTGGAACAAAAAGAATGTTTGGTGAATTTTATCAAGGGAAAAGACGTTATTGTCCTTCTTCCTAAGGGATTTGGGAAAAGCTTAATAAACCAGTTAGCCCTGTTAGCGGCGCATTACGTATGTCACGACTAAATCACAGCAATTGGTTCAATTAAAAAAGGTCGAGTGAACGAATTCTAATGCTGCGAGGTCAGACGGTTTCTACAAAGTGAAACCGGTTGATAAATCAGGCTAGCCCTACTTGCCTGTCTTCATGGAGATGTTGTCTTTGCCTTGAATGTTCCCCAGAAGGGCATTAAATATCTCGCTTGCATTTCTTCAGTTACAGGTGTTTTATAGCTCAAAAATACCTGAACACGAATTATTAGCATGTGCAGGCTTGCTTCTTCATAGATTTAACCATTAACTTGTTCCCATTGCGAGTGCCAAATTAATCTCTATACAATGGAATAATGAAAGCAAAACTGCAAAACCTCCATGGCAACAAGCAGGTGACCAGAAAAATTACACAGTGCACCTTTAAGTTGAAACGTAACAGAATACCTTTAGTCACTAATGGCTAGGTGTTGGCAGTGTATAAAACATCTTACTTAAGAGTCCAATGCTATTCCCAGGTGCAGGCAACATTTCAGCGCGCTAAAAGAGATTTCACAATAGAGTCTGAGCTTTGTTTCGCTGCCAGAAAAAGGGGTTGTGATGCCAAAGTCCTGTGGCGTATTCCTCTCAGTTTAGTAAATACTTAAACGACTATTGATTTTTAGATGAGATGTTCTGAAAGTGTTTTTTACCACTCCCAGGGGATGTACAACCTCGGAATAGCAAAAACTTATTCACAGCAACATGGTTTCACTTTTACCAGGAGACAATACCTTATAGAGCTGTTCAAATATGGATGCTGTCTGTTGTTGTGGGTTTAGAAGATTCGCAAAAAGATGAAAAAGATGAGCTGACAAGGATGAAGTTTTTGTTTAAGACTACATTTGGAACCGTGCTTTCTGGTTCATCAATACAGATGCATTTGTGTAGTATTCTCCTTGGTTTGCTCAACAGGATTAGGGGAGTTTCATAATAGTTTTTTGCCAAGGAAATTTGTAATGTTATTTTGCAATGGAACCTCCCAGAACAACTGAGGGATTACACAGACATAATAATTTATAGTTTTTTCCTTGTTTCTTACAAAAGTTTGCACCTCTTTTATGTATTTATTTATTTTTCAATAGTTGGATATTGTGTGTACTATTAATATATAGCATCCAGCCACACCATAATAAAATTGAAGAAATGTATGATGTTATGTATTACACTATAGATTATACACCTGGAAGATACATTTTATTAATTTATTAAAGGGGCCACATTGCGTTTTTCCTGAGCTGTTTTAAAGTTTTTGCCTCATCAAAAACATACCTGAAGTTTTGTTTTGTTTCATTCACACATGTTTAACTTTATTCCACCTTCTGATATCAGGTATATACCATCAATTCCGGACTATAACCCGCTATTTTTTCTCACACTTTGAACCCTGTGGCAAATAGAATGATGCGGCTAATATATGGACGGATTATTAGTTTGGCACATTGTCCATTCATATATACAATCTATGGTTTGGCAACATAGCAGATACAAGCAGCCAAAAAACGCTATTGTCTTGGCGGTTCACACATGGATCTAGGGTTCATATGAAGTTGCTACACTAGCTAGTGATGTTGTCAGTGCACTCAAATAGTTTATCGCCTTGTGATAAAATAAGTTATGATGCTAAATTAACATTAGTGAGGGGGATACATTTTACCAGTATGCTAAATGATGAGAAGAAATGTCTCAAACTTCAGTAGCCGGACATCCACTCATACCTGATCGATAGAACTAGTCCCGCTGCCGGGAGAGTCTGAAATCTGCTCAAATCCTACAAGATACTGACATGATACTTCTCCAGCTCTTGCAGGAGACATGCGCAGTAGATCACGGGGGGAGACGGGGGGTGATGTGCCGAGGAAGATGCTAGTTTGATTGTGTTTTGAACAGTTATTTTGTGCTTCATAAACACTTCCTCATGGAAAGCACACAAAGAAACGTAGATGATGCAGTTTTCATTTGAATGACTATTAATGTGACTGTCGAAGAAGGAAACAGCTGCTGCAAGTGAGCTCGGCTTCAGTGAGTCAATTATGAGACGCTGGCGACGGTAGCCTGACGAACTGACTCAATGCAAAAAGACGACAAAACCTTACAGGGGCGATAAAAGCAGACAGCCCAAACTTGAAAACATTCTTGAAGACGTGGACACCTGCGGCTTATATTCAGGTGAAGCCTGTATATGTACAATTTTAAAATGTTGCTGAAATTTAGTTGATGCGGCTTATATTCAGGTGCACTTAGTAGTCTGGAAAATACGGTATATCCTGTATAATTTCAGACCTGGAATTGCCAGTCTCTAATGAACTAAAGGTAAAAGGTAACTATTAACTTGAAAACTACTTCTTCATGACATCACAAGGTGGAACACAGCATTTTGAGCTTTGGAGATGTAGACAGTTAAGAATACTCATGTGTGAATAAAACAGCATGTATGATTAAAACAAAACACAACTCCAGGTATGTTTTGAGAATGTTGTTTCCTACATTCTAACATGGCTTAAAGCTCACAAGAGTCAATTCTGTGTAATATAGGACCTTTAAGAACAACTAACCATCAAACTAAGTTGTATTTTATACCACATCAGCTGCTTTAACACTCTGCCGGTCTTTACTAGTTGTAAACACTTGTATCTTGGCTTTTACAGAGTCGACAAGAAAAGAGACAAAATCGAGCGTAAGATTCTCGACAGCCAGGAAAGAGCTTTCTGGGACGTGCACAGACCAGTGGTGAGTGAAATGACTACTGCTACGACCATTAGCATAATATTTTGTGCCTTTTAGAAGTCAGGACTTCACTGCAAAATGCTACCTAGGGGAATAAAACACCTCTTTAGATCATTACAGTGTTAAGTATGTCTGGCAGTTTGTGGGCTGGTTTACGCAGAGTGGAGTGTAGAGGGCATCTGACTAGAGGTGGGACAAGACACAATTTCCACAATACAAGACGAAATGTGAGGTCCACAAGGAGACAACACTAGAGTTTAACTATTCCTAATACATAAATTTCACTATACAGTTTTCAACTTTGGCCTTACATTATTTTTGTTTCCATTCTACTACTGCTTTTTGGAGCTATAAGAGATATAACTCACCAATACGCAGGGGTGTAGCAGAAAACTCTGGGGCCTTGGTACAAATCATTTTGGTGGGCCCACATGTTGTCCAAAGAAATGTTTTTTTCCCCCAAACTTTATTTAATAACAAATTCAAATATCAGCATTGTCAGGATAAAATATTTAAATAAAGACAAAAGGCTGAGTAAAACAGACACCCACACATGCAAAAAAAAAACAAAAAAAAAAAACACTACTAGGTCACCTACTTACAATAAACATGTACCAGACTGAAAAAAGAGAGTGAGTCAGGAATCAAAGACAAGAGTCAAAAAATGGAACCCATGTTTTCTTGAAAGTCTTCATTGACCTCCCAAGAGTACATCTTACTTTTTCCATGTTCACAAAATATAGTAAGGGGCCCCTCCTTTCATTGGGCCCTGGGAAAACTCTACTCTTTCCCAGTATGTCCAATTTTGTCCAATCCAAATGTAAAAACTGTAAAACAAAAATCCCACAAGATCATTTTTCTCATGTGTGCAGTCTTGTGACAATTTTGTCTCGCGAGATTTTGTTTGCCTGAGCAGCCAATCCTCTTGTACTTTGTGTTTGAATCCAGAAATATCTGGAACTAGACCACAGAGCGTGGAAAAACCTCTGTCCAAACTTGAGATGATTCAACCACAGCTGCTAATTTGTAGCACTTGTCCTTCAAATGCGGAAGACATCTCCTCTCGAAAATTCTTCATTCAGAACAAAATATTATGTAAAAATCCACAGTATTTCTCATTCCTTTATGTAGATTTTTCTCCTTTTTGATGTGAATGATGCATGAGTCTCTCTGATTGGTTAATCTGTCTGTCAGTCAAGCTCTCTGAAATCAGATCGACAGGATCCACCCGTCTTTGTAAAATGTTTTCAAAGAGTGTAGTTCTGGCTGGTCAGGTAAAGATCTGGCTGGTCAGGTAGACATCTTGTACCGTCCCTTTATCCACGCTGCAGAAATAGCACATCGATAACTGTCCAAACAAATCAGAATCACTAACCCTCTTTACCTTAGCTCATACACTTTAGCCTGCATTAGCATTCAGCCCCCTCCCTCTGCATAGCCGTACAGGCTGCCGCACCGTGCTTAATTGGGAAATAACAAGTTGAATTTATGCGTCCTTGGAGCAACATAATCAATATTAATTCAAATTTCACAGTGACGCGCTGAAGCTATTTAGCGCCACACTCCGGGACAAGGCCTAGATTGGACCACTTGTTCAATCAGGAAGTTTTTTGCACACCGCCACAGCTCCAACTGGGTCCCCGCTGGTTTGGGTTGTTTTGTGAGAATTGGTGCATTCCAGGTTTAATTAGCCAGAATATGACACAGTGTCTATATTTGGAGTTGTGCAAGAGAACTGTCAAGATTCTAACTGTGCTGTTAGAAAAAGAAGAACTGATTCAACTAGAAATACTGTAGATTTTTATTGCTAACCGTATTGTAAACTGTAATTATAAACTGTAATTTTGATAGGAAGATGGACAATGTACAATGGTTTGAAAGGCTTAGTGGTTGAGTAATGACGAGGCAGTAACGGGTTCAATTCCCAGATTTCGTAGTGGATCTTTGTGGGCAGTTTGCCTGTTTTGTGTTTTAAATAAATAAATAAACCTAATACATTTTTGTCATTATATTGTAAAATTATATATGATACCGTAATAGTCCAATGAGGTTTGTTTGGTCTTCTGATAATTTATGTTATTGGGGTCTTTTTCAGACTAAGAGTTTGTTTTCATACCTGACAGTTTCGACTGCTCACTGCTCACTCTTCCTCTTCATCTGAAAAAAGAACCCAATAACACATATATGATACCACTAACTGGGGATGCACTAATCTAGCTTTTTCAGTTCCGATACCCATGCTAATAGCTTTTAGTATCTGCCGATATCCGATATCAACTGATACTAGTGCAGAGACAGAAAACGGCATTTATTTCCTAAAACAAAATTAAAATAAGACAAAAATTATCCAAATGTGTTATTAGCTGTTATTTATCAAAAGTAACAACAGCTCTGTATAAATAAAAGTTCAAACAAGACTATGACTATGAGACTTTCTGGTCCAACTAGAACCAGTAAATAGTCTTATTCTATCAATTTAAAGGTCCATCCAGGATATTGGCATAACCGATATTTGGAAGCCGATATCCAATCCACCAAATTTTTCAGTATCAGTGCAATAACTATTACCAGTATCAGACCAGTGCATCCCTGTCGCTAACATCAACATTGAACAACAACAATATTACTATTTCTGTTACTATTACTACTACTTCAAATGCTTGGTTGTATGAGAGTGGATTTTTTATATTTTTCTTCAGTTGCTACCTATTCCAACTTTTTTTTTTTAAGTTCAATGTTAGCTGCTAGTTTATCTTTACATTTAAAAAAAACAAGTGGAAAGTAAACTAGAAAGTATGCAGTCACACATAATTATTTCTGTCTGAAGGTAAAAGAAAAAAAAAAATCCAATTAATTAAGCGACTCCTCCAGTACACTGGAAGCTCCTGGTATCAAAATCAAAGCCATTTTAACATCTGCTGTCATTTGTGCCTCCCCCCTCAGCCTGGATGTGTAAACACAACAGAAGTCGACATTAAGAAGTCCTCCAGAATGAAAAACCCTCACAAAACCAGAAAGGTACGCTTCATTTTCACTCTCTAATGTCCCGTTTGATGGCAGAGCGTCTCACATGAAAAGCGTCTGTTTGATGATGTGTGGAGTAACTGTAGCTCACATAGTCATTTGCTTTGTCTGTCTTTGATCCTGTGCAGTCAGTGTACGGGCTGCAGAATGACATCCGCACTCACAGTCCCACCCACACCCCCGCTCCCGAGGCCAAGCAGCCCACAGAGGAGGAGCTGCAGGAACAGGTCAGAACACCAGGGGGCGCACTTGCCTGAATAGAAGTGTAGTAATAGAGTTGCGCTGAAGAAAGTTGGTGATTTATTACCATATGTAGGCCTATAGCTATAATCAGTGGTTAAAATCTAGTGCAATTGTTGATGTGTTTATATTTATACACAGAAGTAAAAGGAAATAAAGTAAAATTTATCCAAATACCTTCACTCATCTATTTATAATCAGTAATGCAGTGACACTTTGCACAGTTTGTTTTATTTCATCGTTTAAAGGTGCATTGCGCAACTTTTCTGCCTAGAACGTTCCATGGTATGACATTAAACATATAGCATTTATACTGTGGAAAATTCTAAACTAAGCAATAACATTTCCATAGAGACAAGTAAGTTGCGACCCTCCACTTGAAAAGTTGCGCAGTGTACCTTTAAAGTTTTTGCATGTTTTTATGTAATACTTATTTTTTTTAGAAAGCACTCTATAAATAAAGACTGATTCATTGACAATATCATAAATAATAAATAAAATATATAAATAATCTCTACTGTATTCAAAGTTTGTATTAACACACAACTACTGTAAGTACTACTACAACTACTACTCGCAGTACTACTTCAATTCTTTCTCACAGAGCAAATGCTAATGCTATCATTGCACTTCTACACCCATATATTATAATTAAATACAAGTACTGTATGGTCAAAGGAAATATTACTAAGATTTTTTTTTTTCAGTTTTAAAATCAGACAAAAAATTATAAGCAGCTAAATTATAATGTATTCTTTATTATCATAGATTAGGTAAATAGAGGAAGATGATACAAATCTCAAATCTAAGTCTTTTTCCCCTTTTTGATTCCTATAGATAACCTTTTGGCAATTGCAATTAGACCGGCATCGACTGAAAATGTCCAAAGTGGCAGAGAGGTGAGTGTGTGTGTTTGAACTGGCCATTGATTGCTGCATTGAGCCTTTAAATGGGCCGATGTGTGAGGAATTAAGAGATCACATGACCTTCAGGACAGCCTGGTTGAGCACAATGCCTTTAGCGATGTCAGGGCGCTGCTTTTGTGCTGTGTGGTCCTCTGATGGAGCAGTATTCAGCACAAGCTTGTTTGGTTGTGTCCAGTGAATCAATTCCTAAGAAACTCTTTTCAGTTCACTGCAGAATGAGAGATACTTCTTTCATTTAAATTATGCTAAATTTCCCAGTTTGAACTCAAAACTAATTAACTGAGGTCTTTGCGCTTTGAACCATGTAATGTTGTTTACACAGAAAAATTTATGTTTTTTTCTCTCTATAAAAATTTAAGTTTTATAAATGTAGACATTTGGAATCAGAAAACTCTGTAACATTTTAAAATAACTATACCCTTTAATTATTGTAGGTATCATTTACAGTAAATGATTTGTTCATTAGGTTCTATATTACACAAAGTTGACCTCCTCAAAAACATACCTGGAGTTCTGTTTTGTTTTATTTACACACATTTCAGTAACCCTACATTTTTAGACTGTCTACATCTCCAAAGCTCAAAATGCTCTGTTTTCCCTCATGAGGTCCTCAAGTGGTAGTTTTCAAGTTAACGGCTACTTTTTACCTTTTTCTTAATAGAGATTGGCAGTCCCAGGTCTGAAATTATCCATATGATTCTAGTGAAGGTGTTTGGAGTTTAAAAACAGTGGAGCATTTCCTGCATTACCACATGACATCACAAGGTGTCATGTGGTCAAGTGTTTTATGTTATCGAGAAGAACTCAGTCTAAATATGCAAGATTTGTGTGTTTGTGATGTGTTTGTCAGAAATATGGGCCCTTTAAGTCTTAAGATTTAAGTAAATAAGGTGTAGTTATAATAAAATGGCAACAAAAACTCCTGGAGAATGTTTTCAGTCCATACATCTTCCCTTGTTTTCATTTCAGCAATTAAAAATGCCACAATGAATCATCCAGCTGTTAGTGTCATATCATGTTGCTAATAGCTGTAAAAGCAACTATTACCAGCTAAGAGCAACAGAGGCTCAAATTATAAATGTAATATAATACAAAATAGTACCTGAAAAATAACAGAAATGAGTGCATGCATACTAACTGTCTTTTCTCCTCAAAACCAGTTTAATTGGCTACACAGAGCAGTACCTTGAATATGACCCTTTTCTCACGCCTCCCGACCCGTCCAACCCCTGGATCTCAGATGACACCACACTATGGGAACTGGAAGCAAGGTGACAAATTAAAAATAGTGTAAATTATTACACGCATATGCTTTGTTTTTCTTACCTCTGTGTTGTTGTTGTTGTGGACAGTAAGGAGCCAGGGCAGCAGAGGGTAAAGCGGTGGGCTTTTGGAATCGATGAAGTCCTTAAAGATCCCGTGGGGAGAGAGCAGTTTCTCAAGTTCCTGGAGTCAGAGTTCAGCTCAGAGAATCTCAGGTAAACAAACTACTTGGTGTGTTTTTATTGATTTTAGAGAATACTGCAATCTGTGGACTAAATAATCCTGTGGAGATTTTATATTTTTACCTCACTATAGCAGATTCACAAGACTTTTTAGGTTCAAGAAGGCTCACAAAAGAAAATGTGTAGAATAGTCAAGTCAAATACATAAACCTGTTGCTAGTTTAAGTATATAGACTTAATGGTGATGATGCTACTACATATAATAAGTTTGCTTTAGGCTACGTTGAAACAAATCACCGTATCCAGACACACTGTTTCTGTGTCCGCAAGCCTTCCCTATCCACACACCTTCCATCGCATACTTCTATCTCGACATCAAAGTTTGTCAAGGTGAAGAAGATCAAGGTGCTCCAGGACTGGCCAGCCCAGTCACCAGACATGAACATCATTGAGCAGGTCTGGGGTAGAATGAAAGAGGAAGCATGGAAGGCAAAACCAAAGAATCTTGATGAACTCTGAGAGGCATGTAAGACGCTTTCTTTGCTATTCCTGATGACTTCATCAACAAATTGTATCAATCATTGTGGAACCGCATGGATGTAGTCCTTGAAGCTCATGGAAGTCATACAAGATATTAAATATGGATCTCACAGCACCACTACTTAATTCACTGATGTTATGCAACATATTTTTGTATTTGAAGTAAATTATTTGTTCAATTTTCTGTAGGCGACAAAACTTTTGTCTTGCCAAAATCTGACCTTTCTGTGTTCATTAAATGATCAATCTTTTTTCAGGGAAGCAAATTTATTTTAGTATATTGAGCATAATTTGGGAGGGTATTAGCTTTCATATGAGACATTTCTAAAACCAATCGATTAATTTAAAGTCAAGTTATAAGCTTTTGTTTCTACAAAATGGATAAGCGACAAGACTTTTGTCAGGGACTGTATATGAATAGACATATATTCTAGCCTCTTAGTTTGAATTACTTTGCAGCGCATAGACATACGTCAGTGTATCAACATCTTCAGGCATCCATTCGGTGCCAGATCAGATCTGTACTCAGATGAATTCATGGGAGCTGGCGGCACCAGATTGTTCCATCTCTGGAGTCATTTTCCATTGGATTAGTGTGGATGAACACTGCATCCACATTGAAAACGACTTGAATACATACTAGTGTGGATGGGGCCTTAGTGTAGTGTTATCTATGTTGATCTATGTACTTTTCCTGGTAAATAGTCCACCACCTGCTTGTCTCCATCGAAATGATATAACTTGTTCCACAGCATGGCATTAATCTTGTCAAATTAATATATCTGCTGTATATCTGGTTTAATTGCTCACAATCATACAGTACTTTACATTTATTATTGTGAGCTGGCACTCCTCTCCACAGATCTGACCTGTAACTTGACCTGATGGCATCTCCTTCTTGTTTCCATTGATACTGATAAGTTTAATGCCATACTGTGACACTTTCCAGGCAAGTTTCACAGTATGGAGACAAACAAGTGGCTGTCTCTCCACCAGAAAAGTTACAGAGTGAAGCTTTAAGTCCAAAAATAATTACTCATCTATTGTCAGCACAACCCAAACAAACATGCAGCATGATGTTATGTAACACAAGTGATTAACACATCCTCTTTTAAAACATAAAAACACCGTCTTCTGCCAGCTCTGTTTGCACATTTTGAGTCTGGCCTAGAATAACCTTGAACGTTTTTTTTGATTGAGAAAGCCTCTGTTAGCATGTGGACTAGTCTCAGAGGTCAAAAGAGGACAGCACAAACTCAAGTATTTGTTCAAACTGAGCCTGGAGCTTTTTAGAAGGCGAGGTGCAATGATTTTCTGTGCCTCACCCCGAGTTGATGTGTGCTCCCACTTTGTTATTAATGCAACACACACGCACGCACACACATACGCACACGCACAGCAGCACACGTGACAGACTGAGGAGGATTTAATTCGCACTTTACCGACCTCCCACGGACACACACTCAAACACACACACACTGGGTTTGTGTGCTTTGTGTGGACTTTGCATTGTTTTGCTTGTATTTCCTGGAGGCTGCTCATTACCTTAACCATAACTGGCTACGACTTAACTAACCTTAAAGACGCATTGTGTAACTTTTGTGGTGGAGCGTTAATCAAATGCTTTTCTCCGTGGAGATGTTATTGCTTTATCTGGAATGTTTCACAGTATGGCATTAAACCTTTTTATCTTCATGGAGACCAAACCAGACCAAGTTGCAGGTGAGATCTGTGGAGAGGGTCAGAATGCCTCTTTTTCTAGGTATTTTTGAGCTACAAAACCACCAGTAATTTAGGAAATGTAAGGGAGAGCTGTTTATACTGTGGAACATTTTAGTCAGAGCAATGACACATCCATAGAAACAAGCAGGTGACGGACCTCCAACCAAAAAGTGACATAGTACACCTTTAAAAACACTATACTCATAAAGTATTAGTCTTGCTCAAGATTTATAATGAAAGTAGCTCTTAAGGTAAAAATGAAACCACTCTGTACAGTCTCCATCTAATTATAAAGAGTTCTGATCATTTGCAATCCAGGAAGTGAGGGTGGTGCACTGTTAGCATGCTAGTTTTTGTTAGAATTACCATGACAGCAGCTCTGCTCTCTGCTGAAAATCCATTGTGGCGAGTAATTAAGATACTGAAGATCAATTAAGAAAGTGTAGAATAGCCTTTGACTGCTGCAAACCATTTAACGAGTTATGTTTTCACGTTTTATGAGAGAGTAAAATGGAGGTACACTGCCTCTAACAGAAATCCTAACCTTTACCTGCACCAACCCACGTCTAAACTTCAAAGTTCAACCCATGTCATTGATCTAATATGGAAGGATTTACCTCACGGGGACTTGATTCTGGGTCCCCACAAAGTGAAATGTTCCCATAAAACCTTTCAGTCCCCACAGTGCGATGATTACCCCCTTACTCATACTCACACACACGTACACACAGTCATGTAGCCCAGAGCGTTCACACCTGCTTTATGAAACTCACCACGCTTCCTCCTCGCCCCCCTGCTCATGCCCAGATGCTCAAACTTCAAACTGATATGTCATATTATAAGGTTTGTTTTAACCCAATATAAAGTCAAAATACAACAGTAGTCTATAAAAAAATAAAACAACTGGGCTTCCAACAGGCTTTCCATAACAAACTGTCAGTCTGTGTAGTAAGGGCCCGTCTTTCACTGTTTTCTGATTTATGCTAAAATGCTGTTTCCTTACCAAAAACATGTCTGGAGTTGTGTTTTGTTTCATTCACACATGTTTAACACACAAGCCCTGCATATTTAAGCTGAATTCTTCTCTCAAACAGAAAACACTTTGTCCCATGTGATGTCATTAAGTGTTAATTAGGGCTGGGTATCATTAAAACATTGCCGGTACGATACATACCTCGATACGTAGGCCACAATATGATATGTATCTCAATACAGTGATCTTTCGATTCAATATATTTCAAATTAATTCAATACGGTTCAATAAAAATAATGGCTAAATCGTGGCTGTGATGCTAAAAGTCTTTGTTAAACCACTTCAAGTTATTTTGAAACACACATTTTAATCATCAAAACAGTGGATATGCCAAATGTGTTGCATCAGTGAGTTTCCTTCCTCTGAAAGAGCAACAAAACTGTAACAATGTTACAAAATAATTTAGTAAAATATCCCAAAAAATACTCTTGGTGATATATCGATACAACAGTCCCTGATATCGATACTGTATCAACACATTAAAAATACAATCTATCGATATTTCAATATTTTTGCACACCCCTAGTGGTAGTACAGAAAGTGTTTTTTTTTTTTTTATCCATGCACCTTCACTAGAATCATTTGGATAATTTCAGCCCTGGAATTGCCCGTCTCAACTAAACTAAAGATAAAAGGTAGCTGTTAACTTGAAAACTACCACTTCATGACAACACAAGGTGGATTTGAGCTTTGGATATTGAATGTTTTATTTACCGATCCACAGTTTCAGGTGGGTGGGTCACGTGGGTGCTGTCCTTGGTTCACTTTCACGGTTAGTCTGTGTGAACAAACATATTTACAGACAGCTTCAATTTTTATTTCACAGTTTGTTATGCATGAATTTATATCAAATTAGAGCCCCAAAAAATATCGCACTGCAAGAGCGTCTTTTGTTCCTCTAATACTGTGCATTTCAAAGCCAAAAATTACATGATGCAGTTGCAGGTGGGTGGGTCACGTGGGTGCTGTCCTTGGTTCACATTCAGGGTTAGTCTAACATGGTGAAGTGAAACGCAGAGGGCTGGTGAAGCAGCTGTTTAAAAAGTTCAGGAGTCCAGCTGTGCTCTGTATAACTCAGGTGCTGACACACTCCGGTGAGAGCTGTATTCATGCTAAGAGAGTATTAACTATGCACAAACACAATTACAGAACAGCTCCCACAGACATGCTCATATGTGGATGCAGCGAATGCTAAATCACACCCACGATCACCATCAAACGTGGAACCACTGTATGCAGGCTATATGAAAAAAAAAAAAACGCTATTCATTCAGTGGGCTAGAAGTAAGTACTGCAATTATGTGTTATTATTACTTGCTACAACTACTACTTACAGAGTTACTACTACAACGCCTGCTTCCGTAACTTTTACACCCACGAATACAGGACGGATATTACTACTTCTACATATTCTACCACTCTCCCTCTTCTACTTCCAAGTCAACTACTACTACTACTACTACTACTACTACTACTACTACTACTACTACTACTGCTACTACCACCACCACTACTACTACTACTACCAGGCCTGTCGGCAGAAATTTAATGGACCTGGGGCAACAAAATTCACATAGGCCCCCCCCCGATATAAATTAATAGGAAGAGGGACCACTTCTAGGCCCTTAAGACCCTGGGGCCCGGGAGAGCAGACCCCTTTCTCTTCACCTGTCTACTCCCTTGACTATTGCTACTACTAATACTACGCAAAATACTCTTGCAAAATATAGTTAGCTTCTATTAGTCTTATGTTGATTTTTCAAGATGCCAATGTTTTGGGTTATTGTTTTTTTTTTAATTAATCTCATAAAGTACAAAGTGATTCTCTCCGTGGAGTAAACAAACACTTGCTACATCATAAAATAATAATGATACGTAATAACTACATCTGAGTATAAGCTTTCATTGACTGTAATGTGATACTACTTCTCTTTTCCTTGTTTTTGAAGGTTCTGGCTAGCAGTCCAAGAGCTAAAGAAGCGTCCGATCCGAGAGGTGCCCACGCGGGTGCAGGAGATATGGCAGGAGTTCCTGGCTCCAGGGGCCCCTAGTGCCATTAACGTGGACTCCAAGAGCTACGACAAGACCACCCAGAATGTCAAAGACCCAGGGCGGTACGCCTTCGAAGACGCACAGGTGAGGAGGGAATCCAAATACTTTTCCTCCAAAGGATTTCTGTGCACATCATAGACTGCGTATATAAATGGACATAACCCGCTAGTCACTGCTTTCCAAATAGGAAGTGAGCATGGGTGTGCTTCCGGCTCCATCGACTCTGGTTCCAGTTAATTTTACATTGAAATATTGTAACCCCTCTTTAACTGCTACTGTAAGCCTCATCATTTTGGTCTACCCGCTCTAGATGATTCTGGTGTTTTATTTTGCTATTTTGTCTGTAAATAAATTCCTATTCTTAATATAGAACTCTGCTCCACATTTGCCCCTATAACTGCTAGCATTATGAGCTTCATTTGACTGGAGCCGGACTCCTTAAACAGTCTATGGTGCACATGCAAATCTCACAATTTGTTCATCTTGAGCTATGTGTACATATTTCGGTTTAAATATTTTTAATGATATACAGTTTTTTTGTCATCTGGTGGTACTCCAAGCTGGTCTCCATGTTTTATATTTCATATACTTTGTCCAAACTTTTCAATTTTGAAATGGCCTTGCAGTCTTTTACCTTGACAAAAATGACAATGTGCCAGAGGGTGGGTCCTTTTAATATGTCAAATCAGGACTAAGAGATTGTTGTCCAGTCTTCTAAAACAAAATTTTTATTTTCAAAAATTGTTAAAGTTACGAGTTGCGAGGTGAATTGGGATAGCTATTTGGAGTCAGAAACTACTAGGCCTATTAGATGTGGTCTAGGGAGGAACAATGGTGATGCACATAGAGGCAAATCAGGTTGATGTAATCCAAAATCCAACAGATGTGCTGGAGTTTAAGGGTGCACTCACACACCACATCAAAACTAGGACTAAACTGGGACTAAATCTGGACTAGACCATGACTAAACCAGAATGAGAACAGGATCGAACCAGGACTAACTTAGACAAATCAGGAGCAAATATTGGAAAGTATGAACACACCCCAAATTGCTACACTGTTAAGTTTGGACATACCGTCTCATTCAGTGTTTCTCCTTTGTTTCCTTTTTTGACTGGTAGTGTATAATATATTCCAAACTCAATTCAAAACAGCTCTTAAATGTTGATTTGTGCTTGTCTTAATTACATTTGACGCCATCTTGTTTCAGGAGCACATCTACAAATTGATGAAGAGTGATTCTTACAGCCGTTTCATCCGTTCCAGTGCCTACCAGGAGCTATTACAAGCCAAGAAGAAGGTAAAGTAATCACATTTTTTACTTTTGCTAAATCAGCAGTCCCCCATGCTTTTTGCTATTTATTTTAGCATGCTAACTAGCTCACTGTGTCTCAAATCTAACAATCACTTTTATTAAAATCATAAAATATAAAACAAGCAATCTATTAAAGTTCTAATTAATTAAAATAAATACAACCTGATTGCTTTTAAATGTAGAATACTCAATCTTCTACTTTTCTAAAAACAGGTGTCCTCCAGTGAAGAATGGATTTTATTTGTGCTGTTTTTAACATGCCTTATCTTGAAATATGTATTCATTTTAGCTCAATTCCAAAAACCCATAGAGCCTTTATAATCCTGTGTCATCAGAATGTTCAGAATTGTGGAATGGAGGCAACTGGAGGCCAAGTGAACGTGACATAACATATTTTCAGTGATTATCTGATTAACAGATTAAAATGTGAATGGTTTTACAGCATTATAACAAAAAATAAACAACAGTTTTCAATTTCCAAATACAAATATTAGTTAATTTGCTTATCCATTAATAAGGATGGAAAAATACTACTCTCAAACCTCAAAATTGTATTTGAGCTTCACAAAAAGTTGCCTGGAAATCCAGAAGGATATCTCTGATATACTATGTCTGTAGATAAAGTGACGAACTGCAATGGACTCAACTTGTCTGTAAGGATTCTTAAATAAACAGATAACATGAAACACAATTGTAGATGTTTCTGATATCACTGACATGTATCCGAGTGATTTTCATTTGCCAAATTTCCCCAGATTTTTTATATTTTGTGATATTCTGAAGTTAATCCCAGTTGTCCCATTGAAATCACGTTATGTTCCAATTCACTTTTGTCACCAGTTGTTTCCATTATGGACTCTCGAATGTTTTTGTTTACAGAGTTTTAACCATAGACTGTATAAAAAAGTGGACTAAGTGAGTGTGACGTCACCCATAGTGTTCGGCGCCACTCAAATGAACGGTTACAGGAGCGAATTTGGAGCCGGACTCTATATTTTGAATAGGACTTTTTAACGGACAAAAGAGCAAAAAAACAAAACAAAACAAAAAAAACAGGATCATGCAGAGTGGGTTAATATGAACATTTTAAGACCAAAAATGACGAGGTTCACAGCAGCACTTACAGAGAGAGGGGCGACATTATTTGAATGTAAGTCAATAGGAGTCAGAGTTAGTAGGGGCTAGACGAGCCCACATGTGAACTTCCTATTTGGAACATGTGGGTTAGCGCATCAGCTATGTCCATTTATATATACAGTCTATGGTTTTAAAGGGTCTATAGGTATAACATTTGACAGGAAGTAGTGACGCTATCAGTGTGGTTGCTCGGCGATATTGTACACACACAGAGCCTACTGCTTTCCCAGAGTGTCATTTCTGAACAAACAAGGCCTATTTGTTTCAGTTGCGTTTCGGTTTTAAATGACTTTCATATTTACCAGACTAATCTCCAAACTTTAAAATCTCCCTTGATTCCCACCCACTTGTGAGCAGGGTTTAGCGGTTGGATGTTTTTGTTGTTATGAGTGGACTAATAGCGTGTGGGGGGATGAGGATTTGCATGGGGCATGTAGTTGCGGTGAAGGCAAAGAGGCTGTCACAAAATGATGAATTATTTAGAATTATAGAGGATATATTTATGCTTAAGAACGCACTCCCACACCTTTCGCTCCGTCACGCTGGGTAGATGAGTACATAAGGAATAGCAAGCGGTTTGGGTGGAAAATAACAAGCTAACAAGTGTTGAATTTTGAGCAGACATTTTGAGTTTTTCCCTGCTCACAAATAAAACTGTGGTTAGGACTCATATGAAATGCATGTGTTCACTGTGTTTTCTTCTGTTTATTTCACAGAAAAGTAAGAACTTATTCTGAAGGTCACTGCTTCCAGGTGAGTGCTTTTCTAAACAGAACACCATAGGGGCTATACTGGCAGAGTGGTTAGCGTTCTACCATTCCAAATATGAGCATCAAAATTCACATTAAGTGCTACTGGTGAATCAGAGGTGTTGAGAAGTAACTGAATACATGTACCAAAAATATTAACTCACCAGTCAGAACCACATGCTTTGACAAAACTTTGCAAAGATGAGTGGACCTGGAGCCGTGTTCTGTCTCCCTGAGTTCAGAGGGCTTGATTGACAGGCGGATTAACCAATCAGAGAGACGCATGGTCCGTTCATGTCAAAAACAAATAGTGATTTACATGTAAAACTGAGGGAAAATAAACAACATAAATCACTTAGAAACAGCACAGATATTTGCAGAATGTTGATTCTATCAATTATCTCACGTAAAACAAGTTGTATATTCTTCTGCATTTGAGAGACATGTGCAACAAATTAGCGGCTGTGGTTGGCTTGTCACAAATTAGGATTTTCACCCCTTGTTGTCCGCTTCCAGTCCCTTCTGGATTCAGACAGAATGTTGAAGGGACTGGCTGCTCAGGCAACTGAAAATATGTATTCAGAAATTCAAAAATACATACATCTTAACATAACATACATCAATACATCTTAACTGTACTGTACTTTCCTTTGGTGGTATTCAGAATGCAATTAGATTTTTACAATGAAAGTAATACACGGAGGGAATTAATCACACAATGTAAGCTTCAAACTGCACAAAATTAATGACAAAATAGAGGAGACAGCTTTTGTGGAACATGCTTGTGTGGTTTCTCCTCTAATTAGTGATGAATAAATGATAACAAACAGTGCAACAAACAAGCTGTTTTTAATCCTCTGTTGGGTTTTTAAACTATAATAAAAAGCTACTCTAAAGTAATGTGAAAGTAGTCCAAGTATTCTCAATACAGTACTCTGATTGATTGGGCCATGTAAAATACATTTTAATGTATTCTGTAAATCCATTCACAAGTATTCTTCCCAACAGTGGCTGTCTCACTGCAATGTGTGTTTCTGTGTGAGCCTAAAGCCCAAAGTTAGAGAGTTAAAAGCATAGACTGTATATATAAATGGACATAGCTAACGCGTTGGCCGCTACGTTCCAAATAGACAGTGAACATGGAGGCGACTGTTTCCAATTGACTTTACACCTCTCTCTGCAACTGCTGCAGTGAGCCTCGACATTTTGATTGTCAACCATTTCTATTAACCCACTCTACGTGATCATGGTGTTTTTATTTTGCCTTTTTTCCAGTAAATAAATTTCTATTCCTAATATGGACCTGCCTCCAAATTTGTCAATATAACTGCTATAGCATTGTGAGCTCCATTTGACTGGAGTTGAATGCTATGGGGCACATCACACTCCCTTTCTTCTTTATACAGTCTATGGTTAAAAGATGAAGGAAGATAAAATATTTAAATCCATGGATATACTTTATTAGGTTGATTTCCACAAAAAGGAAACAAAGCAGAAATGTTTTTGTCAAACCCATTTCCCCTTTCGCCCCAGGTCAAACCACTAGGATCCACGAGGCTGCCCAGTCATGTGCCATCAAGCTTATCTCACCATATCTCCCCCTCTCTCTCTGTGTGGGGGGGCGAGGGGAGGGGAATCGTGTCTTCATGTCTTCATCATGGTCTGTCCATCGGCTGAGGGCCCAGGGACAGGGGCCAGCCCAGTGTGTGTCTGTCGTCCACGGGATGTTGCATGTCCACCAGGGGGACAGAGCTCCTCCGTGTCTCTCCCAGCGTTCCATATCTCCAGTATTTTCCGTGCGGCCGCTGCTTGGCTGGGCTCCGGACATGGACAAATAAAACTGGCAGTAGAGATGTCATCCGAGGACTTCCGATCCTGTGTTTCAGCTTTCCATCAGAGCGTCGGGATCTTTAAGCCCCTCGTTCACTTCCAGCTCCAGCCGATGATGTCAGAGCGGAAAAAAAACACAAATAATATGGTGAAAAAAAGAATACAGCCACTAATTACAAGTCATCTCTTAACATAGGTCACCAATATTTTGTCACGCTATGGGAAGTGTTGTGCAGAATGAATACATGTAAACAATATATATACATATATATTATGATTATTCTTATAATTATTTATTGTGCATTTACTTTGCTTTGCATTCTTTTCTTGCACTACAATAATTAGCACCTATGATTTCCATTGCACTTGTAAAGTCACATTTCAGATACCGCAAAGATCCGTCTCCTGTCTCTTATGTAAAACATGATTCTTTGTTATTCTCCTGCATTTATTTTTATACCATATTTAAAAAACAGAACACTTTTACTTACTTGTATTATTAAAGTTGGCCCTCTATCTGTTACTGTGGTGTTAGCTGGATTCATTTACTTCTTGTGCTTATTTTTAGAGGTCATTACAAGATCTTTTGTCTGCCACTTTGGGTCTATTTCAGGTACACGCTGGATCACAAGTCGCACTCAGATTCATTAACTTCATTAAATTAACATAACCAACAAGGCTAAGCAACTATTAATATTACTTCAATTTGGGACATTTGATTTGATTTCCAGTGCACAAACAAAAGCTTAGAGTTGTTATGAAATGCCCCTCTTCTTATTGGTGAATATTAATTTGGTAAAGGGCACCATAAAATGTAGTGGCTCTCAAACATAAACAAGGTACATAATTGGACTTCCTAGTCTAAAAGCAGTGGAAGAATGTCACAAAGTAAAAGTAGTAAAGTAATGTATGGATACTTTTTACTTCACTACATTAGAGAGCAGGTATTTGTACTTCCTACTCCACTACATTTTGAACTGGACTGAAAAGAAAAGGTATTTTTATTATATCAATTAACATTTGAAGTTTTACTAGACTTTTTCTTACATAGATTTTTTCAGGCAATACTTTGACTTTTATTTTAGTACTTTTTTGCTTTGGTGTCTGTATGTGTGTGCAATTCCTCATTCATCCAGGTAGAATCCATGGCAAAAGGAGAAATTCAATATGTCAGTTGGACAAACGTTTCATTTTTGTCAGTGGTGGTACTTAAGTAACAAAACTGAGTACTTTGTCCATCACTGTCAAAGTATAGTACGTGACTGCCACTGTAATTCTAAACAAGAAACTATCCAAAGAAACACTGCCATAACCTTCTCCTAAATGACCATACACTTCCACTATCCACCACAAGAGGGAGATGTACTATTTCCGAGCACTTGGGACCAGCCCGCTCCTCTTCTCCTGCGCAGAGCGCAGCAGCAGCGGTGACAGATGCCGTTTTGTCATGGGAGTGTGTCATCGCTGTCTGCTCCGTTCAAGGGCTTTTTCAATGCGCTCTTCAACTTGAGGCTTTCCTTCTTTTGTGAACATTTTAGCTCTTTTATCCACAGACAGCCTAAGAACTACCCAGTGGTCAGCTTTGTAAGACCCACAAAGCTTAACATTATTATTGTCCCGAGGAATGCGCGCGTTTTCAAAGACAGCTCCAAAATGTGTGGGTGCATGAGGACAGTGATTTATGGTAGCGCGGTACTTATCTGTTTCCAAAGCGGGCTGCCGAGCTATATTATGGTTTTAATGTAGCGTGGTTTCAGTGCCAATAAGAAAAGGGTTTAAAGTGATAAAAACGCAGACTGTTTTCCAACACAAGCGCCCCGTATTGTCCACGCGCGTCACTCAGACACTTGGAGACTGGGATTGAGAACAAAAGCATTGTCATTTTGATAGGCCTGGCTCCTGATGGATGGGTGGGATGGTTTATAAAAGATAATAGAAACAAGAGAAGGCAAAGGAGGGACAGAGAGGAGAGAAAGTGGGAGAAGTGAGAGGCTTGGTTTGATTCACACAATAGCCAGGGCCAATAGGAGCTCGGCCTCCCAGTCTTGAGGAGGGAAGGGGCTGGAAGGCTGCACAATAAGGCAGAACAGAACAAGCGCTGCGAGCTCCAAACACTACAGACAGCGCCAATGGGTTCAATCTGATTCCACTCTAGAGCATCAAGATACAGGAGAGAACAGGGAAGAGTCGGGACACTGGTTTTAAGGAGCTGGAGCACCAAGGAGGAAGGATACTAAGGATACTACAGATTATGTTGCCATGGAAACCACAACCTGGAAGCGGACGCAAGGACCAGTGAAGGTGGACGGTCATCCATAAGCGCATCCTCGAGACGCATCTGTCATACTCAACTGGGAGGTAACCGACTTTGTGCTACTTTCTGGAAAGTTTAGGAAAAAGTTTTGAAAATGATATAAACTTAGACTTAAAATATCTGCCCCAAACAATTAAATGTAGTTTTGAATGAAGAACTACAGGCACTATTAACTATTAATGAAGTCATAAATATTAATCTAATCTTATAAATATTGACCAGTCTATTCAGCTTTATAAGTTTGTTTTTACTTGCTAGTTTCTTTTTAAAACAAATACATGCCTTCTTTTTTTTATAACTTTTGGAAGAAAGTGTTCAATCATTACAGTTTTCATTGTGCTAAAAATTTGAATACACAAAATGACAGGAGGCTACTTTGTATTGTAAACCAATATTCTATCTATTCTGTGTTTTCTCATCCATTTCTTAGAACAGACTTCACTTATCTCTAATCCCATCCGACAAAACAGAATGACTAACATACTCCAAATATCTTGCAATTTCCCCAAAGTCAGTTCCTACTAACATAAATTCTTAACACAGAATCACTAACATACTCCAAATCTCCTGCAATTTCCCAAAAGTCAGTTCCTCCTTGCATAAATTCTTAACTCGATCAGTAACTGTTCCAAACTTGGCCGGAGATGGGCTGATACTGAGTCATTGAGTGCGAATGAGTAAACACAAGGCCATGTAATTCTAACTACAGTAAGTGAAGAGATATTTACTATTCCTGCCAGTTACAAGTCTGTTCCCAGTGGGGTACAGGAAAAACACAGGGCTGGAAGGTGAGGCGCTGCTGGAGGATAAAGTACCTCCAAAATGACTATAATTACTGGTGCGATAGTTTAAGGAATTAGCAACGCGATGGGAGAATTAGCCAGCAATGACAGAGACAGATTAAGATGTTGCTAAGTTTTTCCAACAATGATGAATGCGCTGAAGTTATGGTTGACTGCTATAATGGTGGGGGTGATTGAAAATGCTTAAGTAGAGTAATTAAAAGATACTAATAAAAAGTATTGAAAGTGATATTTGCCCTTACTACTGACAATAATAATTACTGCAAGTACTAACAGGACATACTGCTCCCATTGAAAAACTATTAAAAGTTTAGTGCCTGAATCGGGGAGGTACTTTCTGCTTCATTAGTCCTATTGCCAGTATTAATACTAATCCAGTGACTTTTCTGAATACATAATATCACTTCTGCTTTTCTTTACAGCATTGTTTATATATTATATCTATATTAAAAGAAACTGTACTTTTCAGAACGCATTAAGTTATTTGAATATGTGTTTCTTGCATCGCTCCTTCAGGTATGATTTAGTTTGGCTCATGTTTGTGTAATTTATAAATCAGATGTTACATCCTGACTGTTACTTAGACTTAGACAAAATTTATTGACCCACAAGGGACATCATTTGGAATCTTACTCTTTAAGTTACTCTTTCTTAAGTAGTACTTTTCTCAAATACCACTCAACTCTTAACTTCTTGGACCACTACTTTGTACTTCTACTTGAGTAATATTATTTTGAAGACATTACTTTTACTTTTAGTAAAATTTTTGGCTACTCTATGCACCTGAAGCTTGTACTATAACAGTATTTGTACTACCGCCGCTAATACCACACTATTCCATTCATATTTTGAATCCAGCTATAATTGGACTATTTATGTAGCTAATATTAAACTTTAAAGGTGCATTGGGTAGTCAGAATGCCTGGTATTTAATACATGTAAAGAAGACCTGTTAAATGTCATACTGTGGAACATTCCAGGCAAAGTAATGACATCGATAGAAGCAAGCAGGGGATGCGCCTCCAACCAAAAAGTTACTCAACGCACCTTTAATGAATGGTACACTACATTACTCTAACTACTATGACCACTGCAGTTACCTACTATAGACATCACTGTAGATTGTCCCACTTCTACTACTTCTACTACTTTTAGCTCCTTCAGCCATATGACAATCCATTAAACACTACATAGTAAGTGAAAGTAAGTGGAATTAAGGTATACTTCACTAAGACATTATACAAGTTTGTCATGTATCACCTTGCATGTAAAAATGCATACAAAATTGAATGAGTGATTTGAATACAGGTGTGTGCAGTTACTTAGTGCTGCTTGTATGTGTGTGTGTGTGTGTGTATGTGTGTGATTGCTGTGAAGTGAACACTGTTGAGTTCCTGATCCTTCTTACAGCGCGGTGACTGCACCTCCTTGCACTGGCCGCACTCTGATGTCAAAGAGGATTTAGCGCACACGGACACATTACCGTTTCTTAGGCAACACAAAATGCTCCGCCATAATCCCCCAAAGACAGCCAAACAAGCGGTTGATAGAAGGCCGTATGACATGCTTAACACAGGAGGGGTGGAGGGGTGGGGGCGGAGGGGGTAGAAGTATTGGCAGGTCAACTTGGTGAATGCAATCGGTTACACAGAAGATTCAGTGTTGTATTGTTGTAGAAATGGGATAACGTGGATTTGGAGATATCATCAGAAACTCTGGAACAGATGGTGCCAAATGTTTTTCAAGTACTTACTGTCTTGGCAAAACTGTCATTTTATCTGTACCTGTAAATGTGAATTTTCATTTCAACAGCCAAAAAGTTGCTGCAAAAGATTTATAAATTGCTAGTGTTTCATTCAATTGACCTGTAAGCCTAATATTCTTGGTCTATATTAACCTGAATCTATCTTCAATTCATCCAGTTTGTTTTGTTGAACCTAATAATTGCTTCTGGCTAGTTAATGCAGGGTTTGGAAGCGTGGATTTTCTTATTATATAACTTCAGTGGCTCTACTGCAAGCTCCTCCTGAGTTTCATAGTCTGCGTTCACTTTTGCACACAAATTGCATCAAACTGGGACAAAATCTGGAACTGAACAATGGAAACCAGGACAAGGTGACCAGATTTTCAAAATTCTAAACTGGGACACGCCCGGGTTGGGATGGTTGGTATAAATAAAATTGTGAACAGAGTGCGTAATATTGTCCATTCTCGACTCTGTCAGTGTATTTGTTTTGCCGTATGGATATTTTCAAGCAGTTTTTTTGTATTTTAGCCAAACAAATGACTTATTGCTGCCTTTACTGTTGACAGGTATCAGACTGGTCAAAAAGAGACTCGTGGGACTTTTTTTTTTTTGCACCAGGCCTAAACCAAGACTGAACGCACCGTGAGTTGTAGAAATCTACGTTGATGTAAAGTCCCAAAAAACTGTGACTCAAATAATCATTCAAAGTATAAATGTCTATGGAACAAAACTATTTAATTCCTTATTGTCCTAATGCAGACATGTGTAAAAAAGTGAACATCTACTACCACACAGCTAAAACATGCACACTAGCTCATCACAATGCCATGACACAATATAGTGTTAGTGAAAGAGAAGATTTAAAGGTGCATTGTGTAACTTTTCTGGTGGAGAGTACATCATTTGCTTTCGTCCATTGAGATGTGATTGCTTTGTCTGGAATGTTTCCCTGTATGGCATTAAACCTTTCTATCTTCATGGAGACTAAAACAGGCCGTATTACAGGTCAGATCTGTGGAGAGGCAACCCCAGTCAGAATGCTTGTTTTCTTTGTATTTTTGAGCAATAAAACCACATGTAATTGAATAAATGTAAAGGTAGAGTTGTTTCAATGTCATACTCTGGAACATTCCAAGCAAAGCAATAACATTTCAACAGAAGCAAAAAGACAGACCCCCAACCAAAAAGTTACATAGTCCACCTTTAAAATGAGAGTTAAAATTCCATACTTTAGTTTTTTTGCGATGATGTCAAAAGCAACTCAGTTCTCTCCCAAACACATCTTGTTGTTTCATCAGTATTGCCAAGAGACATTCCCAAAACCTCACTGCTGCTATAACTTGCATCCAACCCAAAACAGACAGGACCATGTGCCCTTTACAAGCCTATCTCACCACATCAGTTTCCCCATGTTCCGCAGTGGCCCTTTAAAGTGTAAATGATTCTGTTTGTAATCCTCCGCTTCGGGATTATCACCTGATCTGGAACACAGCTCCATCAAAGCATCTCTAAGTACCCCTCATCCCCATCGGCAGTGCTTTGTGTTGGAGACAGTCAAATTCACATTCTTGCTGGTACTTTACAGCTGCTATCTGGTGCCGCTGTGGCCATTATAAAGATGGATTGCGGGTTGAGACAATTGGCTGTCCCAGAAAACCGAGGGGAGCCTCTTGGTCATGTTGTTGGCATTGAACCCTCAACCCCCACCCTTGGCTGCTTAAAGTGCATGTGATAGGTTCTCGTGTTTTTATCACTTGGGTTGATGGGATAGTAAGAAGAAAATATTTATCATAGTTTTACATCAGTTATTTAGCAGTTTGTCAAAAAAATAAATAAAATGCAGAGATGAATTACGCACAAGGAAGGCATTTTTCTGGCAGTTTCATTTAAAGATACACTGAGCAATTTTTCTGCCTACTTGTCTCCATGGAGATGTTAATGCTTTGCCTGGAATGTTCCATGGTATGACATTAAATATATATCTAGCATTTGTTCATTATGAGTGTTTCTATTGCTCAAAAGTACAACAATTCCTCCTGTGACTAGGGACGACTCTCCACAGATCTGAACTGTAATGCAGCGTAGTGCTTTAACCTGCTCATCTCCCTCGTTATAGAGAGGCATCATCTACTGTATACTATGGAACATTCTAGAGAAAGCAATAACATTTCCATAGAGAGAAACAGATGGCGGACTCTCCACGAGAAATGCTACACAGTGCGGCATTAAGGTGTTGTGTATGCTTCTATAAAATGCACAATTTAGACTTGTCTTGGCCCTTGTTAACATGGTTGCTAGGTAACAGTCATGGAATTACCTCTACTTGTGTCACATCTGCTACCCATGTCCAACCAGAAAGTAAAAATATAAACTTAAACAAAAAAAAATAGACAAGGTTGTTAGTAAAATCCGAAGTACAATATTTTTTTTTACTTTAGAGAAGTGCGTAGTCTAACCTGTCATATACGCTTTAAACTGTTAATGAGCCAACAGTGGAGCATAGTTTGGGAAAAGGGAATCCGCAAATACAGATAATAACATGGTTTCTCCCGGTGTAATTGGCCTGCAGTGAAAACATTTGATTGAGTCCTTTTCCTCTGTGTATCCTGCCTGTGTGTGTGTGTGGTCATGTGCATAATGTGAGTGTGTGCTGGGCTGGAGCTGCACGCTGAATTAAATGCGGTTCAGCTGTAATTAAGTGCACTTACGGGTCTGTGTGAGAGACTTTCTGACGCACCGATAATTGAGGCATCAGCTTTTGTTTGTTTTAACCTGCCTTTGATGGGGGCGTGCTGGGAAGACATTTCACATGGCTTAGGAGCGGTGTATATACATGTATGGGGAGATGTGAGGGGAGTGGGTCTGTGTAACACCTAAGAATAACACTACATTATGGAGCAGAAAGGACTTGTAAATGTGGAATTAACGTAGTTTGAATGAAAAAGTATACAGTGTTCAAGCAGTAATATGCACTTTTGTCAGGATTATTTTACACAAGACTCTAGGCATCCAATAGCAGTGTTTATAACTCATCAAAGGTCCTGTACACCAGTGTTTCCCAAACTTTTTTCTGGCGACCCATATTTTAAAAGTCACAAACCTTTGCGACCCAAGTAAATAGACATTATCCATAAATCACAAAGTAAAGGTGGATTTGACCATTATTGAACATTAATGAGGATATTTTATTGTTGACTGAGTGATCGTGTCTCTGAACAATTAGTATTCCTCAAGTTTTAAACATTGAAGCAGCAACAAAAGAACATTAAATGTAGCCCTGTATATCACAGACCGACATGCAGATTGTGATAAGGCAACCCAAAAAAAAATCTCTTGTGACCCACCTGAGGGTCGCAACCCAGTCTTTGGGAAACAATGCTGTACACAGTGAATTCCCATGTATTTGTCTTGCCCCAGGACAGATATATTCTAGAAGCAGCTCTTGAGGTCAGAATAAGTTCACTGTGTACTGTCTGCATTTGATTATAAAGCATTTTATTGTCCGATCATCAGAAAGTGTGTGGTTAACATGCTAGTTGTTGTTCGCTTTAGTGTGACGGCAAAGCTCCGCTCTTGTCTGTAAAAGTTGTGAAAAGTGCTTATAAACTCATAGGAAGCTCTGAAAGCATAAGGTAAGTGAGGAATAACTTTGAACCACTGCAGATTGTTTAAAATGGACTGGTTCTGTTTTTCTCGTTTTTATAGATCATTCTATATCATTCTTATACATACCATTATGTCAAACTGCTTCAACAAAAGCACATACTAAAAGTACATAATAAGTTACATAATTTTATGAACCTCGGTTCAGCTTATCCAATATACCATTCCACTGACACATTTCATTCCATTGTCATACCAGAGCTCCTTTGAAAGCTATAAATTATAATGAATTGTTGATATGCCCTTGGGCAGACACTTGTTCTAGTGTAACTTATGATTGCAACCATGTTTTGATGATTGCAACCATGTGAACAAGAAGTGACTTGATAATGGACAAAATGGTAAACAAATTAGTCTCTAGAGTTTACATTTGCCATTCTGTTCTAATTCATTTAGATCACATTACCATTTCTTTATATTATTAAAGTGTCAACATTTTACCCAACTATGGAACATTTCAATAGGACAATAAAACTGTTTTACAGGGTGGGTTTTTATCACTGGAAAGAGAAACTAAAGCTTAAGATTACACTATCATTATCCCTTGTTTGAAATGGAACAACTGCTACTCAAGCACAAAACGGACTGGGGCATAAAACATGGGATCGTGCAAAACACAACACTACGATTTCCCATTGATAATAGCAGTTGTTTTCTTGCTCAGCACTTACTGGTATGGCTGATTTCATTAGAGGTCTGAATTTTGGAACCAAGGTCTGTTCCAGATCACCGGAGCGTATCCCTCAAGTATTTGTGGTTGTGCTGAAACATAACAGTGTGCTTGGAGGACAGTATTAGTGAAAGCAGCTCCGCGAAACCACCGTCTCCTTCCGTCTGCGAGATGACGCGATGATTAGTGCGTTTGTCGACCAAAGATGGACAGATCCTGAGGCCGATGAAGACAGATGGAGAGGAATAAAGATGAAAAACTGACAAGAAGGAAAAGGAAAGATACATATAGGATACAGGCTCCCAGCGGGTCTTCAGTGGACTATCATTAACCCAAACCTCACTATCTCACAAGGCTAACCGCTAACCTCTAGCAAACTCAGCCTTCCCCCTTTAGCTTTCCCAAAAAACCTCAGACCGTAATTTGTCTCCAGGCAGAGATGGATGAGAGAGGGCTTGGCAGAATGCTCTAGGATCCTGCTTAGACTGAGAGGAGAGGCGGAGAGAGGCTATCCGTAGGCCTATCTATCATGCGCTTATATACACAATCACTCAAGTCTTCCCCGGTGGGTCCCAAAGGCAAAGTCTTGACGTGGTGCTTCCTCCCCTCCAACAGATCCACGGAGAAGGCGAAAACCCAGCAGACAGAAGCAAAATATGTTAACGGAACTAAGACAAATGGGAGCATGTGGAAGCGGGTGAGGAGGAGTGTAGTGGGGTCGTGACCTCAGGAGGCAGGGGGTGGCTGGAGGTCCCGGTAGGGGAGGGTCAGGTTGAGTTATTCTAACCTCGGCCTGGGTGTGTGTAAGCAAGCACGTCGAAAACGTTAAAGCAGTGGTCAGGCATGTTCCATTGTGATTGTTAGTTCAAAGGTCACGCCTGTGTTTTTACTGAAAGAAATAGGAAAAAAAGGAATAGAGTGATTTCAGATGAATAATTGATTTGATGGCCAGAGCAGACAAAAGCAGTAAAAATGAAATACAATCCAAAACGAAGAGCTAGTTTAAGGTGCAGTGTGTAACTTTTCTAGTAGAGGGTCCACCATTTGCTTGACTGGATGGTGTTTTCTCCTGAAATGTTCTACAAAATGGTATTTAATTTAACTATCTCCAGTATCTCTCAGCACACTGATGCTGAACATGATGAGAGGAGGAGGTGGCTTATGGTTTTGCTGCTGCGGTGGTGATGGGTTGAAGGGCTGGGCATGTGAACGAGAAGGTTGACATAGAAAGAGTAAAGTGGAAAGGACATGAGAAGAGATTGGGAGAGAGGTGAGAAGGGTGGCTACATGATACAGATAGATGATGGAGTGTAGAAAAATAATGACAGTATTCTTAAAGACATGATTTTGTCTTGTATCTAACATTAAACTGCAGCATATGTATATCAAAACGGCTTAATAATAGAAACATTGCTTTGAAACTGCAGAGCTGAGACTCCCCTCCTCTTTATAGTGGCATTTCATCGTAGCAAGCAGAGGAATTTCATGGTTTTTATTGCTGTACAATGGCTAAGTGTCATATATAATAAATCCTAAATGTATGACTCCAAGTCCATTTTTTTAACACAAGCAAGTAGACAGAAGTGGGTGGAGATAGGAGGTAGGTGAAAACAGACATTTCCTAAACTCTCAAGCCTTAAATGCAGGACTATACAAGAAATATGTATGAATCAATCAAAATACAACTCTGAAAAGCAAAAGATGAAGGGACGCTGTTACAAGATTGTTTAAAAGTCACAAGTCAATTTTTGCTTAATATGTTCCCCTTAAATTAATGTATGCATAAAAATCGTCTGACCATATGATATACGCAAATATACGGTACAGGAGAGTGTGATACCTGCACACGAGGCTTGATCTGCCCCAGTGCTGTGCTTAAGGGCAGAAGACAGCGCTAAACAAAGTGGATTAGGACAAAGTGCTTTGTTCCGTGTCAGAGCGAGTTGCAGGTTGAGGAAGAGAGAGAACAGACAAATGTGCACTGTAAAGAGGCGCAGCCAATGGCCTTGAGGCGCTCTGCTTCTCTGTCCGATTTTCTTGATGTCATGCGATGCTTGTCAGGAGCAACATCTGCTGAAAAGATGCTTGAGTGATGCTCAAATATGTGCTGGCACAAACACTGACGGCCCGCACAGACCCACTGACGCTCGCCCAATGCTCAGAAATCACTTGTGTGCATCTCTGTGGACACAAAGGCTGTGGCGTTCATGGTCACTATGGGTCATTAGCAGTTCACTTTGCTCTATCGCTAAAGAGTGAGGAGTGGACTGTGGAGGGGCACTGTACAACCCCCGCTCCCCTTAATAACATGCAGATGGCCCTCTAATGCCTGTTTACATATCTGTGGCATAGTTCATGACTAAAGTAAGCAAAGCCCTAATTATTTTACCCGGCGACGGGACCAATAAAATCAACTTCCCCTTCTCGTTATGGCTGTTTAAATGTATCCTTTGATGGCAGGTTGTGTTTATTTTTGAAAGAGTTGCGTAGCTGAGAGGAAAGCAAATAGAGCTAATGACACAGAGATGCTGACAAATGAAGGCCCTGCTGATGGATTCATTTCCTCATGTTGCCTGTGAGGCTGCAGACAGAGCACCAGCCCCATGCAGAACAAACATCATATGGAATGATAATGATATGTTTGGGCTTGTAATCACTTAGGTCTCACAAAGGTAGTCACAGTGAAAGATGTTTGTGCAAATACAAATCTGAGTTCTTATTTAAAAAAAACACATTCACTGTTTTCTCTTTCAGAATGCTGTGGAGAATCACTCTTCCTGTCCTGCTAGCGGGGGTCCTCTGCATCTCCGCGGAGACCAGAAAGCCCCGCCCACAAGGCTCTATTCCCTCCCCCTACAAGAGCAAAGGAAACCTGTCATCAGAGCGCCATCGCCTGCTGCAGAAGAAGCCTGAGGTGCTGTCCTCCAGCAGAGAGGCCCTGGTGGTGACTGAGAGGAGGTACCTGCGCAGGGACTGGTGTAAGACCCAGCCCCTGAGGCAGACCATCAGTGAGGAGGGCTGTCTGAGCCGCACTGTGGTCAACCGCTTCTGCTACGGCCAGTGCAACTCCTTCTACATTCCTCGCCACATGGGCCCCAGCTCAGGCTCTGGGAGGAAACAGCACACCAAACTACAGGAGCCCTTCCAGTCCTGCTCCTTCTGTAGACCGCAGCGCATCACACAGCTCACAGTGCAGCTGGACTGTCCCGGTCTACAGCCGCCTTTCAGACATCGTAAGGTGCAGAGGGTCAAGCAGTGTCGCTGTATGTCTGTGGAGGTGAGCGGCCATGGTAAACTCTGAGAGACGCACTATGACTGTGCATCTGTGCAATGGACACAAACTCGCCCATAGACTCTTGGGTGAACTGTGCTGCACGCTGCCCCCTCATCACAAACTGTTTATGAAGATGAGCTTCCGCACTTGTAAGCTAAAGCCATAATGGTTTTCAGAGGTTCATTTGAACTTTAAAGTGTGACATTATTTACAGTTGTCATGAGATTAAAACATGCAAAAACCCAATGTCACCTTTGTTTTGAAGACTTTTGCCATTGTTTTCGTTTGTTTACATACTTTAAATTTATGCCAATTCACAGCAAATGATGTTTTTGGAATAATAAAATAATATCTTTAATTAATGTCGAAGTAATAAATCCTGTGCTGACATTTGTCTGCTGCCTGCCGCTGGTGATAATGTAAAAAGCCTATAAGGCAATGTGTGGAGGAGGTGCAATGGCATATAGTGTATACAGTACAAATATTTGATATGCGAGTGTATAAATATCTATGTAAAATACATTAAATCTATTTCATATACTATATTGTGTATTTTATGTGCTGTGATTCCAAGAAATTACGCATATTTATAATAAACTTTATTCAATATTTTGGTCATAAATAGTTTATAAATTGTGATAAATTTGAGTTGTATTGCACAAGAAGGTCACATTTTCAGAATACGTGGGTTTGTACAAGCAAGCAGGAGATAACAACTGCATAGAAACACAATGTAAGCATGATCTTATGATATATCAAAAATTACCACACTTTAGGCGAGCAAAAATAGTCACAAGGGAACTATACAAGATCTCAGACACACTCGGTCAAACTCCTCCGTAAACACAAACCTCCAATGATTTGACTATATGAATAGGCCCCATAAGTGTACGCTGTCCTTTAGACAAATGGCTGCGTAATAAGGCACTGAATGTATGGCTCTGTGTGATCTTCCCGCACCACATCACAATATTTCAGACGGCAGTGCTTCTCTTGCTTGCACATGTAAACGTACCACTCACTAAAATAGCTCTGTATAAAGTACCAGAGAGTGCTTCTGGAGCCATTTTGATCGGCCCATGACTTTAATAAATCCTGTCAGCTTAACGGCGTCCTGCGGTAGGCATATTTCATTGGAATTACAGGGGCGCTATCAAAGAACACTAAAACGAGCCCACTTTTTCACTTCAGTATCAACATTAGATCCACTTTGGACTCACTCACAATAAACAGCGTCCTTAAATCAATTGAAAACAAACACTCGGGGTAAATAAATGTTGTCAAATTGACGTATGGCCCGTGTCAAGATTGTCTAAACAGTGCAAGTGCGAAAGGATGCTTGATGATGATTTTCCACCTTCTCGCGTCAGATCTTCTGGCCCAACTTGGCTTTCTGAGGGAGAAACAAAGCAACACATCTGGATTATTTAAAGCGCTGGTAAAACTGGCACAGTGCAGAGAAGAAGCCAGGTGGTGGTAATGTGGAATAGATCTCGAGGGTTACAAGACAATTTGCACCGGGGGAGAAGTAAAAGGTAGAACAGGTAGCAGTGGAAATGGGGGGTTTTAAATAGCGGTCATAAAAAACAGAACGTACTATTCCAGTTGCATGTTTGGGTTTCACGTTGTAGGAAGCCTTCTCTCTGGCCTGTTTGAAGCATTCCTCAGCCATTTTCACCCTAGAGCATGAAATCAAGATATTTATTTAAGCACACTCACTCTGATTCATACAAAAGACAGTATAATTGTGTCAATTGAATAAAGTAATCAATAATAAAAAATAAAGAAATTGTGTGAAGGTGGAGACACATCCTTTTGTGAAAATGTTTGTGCATTTTAGTTTTAAATAGACATTTTTAAAAACAGAGACAAAAGGCAGGGGATTGCATTAATCAAAATGGCCTAAGCTAATTTTGATTCTATGATAGAATGAAGTATATGCCTTTCCCTGCACCCAGTTGAATTTGAATGATACATATTGGACACAAAGTTTCCAAGTATATAAAGTATACTTAACATTACTGTAATATCTATTGTCAATGTCTCTTTTCTCACCAAGTACCAAATAAAAAAATAATTGGACTTCTGAGTGCCACCAGATCTAAACCAAGTCCATAACATGACTGCACCAGGGCTAAAAAGATCCAAGTCTGGTTATTACATGAAATATTGGTTTTAAAAAGAACAGAAATAGAAATAAAACCTTGAATGAAAAAACTTTACATTAACTACAATGGAATCTACATACCACAGTTTGAGAGGCACTGATCAGTTGTGTTTTTGATCAGCCTCCCTGTCTCCTGTTCACCCATCACAGACCCACACACTGCTTAACCAAAAGGTCATTAAGTTTAAGTTTTCACTGTTTGACATTTTGTCCACAAATACATATCCTTATTCGATCTTTATTTGGAGTAATGGACCAATTATTGTTTTGTTGGTTGAACAAATATTATCTTTGTCTTCATCAAGCCCCAATAAGCCGGGTGGATGGTGCATGTGTGGTTCTGATTATCAGGGTGAGGCCTCTGATATGGGTCACTTAAACTCTTTCCCTTCATGAATGTGTATGCAGTCGATATGATCTGCAGTAAAACAACATGTACTGTAAATTGAATGAATGGTTCAAGATATTGTGCTTGAGGACAAAATGTAAATGTTGACGATTTGTAACGCTTTGAAATAAATGAAATAGCTAATTTCCACATAAACACAGTTGGCACTCTTAGGTATGGGCTTCATAGAGATATGCAAGACTTTTCTCTGGGGCAGTTGTACTTATTTTTTACATTTTCATTAATTTGATCATGGAGCACTTTTCCATTTTGCCCCAGTCCATCTTGAACAAGCTTTGGTACAGACAAAACATACCATGTTTATAATACATGTACAATGAACTTCTTATAACATAGTAACAGTAATCACTGACTGAATGTTAAAAGCCTGATGATCACCAGCAATCAGCAATTAAAACATTTTGTAGTTGTTCTTGATAAAAGAAAATAAAACTAATTGTAGTAACTACAGGATTTTCTATTGTTCCAATCTAATTATTAAAGGCCCAGAATGTAACTTTCTGAAGGTGCCATGTCACCTGCTTGTTCCCATGGAAATAGAAACTTAGAAACATACTTTTCGACCATTCTCCATGAAGACTTTTTATACCATGTGAAGATGACAGACAAAAGAACAACATTTCCATAGAGAAAAGCAGAAGAAACTTTCCTCCAGGCCAAATATGAGCCAGGTTTGTGGAGATGCAAGCCCATTCACAGTAAGAAGTAAGACACATGTTTTTCAGTGCAAAAACACAACCAAAATGAAATCTGTTTGTAGCAAAAAAAGTTACATATGGGCTTTAGTCACTGAAACCACCATGACCCGGTCCTGACAAACCTGGATGAAGTTTTAAATAGAACTATTTTTTACTTTATCAACATTTTAGGTCAGAGTTTTGTCACTTACCTTGCATACTGAAATCAGTTTCTGTAGTTCAATGCAAAATAAACTGTTAGCTTTAATAAGACCTGAGGAGCAATTGAGTTCTGGCGTAAGTATGAAAGTTGGATTCTGTTTGTGGGTTTGTGGTAAAACAGTAGAGGTATTAAAGTTCACACATGTTTTGTCTGGGCAGGCAGGCCTGTGCTTCTCTTACCTCTCCTGTAACATCAGCTTGTTCTGCCTCTTCCACTGCTCTTTGAAATCGGAGGAGAACTCGTGCCAAATGGAGAAGAACGTGTTGGGGGAGACCTCCTTCTCTCCTGCTTTGGGTTTGACGGAGAAAGACACACTGAGCTCCAAGAAACTGCGGACACAAAACATTTCAAAACTTCAAGTTATTGAGAAACCAACCCACTGGATGTTAATCTTGGTATAATGTGACTATTTTTGGTCTAGTGGCTGAGGATTTTTGGGAACATTTTATAATAACTACACTTCATGCCTTAATAAAGCTGGGACAAAGACTTCATTCATAATATACAATAAACCCATGGATTTGAGCTACATTCAGAAGAGATGTATTGTATAAGCAGCTCTTGAGGTCAAATAAGTAGAGACAACAAAGAGAGACCACAAACCTATAAGAGAGCAGTGTAGTCATGTTTTCTGCAGTTATCTCTCTGTATTAAAGTGTTAAAATAAAGCTTTGCATGTATTTTTAGGCAGCAGATTAATCAAAACACAATACTGGCCTGTGCTGGAGATTTAAGATAGCCCAAATGCTAAAAAGGCCAAATACTGGCCTGGTATATCGGATCTGTCCATGCTGTGCACTGTCTGCATCTACTGAGAAAGCATTTTACTGTCTGACAATCAGGTAGTGCGCATTTGTATGCTAGTTGTTAGCTTTATCATGACAGCAAAATTTGACTTCGGTCATCATAAGGTAAATGAGTAACTTTGGACCACTGTTTTCACATTTTTAAGAGATTAAAATCAGGTACAGTGCCTTTAAAGCTCCAATATTATGCTAAATTTACTCTTGTAAGCTTTAAGTTATGTTAAAATGTTTGTTGCTACCTCCTCAAAAACATACCCAGAGTTGTGGCTTGTTTTCATTATATTATTAATCTCTCTAAATCTTCAAATCTCAAAATGCTCTGTTCCACCTTGCGATGTCATTGTGGCTTTGTTAAATAGAGATTGGCAATTCCAGGGCTGAATTATCCAAATGATCCTAGTGAAGGTGTGAAGTTTAAAAATACACTGGAGCACTTCCTGTATTACTACATGACATCACGGTGGAACAGTTTCTGTTTAATTGAAGAACTGGGTCTGTGTGTTAAACATGTGTGAAGGAAACAAAACACAACTCCAGGTATGTAGTGAGGATCAGAAAATAGTGTAATAGGGGCCCTTTAAGGATGATCTGGGCTTAGTAACTTCTATTTTAAGCTTAATTAAATTGTTACTAATCCTGAATCATTCTCAGTAAACAATGTCATTATGAATTAAGTCTTTTCATGCTTTATTAAAACACAAATTATGATGTAGTTAAAATAAATTGACTCTGAATTTTGAAGCTCAAGGCCGAGATGACTGTGCATACCGTTGCCATGGTCGCAGATTAACTCGAAAATTAATAACACCTCTTAGTCCACCCCTTATATAGCTGTGCTGTTGCATTTTGTGGTGTTTATCTGTAAGTGTATATAATAAAACAGGAAATAAGACACACAAGAGTGAGCTCACAGCACAATGTCACGCGCACAAGTGTTAAATGTGGCGGCCATTTGCAGTGGATCAATAGAGAGACAGCTTCAGTTGGCCTTTGTTTGGAGTGTGCTATACGAACACATTCTTTGGTGGCAGTAACAGAAGCCGGAGCCGGAGCTGTCTACTTTCTCTGGGCTTAGATAAACAAGGCAGACACCACACTAGGGGCCTCTCATCAGCTCAGAGCACTGGCACCACGCGTCGCACCTACAACTGAAACATGAGGAACCGCCAGCGCTAAATATTGACAAAACAGCTGGATTGGGTTTCGGCAACGTGGAAGCAATAATATCCGACCATCTTGCATCGCTTCCAGGCAAATTCACAACTAAATCATCAGTTTTACAGCTAAAGAGTGGGTTTATTCTGAAAGCAGATTTCTTAGATGTTTTTTTTTACAAGAATATGTTTTGAACCAACTTTTTAAGAACTGTCTCCCCTTCTGGTGTCACTACTAAGAAATCCTGAGCTACAGTATATAGTCATTTAAAGGTGCACTGTGTAACTTTTCTGGTACTTGATTCCATGTAGTTTTTTCAGAAATGTTCTACAGCATGGAATTGAATTTAACTGTTTAATCTTCATGGAGACAAGCAGCCCACATCACCAGGCCATGTTACAGGTCAGATCTGCAGAGAAGTGGAGCTCCTCACAGTAATAATCTATATTTTTGCAGTAGTTTTGGGGAATCCAAATACCTGTAATTGAATAAATAAAAGATATATTTGTTTAATGCCATAATATGGAACATTCCAGGAAAAGCCATGACATCACCATGGAGACATGCAGATGTCTAAACCAGAAGAGTTACACAGTGCACATTTAAACAATGAAATTCATTGATGTTTTCTTAATGCTTACTGCCAGCAACTCTGAGTATTGGGTCACATATATGATGTCCAACTATTCACTCACTGTAATTAAATTTAGGAACAACAGCTTTGTTTATTCTCCTATAAAATCATGTTTGTGGAAGCAGTAACACAGAGAAGACATGCAAAATCTTAAAAGCGCATTATGTAACATTTCTGGTGGAGATGTTATTGCTTTGTGGCATTTAACTTTCTCCATGGAGACAAGCAGGCGACATCACCAGGACAAGTTTCAGGTCAGGGGCCTCATTTATAAAACTTAAAGTGGAATTCTTACTAAAAGTATACACAAAAACAAAACAAAATGTGTTCACTTCTTGTCTCTCTGAACACAGAAAGCCTTCTGACTCTGAAAACCTTGATGCCCAAAGTTCAGTTTTCAGATCAACTCATTTCCACGACAAGGTTTCTTTTTATGGATCACTACCACAGTAATAATGCATGTTTTCAAGGTATTTTGAGGAATAAAACACCTGTAACTGAATAAATGTAATGAAGATTAATGTGCATATACAATACTTATGCCTTATTTGACACCTGTCTACTGTGTCCAAATAATTTCGCTGGTTGATCAGTAATGTCTAAATCTAATACTATATAGTAAAAAATCCCAGGAAAAGCAAAAGCATTTCCATGAAGAAACACCTAGTGGACCCCTCACCAGAAAAGTTACACAATAGACCTTTAGTGACCAAGCCAAAGAGGTAACAACTCTTCCAGCAATCTGAACTGATTACAAACAGTGAAATATAAGAGGTATTACATTGTCACTTGCACTGTTTTCAAGCCACTAGGCCAAGACATGAGAAAAACCCATAGACATTTTTCAGGTGGTGGAGACCTGTGAAGTGTTTTTAAACAAAGACTCACATCTTCTGAGTGTCTGCCAGCTGCCTCTCCTGCGTCTCCAGCTCTGTTTTGGCTGTGAAAGGAAGCGAGAGATTGATTAAAGGAAAGAACGCTTGTATCAGTAAATACAGGATTAAAATATTTCCTGTACGACTGTCTTTCACCTTTAGTGCAACATGTATATACAGGAGGATTCCACGTGTCATCATTACTTAAGCAGCAGTCATGGTCTAGGTCATAACAGTGCCACCCGCTCATGTGTCGGATGGTCCCGCTGTTGCACAACTGACAAATGAGTGCAGCCCATCGGCCCATCGTAACACAAGTGCTTCTTTGTGCAGACGCAACTTCCAATGGAGACGGATGACTGTGGGTTTGTGCACTTAAGAGCATGTGTGTGTTTGTGTGCATGTGTGTGTGCGTGCATGTGTGAAAAAAAATATATATATATTACACTATTTCTGATCTATGTTATAACATTTCCTCATCAAAGACATACCTGAAGTTGTGTTTTGTTTCATTCATACCTGCAAATTTAATTGAAGTTCTTTTCTCAAATGGAAAATACTCCAGCTTGTAATGCCAGGTGCTAATACATGAAATCCTCCACTGTGTTCTTTGATTAATTTGGATAATTTCAGCTCTGGAATTGCCAATCCCTACAGAACAAAAGTTTAAAAGGTAGTCGTTAACTTGAAAACTACCACAAAATGACATCACAAGGTGGAACAGAGCGTTTTGAGCTTTGGAGATGTAGACAGACTGATAATAGAGAATTACTCAAACATATGTGAATGAAAGAAAACACAACTGAGGTATGTTTTTGATGAGGTAACAATATTATAACATGGAGTACTCACAAGGGACAATTTTGCATAATATAGGACCTTTAAATTAAATAAAATAAAAGACACCATCAACCAATTAATCGATTAAACAACTACAAACCCAGTAGGTTTCGCTTTTTATTGAATTCATGTTTTACCACAGAAAAGGTGGGCAATTCTCTAAAAAGTGGGATGAGGCACAGGGGTCAAACTACATATGATATAGAGAAAAGGATAGGGCTAGTTTTTACTCTCCCCCAGATCAGATATTAGTTTTTGCAATCCATCAGAAATATCTTGGCAGAAGTTTAACTGTTGTAAAATTGACTAAAATTAACACAAAAATGCAGAAATATCATCTTGAACTTATGCCTGTCACAATAACAGATTTTGAAGAGAGATATATTGCTGAAGTCAATATAGATGATAAACATAACACTGAAACTAATTTATGCCACTGACACAAAAACCCTAAAGAAGGATTATCTCAACAAAATATTTTCTAAAAGTAGAATATGGTTAAAAAAGACAAACTACAATAAATAAATATCAGAATGAAACACTTTTGTATCTAGAAGGAGTCGTAAGTTATTTATTCAACCCTCTATGGCTCAAATCTTATTGTAGTATAGATACATAACAAATAAAAAGAAGTACCAATGATAAATATTGACCCTCAAAAATATTGTTTCAGCTTTCATATACTGAAGTCGATAAAGTAATTATCGTGACAGGCCTACTTGAACCATTTGAGAAGATTACACTGCCAGTTAAAAGAAGATTATAGAATAGTTATAGAATGAAAATGTTTCTTCTTTTAAAAGGCCTATGTCATCTTGAGTGGTTATTTGGTATTAGCAGTGCAGTTACGTGTATGCGTGTCTTAGGCTAGTCTATATTCTCAGCCTCTCTCCTCTACCTGTCAAATGCTGTCTTTAGCTCATGCATACATTTACTTTGAAACGACCAATTCTTCACCCCAAGGTCGCTGTCTGTGCACAGGGCTTCACTCACCTGTCACATGATCAAACTGACCTCTGACTTCCTCATTGATTTCCAAGACACACAGCTCAGTGAATGGAGGAAAGAATCTTTCCTGGCACAGACGCGTGTTCCTCTCTTATCCCGGGAATATCTGGTTGCTATGTGTAATTGAAGCCAGAGCCACATCTAAAGATCTGAGTGAAGCCCAATGGGAGCAGTACCGTGCTTCACCATTCCTCTGCATTAAATCACTGTGTACCTCGGTCTCGTCTGTGCTGCTAACAGCTCATCAGTGCTCGATGACAAATCAGGCAATAAGACACAAGTCTACATGAAATATTGTAAAAGTCACTCATTTATTCATACTTGAGGGTAATGTCTTTATTTAACTTTAAATTATTCCTATTAAGGATAACAGAAGCCTTTTTCTCCTAGATGGACCTGTCACTTATACAGAGATGTAATGGCAATTTCATGTCCATGTAAATACAAGGCAATTTAGGTTGACAAATTCACCCAAGAAAAGCAATGAGCAGCAATGACTACAATCTGGAATGCTCTTTAACAGCACTGTACCAAAGAAAAGGGTTCACAGTAGGACCTTATCATGAAGGGGGTGGCGAAATAATGTGGATATGCTGAAATGCAATTTCCCAAAGTTTTTATCTAAATGAGCACTCAAATCAATCCATTTATTCATGTGTTGTAATACAAAACCCTATGACTGTACACTGTGTACAATATACAAATGTGTAGTCTGGAACTGGACATTCAGGTCACCCGCAGAGTTTCAATGGTTGTGATTGACAGGAGTATTAACCATCTGTGTCAAAACAAACGTGGCAGCTTAAAATGAGAAAAAAAAAAAAAAAAAAAAGAAAGAAAAAACAGACACAGATGTATGCAGAATCCATGTGCAATGCACTAAACAAAGTTTAACTGAGGTGAGAGAAGTCTCTGGTCTGAATGATATGAGGATATTCAAGGGGAAATGTTGGCTTTAGAAACATTTAAGTAACTGCAACTGGATCAGCAAAGAAATGATCTGCTGTGTGCCTGATCCCAGATCCTGCTGCATTCAAACTCAAGTCAGTCTCATTTTAAGTCTCATTGTAAGTCTCATTGTAAATACATGGGGCCTTTAGTAAGAAGAACATTATAGTGAGGTGCAGCCAACAGGAGTAGTGAGAGTGCAGCCTCTGTGTCTAATCTCCATGTCCATCACACACACATTATCACAGGGCCACAGCTCGGCTCACGTCCTCCTTCAAAGGCCCGAGTGCATGTGAATCTGTGAGGCAGACTAGACCAAACAGCCCTGCTCCTGCAGTGCGCTCCCACTGTTATTCTGTGGTGAGTTTCATGGTCAGAACATAAACAAACGCGGTTTCAACTGTGGAGCCAGAGACAGTTTAACCCCGTGCTTGTTGGAAATTACAGAAATAACAAAAATAAGACTTTTGGCTGTTGTTCTTTTGCACCACCGCAGTAGAGGAACCCCAAGAATCCTGTCTGGAGCCTTCGCAATCACACGTTCATGTTACAGAACTGCATTTGAAGGAAAAATCTCATCAAAGTACAGAACTACAATATTTTTCTCAGACGCAAATATGCAAATACCAGAGAGGCCTTTCTCCGCAGACTTCCTTTAGCACCAAAAGACATATGATCTATATTACACTTATTTGAATACAAAAGCAATAGAAAGTGGCCTGTGTGCCCGCTCCTTCAGAGAGATTGGTCACAGTGGAGCGGATGGAGTCAAGGTTACATTCAAAGTGATAGAGTATGACAGTTAGCTGGTTAACAAGCACTAACTTAGACAGTGAGGGACAGCATGTTAATAGTGTTTGGGTTATAGGTATAAAAGCAAAACTGTATGACATCTGGGGAACGTTAAGCTCAGATATTTTTCCAACTCCTGTGTGTCCTCAGAGTGATAGTAAAACAGAAATCAAAATCAGGAGCTGGTGATGTGTGATGGTGAAGCTCCAATCTAAATGTTTACTGCAGAAATATATTTATTCTGTCAACAGCTGTGTTTGTGTATCAGGTGACTGTTTAGGCCCAGAGCATGTTGTCATGTTTCAGAGCGTGATAACAAGACTGTATTTCTAGTATCACTTTTATCAATTAAGTACAAAAGGTTTCTTGTGAGCTTTTAGCTATGTTAGAATGTTTTTACCTCATCAAAAACATACCCAGACTTGTGTTCTGTTTCAATGTTTGCGTAAACCTTTATTACAAGTCTTTCTACATCTCCAAAGCTCAAAATGCTCTGTTCCACCTTGTGATGTCATGAAGCTGTAGTTTTCATGTTAACAGCTACCTTTTTCATTTTGTTCAGTATAAATGGGCAATTCCAGTTCTGAAATAATCCAAATAATTCTAGTGAAGGTGTATGGAGTTTAAAAACACAATGAGGCACTTCATCTGTTAAATATTCAGAATCTGTGAGCTAAACATGTGTGAATGAAACAAAACACAACTCCAAGTATGTTTTTGATGAGAAAACAACATTAACAGATCAGAGCGTAATATGGGCTCTTTTAGGTGAGTTAGCAATTAGTCAAGTGGTACAGATGTAGTGCTGCACTGAATTAACCAATGTCAAACTATGGGTAACATCAGAAGTGTGATTGAATTGGGACTAAACCCAGAACTAAACCAGGACTAGAACTGGACAAACCACAGACAAACCATGTCTATATCAAATCTCCGTTTACTCATCTGAGAAGTCAACAACACCGGAGTTGAAATCCTAGATGATCTATCGTGACATCTTGAAATAGTTTAACATAAAAATTAGCCTGAGAAGCCTATTTTGGTTAATTTAAAAGACCCACATTGCGCTATTTTCTGATCTGTTATAATATTGTTTCCTCATCAAAAACATAAGCGGCGTTTAACACACAAACCCGGCTACATTTAGGCTGAGTTCTTCTCTTTAACAAAAAACACTCTGTTCTTTTTTGTCATATCATGTGGTAAAACAGGAAGTGCTCCACTGTGTTTTTAAACTCCATGCACCTTCACTAGAATCATCTGGATAATTTCAGACCTGGAATTGCCCATTTATACTGAACAAAATGAAAAAGGTAGCTGTTAACTTGAAACTATCACCGTATGACATCACAAGGTAGAAATGAGCATTTTGAACACTGGAATAAACAGAGTAATAATAAAGTATAATGTGTGAAACAAAACATAACTCCAGGTATGCTTTTGAGGAAGTGACAACATTCTAACATGGCTTCTAACGGTCATTTTTTAGTAATATAGGACCTTTAATAGAATTTTAGTCTTGTATAACAAATACAAATTAACTGTGGGGACACCGGCAGTATTGTAGATCAAGACACCAATGTCCTGTCAATAATTTCTGTGCAGTTATAATTCTTGCCAAGATTTGCAAAAAATACATATGCTTTTAATAACGGGAGCAACAGATCATTGTCTTCATTTAATGGCCAAACAAGAACACATTTTAATTTCTAGTTACCTCTGCATTTTCCCATGCTAGTGTAAATGCAATACAGTGCAACTATTTAGATCTATGTGTTTACCATTGAGCAATTTCTTACAGTATTATGACAATATAGTCAAACAATATCTCAAGTGTCCTCACAGTTGGTAGGCAGGAATCAGCATAAATGTAACGCTTCATTTACATATGATATTAATTGCACTGTATTGCACAACAACTAGGTGCAAATATTGAAATAATACACTATTGTGCTTTAATTGCTCATCACTCACCAGCGCTTGTAGTAAACATCTCACTTTGAAGGCTTTGTTTGATTTCTTTGTGTAAATGATGAAGACTGAAAGTGGAGAGATGGGGTCAAAGAGGCTACAGAGCGCTTTGATTTCCCTGATGGAAAAAGTCTGTAGCAAACACAGCACCAGGACACAGACAGGAGAAGAAAGAGGGCCAGGTATCTGAGAATCTCCAACACTACAAGAACAAGAAGCAGACAGGGACCTGACAACAGCTTAACAGTGCACAGAGATACAGAGCAAACAAGCCCAAATGGTGTCTACTCCTGATGCTATCAATGAACTGATTGTGAAGCCTTCAGCCCAGTTCCGTCAGAGCGAGGAGGAGATACAGAAAAGACTGTTTGTGAAATGAAACAGAGATAAAACCGCCAACGAGCAAGACGAACTTATCTATCACAACAAACTGTAATCTGTGGACTAAACCAATAGAAGACAATAGAAGTTGAATACAAAATAATGCACAAAGTGCTTATTTTCTGCACATTTTTCACAAACAAAATAGTCCATACTTACACTAATATACACAGAAGTACATCTGTTGGCATCACCATATTTGTTTTGATATGTTTAGGTGCTTCGCCTTTGGCTTCCACACAAACCTCAAAGCTGAGACATGTTTGGTCCGCCCAGCCCATCAGCCATACAGTGGAAGTCTCTCTAGATGGATTATCATGAGTTTGTGAACTCACAAATATCGTGAGAATCCATTTGGCTGTGCAAGGTTGTGGTTTGAATACTAATTTGCCAAACCAAAGACATACAACTGTTAAGCCTGACACAGCACATTTAGAAGCAAGATATAATGCTACAGGAAACAACACATGTTCACATGATAAATAGTGCACCCCAAAAATATAATAACTTGTTCTTCTATCATGAATTGAACAATAAAGTGATACAGTAATTATGGTGACAGGCTTATTAATTAGACCACTGCCAAGGCATTACAGTGTTACTGTGAAGTAGTGCTTATATAATTGCACCTTTTATTGATTGTCATATTCACAGGTTATTTGTAATCTAACTACTAAATGATTAATCAAAGAGCTGCCAAATTCATTAGCAAAATAATCATAAGTTCTGCAAGTTATGATTACGTTGCTAATGAATTTGGCAGCCCTATCCTGAAGTGAGATAGCGAACTCCAAAAAAAACAATAATTTTGTTCTCCATTTCTGAAAGTTACATGAAATCTGCCAATGACATTTGGGATTTCATATTAATGATAATGACAAAACCTTTGACAAAATCCTGGATCTTTGCAGTGGGCTGAATCCCTGCCTAAACAAGCTGTTCCTTGCCCCCTACTGCCTTTCCTACTGTGTAAAATGCATTAAAATCAGAACCATAATTTTATGAAGGATTTAGTGTCCATGATTTCATTAAAAAAGTAATTATCATTGTACAGATATGTTCATCAGATATACATATCTTTTACACATATATCTATGAGACACCTATGTTTTTCATATACACTCTTGGTGAAAGTATTGCTTAAGACAATACAGTGTACTGCCAGGTATACATACAGTAAAGATGGGTGATACCAGTGATTTTTGTAATCAATCCAATGCCAAATTATAATAATAATAATAATAATAATAATAATATGGAAAATATCACAATATCTATCCAGTACCTAATAAAATAGGTACTGCAGCTAAAGTAAATTAAATATTTATTTATTCATATTTATTTTTATCAGTATTTTTGCATGAGAATCAATACCTGACCAGCCAGAACCACATGCTTTGACAAAACTTTACAAAGATGAGTGGATCTGGAGCCGTGTTCTGTCTCCATGATTTCAGAGGGCTGGATTGACAGGCGGATTAACCAATCAGAGACACATGCTCCGTTCACGTCAAAAACATGGCGGTTTACACGCAACAAAATGTGAAAAAATATATATATAAAAACTGAGAAACAGTGTGTAGAATCAACAATCAAAGCACCAAATTATTACTTATTTCAAAAGAAGTTATATATTTTGTTCTAAAAGATAGGAGAATTTTAGAGAGGAGATATCTTCTGCATTTGACAGACACATGTGGTGGGTTGGTCTGAAATTAGGAAGGAAGATTTTCACACTCTATTGTCCAGTTCCAGTCCCTTCTAGATTCAAACAGACTGTAAAAGGGACTGGCTGGTCAGTAGCAATTTTAACTGGATTCACCAAATCACTATAGCATGGTCATTTAGAATTTGATACATAAAATACAGCTGGATTTGAACATTACCTTTGTTGAGAAAGTCATCCATCTTGTCCTTAAAAGGCTGGAGGTTCTCTTCCGATGACAGCTTGCACACTTTGTCAGTTTCCGCCGAACACGCTAAAGACAGAGGCGTAATTATTATTTCAGAAACCAAAGCTCTCATATAAAGCTTATTCAACATTTGTCTTGTAATTAGTAACTCTACAGGGCTCTTAACGAGGATTTCGTCTGTTTTGACAAATCGCTACAGTATTTCTGCTGCGTTAGCAAAGCCATAATGAACCATAATGACTAATAGGACACCCGGAGGAGCCACAGGAAGGCCCGGGTTACGGTCCCAGGAGAACCCCGTGGTCACGCTCTATCTCCAGTCCTAATGGATACACAATCGCAGCTCTGGGCCTATGAGGTGGAGAGGCCATGAAACGCTTTAGGGGCAAATCAAAACTCCGGACACTTTCTAATGCTTTCTCCATATGACGCTCTTTCTTTCTCCTGGAGGTACGCTGAGATGTGTGCTCCTGCGCTACTGGCTGGACGTCCTCCGGGCTAGCCAAGGCCATTCGCGCACCCGCCCACCTATCGGAACCCCCCCTTGGACTCTGTCATCGAAGCTGGGTCTGCTATAGTGCTCAGATGGGCTTTAGGAGGTGAGCCCTGCACAGGTAGAGCACAGCGATGAGGTATATTTATGTTTAGTCCAGCATGTGTCCCTGCCACTGGGTCAGGGTACACCACGAGTTTGCCTCCCATGTGACAAACTACATCTTTCTTAATGGCAAGTAATGAACAGCTTACAGAATTATTATGGATGAGGAAAAACAATATTTGGCAACATGCTTCACAGGGTTAATTGGTTTAGCAGGGTAGATCCATAAAACATGATAGAGCGCAGAGCGTGTATGGGGAATACTCAAACGCTCAAATGTACTGACTTGCATATAGGCACATCTGCATTTTACACACATACACGTATATCCAAAATATACAGTCATTTTTCTAGCATATGCGGACGGACGAGAGACTGGAAGTGTGCGAGGTGTTGAGAGCCATGAGAGAGTAATGAAAGTTAGTATTTCCCAATGCGCTCATTCATTAAAGGACTTTTTTAGGCTTTAGCTGTCAGTTGGCCTTGTCAGGGTCTGATCCTGTTGCCACATTTTTTCCTTCTGCAAACAGGGTAATGGCATGCAGGCTCCAGCTCCGTTCCTGGCCCTAATTCTCTATAAGTCATCTTGATTTGTGGCGTATACCCCGTGTTTACTTTGTACTCACTTATTTTGACAAACGAGGAATTTGACATGCTTATATTACGGCTGTCATCGAGCGGACTTGCAGCATGTCATTGGGTGGGGATCAGATAAGGGTATTTATTTTATAGTTCTCATCATATATACCAGTGGTTCCCAACTGTTTTTGTCTCGTGTACCTTCTTAGCTTTCTCTCACACCCTGAACAGTTCCTAACTTGGCTACTAGGCAAAGAAATGAGTTTTGCATAGTCGTATAATGTCAATTAATTATTACCATTATATTTTTTGTTTTAAATATATACTGATGTTCAGAATTCTCCAAAACATTCTCAGATTTCTCAAAGAACATTTTTATTTAAATACTATTATTTCAATTTTACCTTCTTTCAAATTCTGAAACTAATACTCCCTGGTAAGTGACTGCATATTCCCAGGAGTACTCGTAGACTGAGATATACTTAAGTGGCTTCTGATGGTTTTATTTGTTCAGTGCTTCATAGACAGTGAAACGTTTTATTAGCTGTTTTTGTTAGCATTGGATTTGATTTTTTCTTAAAATGGTTGTTTTTGTTATTTCAGCACTGGGAAACATATGTTCTAACTTTCTAAAAAGTACAAACTCTAACCACAAACTGTTTAAAAAATTACAGGCATTTTCTTTTCAAATCCTTATTCGTAGTCTAATCTGGGCACTTCACAAGCACTTGAATCAACCACCTATTTTCAATGAACTACAATTTCTTTTTATTTTACATTGCCAAAAAAATTCTCACAAGCTTAGCCAGCAATGTCAACAAGCCCAAAAGTAAATTTAGTATAGTCGGGTGATGAAAGAAGAAGTGTCCACAGTGAACAATATTTTTATTCTTTACACAAAGTGCTCTGATAGCCGTCATAGGCAGAGCACACTTTCTGACCTCCATATTTTGATCTCTATTTCACCAGGACAGTAAAGGTCCAACAGGAGTCTACCTCTGTCAGACACATGTGCTTGTGCTTAGCTCCTCTATGACAAACAGATGATATCTCTGTGCTGACCTGGCTCCAGCGCCCAAACATGACCAGAGCAACCTGCCATTAGGAAACTATTCTTCATTCAAAAGATGTGGTTGATTAATGCAGCAAAATGAAAGTCTGTTAAATACAGACATCCTCTATCTGGGGAATACACAGTAACCTTGTCCAAAGTGCTGACTACTGCTATTGAATTTCCTAAAAACGTGACGCACTTCAAGGTAATATGGAGGATCACAGAGGATATTAAAAGACAGTGTTTATTCTAAGTTAAAAGTGCACTATGTAACTTTCTTAAATGGGGGGACATGTCTGTCTCCATGGAGATGTTTTTGCTCTGGTAGTATGTCAAGATGGATTCTCATGAGTTTGTGAACTGACAAATAATCCATCTTTCTGTGCAAAGTTAGGAATGTTCCACAGTATGGCGGCATAAAACACATCTTTCTTACGTTTCAATTACAGTTGTTTGTGTTGCTAAAAAAAAAAAACCCAAAAACTCTCTCTTGTCAGATCTGACCCGTATCGCATCGCCAGCTTGTGTCAATGGAAATATACACTGCTGTGGAACCTAACAGTCAAAGCATCATCACCATGAAGATATGCTCAACCAGAAATGTTACATAGTGCACCTTTAAGTTACATCTTATGTTGTGTTTTGTGTAGTGTTACTATGTACACATGGCTTGGCTTTTACTAATTACTAGACCCACCCCAACATCTTGTAGGGAACTTTAATCTATTCTATAATATGATCTAGAAATAGCAACTGTTTTGTATCTATTATGTAATGTATTTATTGACTGAGTTTGAACTAGGTTGAACAAAAGTGTTATCTAATTGGAATTAAGTTATGTTTATTTAAATAACAACTAAAGCAAATCATTGTAGAAGTTACAAAAGCTCACAAGGTTAAACAGATAAAAGTTGTGGACACAAGGCTTTCACTTATGGTTCATCTAACCTAATACCTAAAGTCACAATTCCCTCATCTCCTGTAATGCTAAAGCACTGTACTATACTTCTATGTATGGAGTCAGACATCTGTATCAGTGCTGAATCAAAATTTGCCCATTCCTTTTTGGCCTATCAAACAAATGTAAACTTGTTCACCCTTGGCAAAGGTAACCGCAGGTAAGTTTCCATTTGTAATCTGTGTTTAATTTTAGAACACATGTTTGCCAGTGCAGATACGCTTTTACAACAACTACTTTTGCTGGTATTGGAAAATAATAACACATTTATAGTTCCTGAACTCCCAGCCCAGTTCTTGGTGAGGATCAAAGTGTAAAATGGCTCATGCAGACATTATGCCCTTTAAAGTTACCAATTTGCCAAAACAAGTATTTGGATGGTGGGCACTTTCTTACCATTGAGGTCTTTTCTCAATTTGCGTAAGTCCTTCTCAAAGTCGTCAAACTTCATCTGTGAGGCCTGGAACAGGTCCTGAGGCTCGGGCAGTGGGTACACACAGGTCTCTCTGCCAGCATCCTGCACACAAAAATACACATTTACACACAATACACGCCAGATTAAAGAGGCACTGTGGAACTTTTCTGGTGGAGGTTTAATCACCATAGATGCTTTGCCTGGAATGTTACAAGGTATGATAAAGAACTCTTATTTCACTGTAGAAAGCAACAGTTTCTCTTTTAAACATTTTTAATTTTGATAAATGTTTATGTGGCATTTTTATTTGTATGTGTATCACGCACATTATGTTTGAGTAATTACAAAAAGTCCAGAGAAGTGGGTCAAGACACTGGGCAGATGAAAACACTCAAGCCTTGAATGCACAATACAGGATTACTCAAACGTGTATCAATCAATCAAAATGCAACTTTGAGTAAACCAATGATGAGGGAAAACGAAAACACGATTAAAATCGAATCAAAGTTCATTTTACATAATATAATATTTAAACTGGCATTTATTCACTATTACCTCCAAAGATTTGGACTGGCGTTTTTTTTCTACAAGGAGATATAGACACAGTTAATGCCATACTGCAGAGCATTCTAGGCAAAACAAACACTAAAAAAAAAATCTCCATGGAAACACACAGGAGGCAGAGCCCACTCACCAGAAAAGTTACACATTGCACCTTAAAAGAACAGTTACCAGCCAAAGAGCTAGAAAAAAATGAGTGATTTTATTGTTTCTACTGAACAAAATTCTACTTTTACTTTTGACTCTTTAAGCAAATTTTCATACGGGTACTTTTAAGTTTTTTTTACGTGATACTTTTACTTGAGTAGCAGAATTTTTACTTAAAGGCGCATAGTGTAACTTTTCTGGTGGAAGGTCCGTCAACTGCTTGTTTCTATGGATATGTCATTGCTCTGCCTGGAATGTATGACATACCTTACATTTATTCAATTACAGGTGGTTTTACAGATCAAAAAAAGCATTCAGGCTGTGTGCGGTTGCCTCTCCACAGATCTGAGCTGTAACTTGGTCTGGTTTGGTCTCCATGAAGATAAAAGTTTTAATACCGGCTTTTAATAATACTGTGAATCATTCCAGACGAAGCAATAACATCTACATGGAGAAAAGAAAATGACAAACTCTCCACCGGAAAAGTTACACAAAGCACCTTTAAGTAACAAAATTGAGTACTTCTTCCACCACTGGGCGTCACACATCAGGGGTTCTCATCTTCACATCCAGAGGCACAACTAGAATTATCAGCAGTCCAAACATCCCCTGACCAACGCACATAAAGACCAGCGAGTCTGTACCGGACTCCTGCTAGCTCTGCCCAACCGTGTTACAAACCCGTGTCCAGACCAAGAACCATGTCATGCAGGTTGACTTTGGCAAGCAGCCCCCTCACTGAGTTCATCTCATCTGGAGAAACTAATTATTTACACTAGCGCTGCTTTGGATGCTGTGCCAATGAGCAGACAGCGAGAGTGAATGAAGCCAGGGAGAAAGAGTGAAAGACAGAAGAGAATCAGCAACGTGGGCCAGAAGTAGAGAGAGAGACCAGTTTGTGTCGTAAATGAACAAAGGGAAAATAAATAATTTGATAAAGGATAAGCCAATGGTATCCTCTGGCTAAAGGCGAGATGAAAAGAGGGCTCTGGAAGGATTTCTAAGCAAATCAAAGCAAAAGAGAGAAAGCCAGTCAAATAAACAGAAAAGCAAAACATACCTCATCAAAGTGCTTCAGATAGTAAGCAACGATGTAGGACAAAAGACTTTGGGAGTTATCCTGCAAGCAAAGAGAGATGACACAAATAAATAAACCAAAATCCCTTTATTTATTTATTAATTTCATCATGGCAGGAGGAACAGAGCGCTGGAATTTGTCCGAGAATACCAGAATACAGAGTGCGGTTTTGAGGAGTCGGATTGAGTAGCATGACACCGGGCTGGTAATGCAACAACAATACAAAAAAAACTGTGCTGTGCTGGCTGTCATAACTTGGTGGAAAGTTTGATGTTCTTTATGGATGCAAGGGCCAGCAGCAGCGCCACAAAACACAAAGCGGTGTGCCCTTATAAGGTATTGTCATGGGCAAGTTGAGCTAGCAGAGATATTAAATAAGCTCCGTAAACACAGCAGTCCCGCTGATTGTGCTGTACTGAGAGGAGAAGTTGTTGTGCTAACTACAGTGAAGAACAAAGATGAGATAGTGTGGCTAAGTACTACCTGTGACTGCTCAAATGAGTGTTTTGAATCTTGGGATGTTCGTGTGATGCAAATATACTAGGCTGTTAGGGATGTCCAGAGTAATCTGTTAATCAATATTGATTGTGATTATACAAGTCACAATATAATCACAAGAACTAAGAAATAATAATAATTGAGTGAATTTAAAGTGAAGTAAAAATAAAAAAGATAAGCAATTTCAAATCAATCTATGCGCCAAAAAGTAAACTGCAAAGTCAAGTGCTTTGATATGGTTATTTTTGTCTCATTAACTTGTTATGCGACAAAAGTTTGATTTCAAAAAGTTGGTCATATACTAGAAGAATTGTAATCTATTTGACAGTTTGAATTAATTAAAGAAGACATATGTGACCTCATGTCTGCTCCATAACTATAATCTATGTATGTCACTTGTAAAAAAAGGATGCAGTGCCCAATGGGAGCTGATGTTGTCATAAACGTAATCACAACAAGAGTAGGCATGTGTGATCGATAGCAGCACATTTTTTTCGACTGCATAATGCTGCCAAATTGTACAAGCAACACCAATCAAGAAAATTAAATTGGAGAACGAAGTAAGTACAGAGCAGTGGGTGTATGCCGGTGGCGGTGACAATGGAGATCGATCAGCAATATGGCGTCTTGAAAATAAGCAATCAAAAACAAGCACAAATCAATCCAAATACAACTATTGGGAGAGTAAATGGTGAGAGGAAACAACTATGACATGGTTGAAAGCTCTAAAAAGTCAATTTTACAGAATAGGTCTGCAGTAAAACTATTTTACTGTTGTTTAGCTAGTAATTGTGAATAATCATAGTATGGTGAGATTTCTTCATGACATAAAAATTTCACATTGTGACATCCTTGTAGATTTTAAATAGAATAGTTAGTGAGTAGAATTTATTTGGAAACAATTGGTAATACTGAGATGCATTTTTGCATTTCCAAACCTATAGATATTTAGTAGTGTTCATGGTCTGCATTGGTCATTTAATCAAGAATTTTGGTATTTATTCTGAACAAATAGACAGATAAACTCCACATTATTATATACCTCAATAGGTGTGATGGTGATAGAACAAATATTCTTTCTATTGTGACTGTAAGTCTCTCAGTAAGCCTTAAAAAACAGGCACCAACTTTTTTTCTTCATGAATTTGATTTTAAATTCACATTGACTTAATTCAGGAAAAAAGTCAAATTCTAAAAATAAAGACTGAAAAACAGAGCTGTGAATATATTCCAAACTTGTTAAAAAATACTGGTCTAATTTTACTTAAGAATTTCTGTTTAGGATCAGAACCTGCTTTGCTTTCTAACATTGACATGTCCAGACCACATTGTATTTGCTTTGTTGCAGCAGACTCACACTGCTCTTGACGTCCTTGAGTTTTGGCAGAATGTCCAGTGTGAAGCCGTCAGCCTGCCCCCGAGTGCGGTTCCCTCCGTTCATGTAGTTTCCAAAGGCGAGCACCAGACCCAGAACTTGTAGTACGCTCTGGCTCCCCTGCAGATTCTAATACACACACACCCACCCACATACAGACATATACACACACACACAGGCACACACATAAAGAGAAACAGGTCACTGCAATGAAATTCTAGCCTGACAGACTGGAGAAGGACCATATTTCACCTTGCACACTTTCTGAAGGATGTCTACTTTTCGAACGACGGAGGTGATGCACTCGTGGAAACTCGACTGGAAAAGGATGCAGAAGACTCGCTGGGAAAAGTTGGGGATTTCAGATAACTGGTGTAGAAATCTAAAAAGAAAATGCAGACATAAAGCAGAATAAGGCACAAACATTTTTTTTTTTCTATGAGTCATGGGGGTTATCAGTACTAAGATCAGTTTTGGTAAGAATGTTTTCATATCTTGGCAATGCTAAAATTTCACAAAATGTAGCTGTATGTTTACACAATCATCCTAAAAAGCACAACAAAGTATATTCTATCTGTAAAAATATGTAATTTTAACTAATTTGTTAACTTGAAGAGCCTGTATTATGTTATTTTCTACATATTTTGGGTTCTTCTCTCAGACAGAAAACATTGTTTCAGAGTTTGTTCCACCTTGTGATGTTATGAGGTAAAACAGCAAGTGCTCCACTGTGTTTTTAAACTCATTACACCAACTACAATCATTTGGATGATTTCAGCTCTAGATTTGCCCATCTCTACTGAGCAAAATGTAAAATGCAGCTGTTACCATGAAAACTACCACTACTATGACAGCACAAGGTGGAACAGAGCATTTTGAGCTTTGGACATGTAGACAGAATAATGCAGGATTACTCAAACATGTGCGAATGAAACAAAACAGGACTCTTATGTTTTTGAGGAGGCAATAACATTCTAACATGAATTTTGCAAACTATATGACCTTTAATGACAACTTCAGGTCAATTTATGGTCCCTGGCATCAGTTTTAAAATATTGCTTTGTGCTTCAGCAGTAAGACATATAGCAGACATCGGAATTGGCTGGAAAAATGTACATTGGACCACCTCTGTTAAGTATATATATAATATGAAGTTATTGAGCTCTTACTGTTCTGGTTTGTCCAATAGCTTTGCATCCTCCTTGTCTTTGGTTGCAGTGATGTGCTTTTTGATGCTGTCCAGTTCATCTGCTTGAGCTCGCTAAAACACAAGAGCACACATAGTACAAATACTTACTGCTGACCTGTTACACACTCACATAAATGTAATAGTATGTTTCTTCTGTGCAGATCAAAATATAGTCACACACAAGCATGGCTGACGCTAAAGGCATTTAAAGGTGCAGCATGTATCTTTTCTTATGGAGGTTCTCGAGGTCCCTGGAGGTTTGTTTGTTTTTTGTTTATTTGTATATTTGTCTATGTATCTGCTTTTTTAAAGATTTTTATTAACATCTGTAACTGCAGTGGAAATATGCCAGATTATAGCAAAGATGCTCATTTCAATCTGTTCCCTATAGGCAGTTAACACAGAAGACAATTACAAAATACAAAACAGATACATAGAGACATAACACAGAACAGTAAAAGGCCACACTAAAAGCTCTCACAGGCTTGTTTTTCCTTCATCCACAGCTATTTCCATGGAGACAGTAAGGTAACGTTATTAGGTTAGGTTACGAGTAAGTTCTGTGAAGAGGCATTACCACCCTTATGTATATTTTTATAGTATCTCTTAGGCACTCATCAATGCTAGATAGATAGATTAATGTCATACAGTGTAACATTCCCAGCAAATCTTTAAGCAAGTGACAAAACCCAGCGATTTGACTCTTGGGTGGGTATGTTTTTACATTTCGTAATTCGTATCACATTTGTTTCTGTGAGTCTATTTAGACATCATTAAACCATTGCTATAAATTTACCGAAAGAACTCACAAAAGTACAAAACCTGCTAAAACAGCATTTCCCCTCTCATTCCAGTACAGTGCAATAGTTGCATAATAAACTAGGAGTTGCCCAAAAGCCAGTCCACATTCCTCACTATTATCCTGCTGTCAAGTGGGACCACAGTTTTACACAGAGGTTTGGAGAAAGAGCACCAGAAATGCCCCTTCATTTCACAAGACCCAAAGACAATAGCTGTTAATGTTTCTGAGAGAAGGGAATAACAATGAAACCATCCCGTAGGACACAATATAAACTCTTTTGTAATTCTTCTTCATAGACTCACTGGACCGTTTACAGTGAAGTGCTACATGTTTGATAAGGTCTGAGAAGTCTTTATCCTCTTCTAACATAGTAACGCCTGTGTGGCCCATTGGAGACATTGAGGTATCCCTGAACTTTGCAATTGTGAGTATGGAGCAGAAGTCAGGGCGGGTTTATTCTTTACTTGCTTGAGAAAAAAAAGTAAAAAAATAAATAAATAAATAAACTAGATAGAATAAAAAAGCACTATTACTATAGAAATCTACCATGTTAGAAAGAGCAGTGCAAAATGTCCATAGAGATGCATTAGTAAAACTGTGCAAGAAGTTAAACAAAAGAGCCATGATACAAGCCGTTAAGCTGCTGAGTCACTACTGGAAAAAACATTTATCACTCTACAGTTTCGGAATACTTTTGAATACACGCTATATAGTATTTAGCAACTCAAAATCTCCATTGGTTTAACATCAAGGTAACTGAAGTAAACAAACAGTAGGCCTGTCACGATAATTACTAAATCAACTTATCATTCAATTTATTAAAGCTTTATTTTGGGGATCGGTATTTATCGTGCGTACAATTTCTTTGCAAAGGTGGGAAGATGTTTGTAATTTTTATGTAAAATAATAAGATTTGCGCCACAGAGGGTAGGGAAAAAAAAAAAAAACTTCTATGGCTCAATACTGGTTAATTCTATTTTTATTTCTAGTAGCTCATTTCATCTAAAGTGTGTAACTTATCAGTTGGGTGTCTGTCACCTTTTTGTTTCTATGGATATGGCATTGCTCTCCTTAGAATTTTCCACAATATGACATTAAACAGCTTACCTTACATTTATTCAATTACAAGTGGTTGTATTGCTCAAAAAAATAGGCACTGACTGTGAGTGGGGTCGCCTCTCCACAAATCAAACGTGTAACTTGGCTTGGTTTGGTCTCCATGGACATAGAAAGGTTTAAAACCATACTGTGAAACATTCCAGACAAAGCAAAAACATCTTTACGGGGAAAAGAATTTGATGGATCCTCCACCAAAAACGTTACACAATGTACCTATAAAGTGGCAAAAAATAATTTCAATATTATCATTTATGGCAATATTTCTCTGATGTGATATATTGTGCTTCAAATGTTATCGTGATGGGCATACTCCATACAATATTTTTAGGTTATTGTGTGCATTTATGTAACTTCAATCATAACTTTCAAAACCACTTTAAGACATATGCATAGTACTGTAAGTCTGGTCTGAACACTCTGCCTCTCTGGTCTTTGCCCTCTGCTTGGATCCTTGAGAAACATCAAATGCAGGCATCAAACGTACAGGGCCTGATTAGTATTCTACACAGCGCTGCCTTCTGTCGATGAGGGCAGGCACTCCTTCGGCCTCTCTGGAGATGTTTTCAAGTGTAAATATATTTAACACAAAGCAGATCCGTTTCAAAGGGCACCAGCAGAACCTGCCGGTGTTTGCTGTAATTGGGGACAAGTAGGCATTAGCGTGTGATCTTTGAATTGCTAGGGCATGTTGCAGAGGTGGTTAGCATGAGAAATACAGTCCCATGTGGAATATCAAATGCAAAAGAACTAAAGATGAGATTTGGGATGCCAGAAGTCCGGCGGTGCCAAGTGGTATTCATTAGTCAGGTTTTTGAACAGAACTGGATACTGGCAGCAAGAGCATAATCATTATTTATGTCAATCACTGAAATATTTGGAATGCTGTGCAGAGGTTTTAGAGACAAGGTGGACCAATGTACAAAATACACTAGAACATATGTGGACTTTTTTCTCTATAAGCTCCTCTCCAAACATGTTTATTTCAGTGTATGTAACTATGTGCACTGTTTGTGCAGCTTCCTAGGACCTGGCATCCACACATGTGGACATATATGTCCAACACATTTTGGGTCGTTCAGGCACTTATTAAAAAGTTTCTGCAAATCATTATGCAATTGTGACTTTATGGTGTTCCATCAAAATGATTAAAACATAAAATTAATGTTTTATATATTATATGTGGACATATAAATATAAAAATATAGAAATATTATAAAAATAGAATTATTTGTTTTTATACTCATCAGGTCCCAATCAGCCCAAATAACAAAGAGAAATCAATAAAGCATGCCATGAGTCTAGGAGGATAAGTGTAATTGCATATGTGATGGTGATGGAGGATTGAAATAATGAGTCTAATATGACAGAAGTATCTACAACAACATAAATGATTGACCTGCAAGATGTTTATTATTTCTTACTTAATATTACTGACCTTCTATAAAGTCTTTCTCTGCATCACATTTCACTAAAGCTTTTGTGCAGTCCACATAATACAGGGAGTCCATAAAAAACCTCATATGACAAAGTGGAATGTGTAACGGCATGCATGGGAATATCATTAGAATATCACAAGCCTGTGGCAGTGACCATAGCGTTCCCTGACCTCTGACGTGGGACTGTAATCTGTAACAGTCTGAGGGTCAGACGTGCTGTCTGAGATTAGGAGCAGGACACTGTCACTACAGGACCATTTCAGGGCTTATGCTTCAAAGCATGGGAGACATGGAGCTCAGGAACTCTGGGCTGGGAGTGTCTGTGAGCCAAAGGCTGTATTGTATATAATATATATAACAAATAGTTCTCATCAAGGGCAACATACTGAACCACAGACGAAGCAGAGGGGCTGATTGAGGACACCAGGCTGGTGGTGAATTTATTTAATAATTCAAATGGGTGCATTAAGGGCAGGTTTGACTGAGATCCAAGAAATGTATTCAGGATCATAACCTCAATAGAACACACTGAAATGTTTAATATCGAGTTAATAAATGTTTTTTTGTTTTTTTTGTTATTGCATTAAAAAAGCACTGCTTATGATATTTTGGGCCAATTCTCTGAGAAGCCTGACAGACAAAAAACTGGTCTGAGGGGTGAATTTTGCTCCAAATTTGAACATGCCTACTGTAACTTGCTGAGCTGCCTTTTCTAAACTCAGTTTTTCTATTATTAATTGATGATGATTGATTTAATAGTGAGTATTCATCATGTCCGTTACACTGTCAGCATATCCTTATAATATAAATGTACTGTGTTACGTCCATGCTCTATAAGTATGCTGTGATTGACTGTGATGGATGGTCAAGGAAATTAAGGAAGTATAAGATAAATTATAGAAATATAAGGAAACCACGATAGTTTCAGTTTTGTTCAATAGTCAGTTTTATAACGTCTTTAAAGTGCTTTCTTTTTGGGTGTCCAAGTTGGAAATTCTATTCTATTTTTGTTAAAGCACCCACAACTGCTTTCATATAATCCATCATTCTTATTTCAGATCTGACCAAGTTGTGTAGCGCACTAGCCTGTACAGCTCCCATTGGTTTGTTTGTGCATCGGCGCAGAGAAGTGTGGGATCTCTGGGAGTAAGTCAGGGTGTAACCATTAGAAGCCCCTCGCATTCCTCCAGACGGCCTGACTGTGCTGCCAACTGTGGTTTAGGGGCTGCAGACCCACAGACAGGATGGAGTCTCGCAATACAAAAGAGAAACAATTTGGCTCCTGCGCTCAAAAACAAGGCCTAGGGCGACACAGGGCAGAGAGAGAGAGAGTGAGAGTGAGAGAGAGAGAGAGAGAGAGAGAAAGTGAGGGGGGGGCTGGACCATAGGAGCGAGCGAGGTTAGAAGTTATAGGGGGGCGTTTGATCCTGAATTATGACACGCTGGTTCAAATTCCCATGATTAACATTATTAATATCACTCCACAGCCAAAGGTCCAGGGGCCGGTCTGTGTAGTGGTGCCAAGAAGCAACGCGCAGGAATTTCGCACCATCTTTAAACGGAATCCCGGTCCAAATGTGGAAAACATGCTGCTTTCCTTGTCCTACTATTTAGTGACTTGATCCAGGTTTGAAGGTATCTTAAGTGCGGTGAGGATGAGGGAGAGCTGATGAATATGTAAGGGCTGTACACCAGGACCTATCAGAGCCGCATGTAGATGGATGGGAGAGCAGTGATGACAGCTAAGCCAAATGGAATATCCTCACTTGAAAAGGCTAAGAGTGTAGTCTCTATTCAAATGAGTCTGTGAACAAAAGTATTACATATGACCACTGGTCTTAGTTGTCAATAAGCTGTATTGATAATAAACTGAAAAAATAAAATACATAAATATATTAAATCAAGCATTATTATTGTTGTTGTTGTTGTTATTATTATTATTATTATTATTATTATTAATAATAATAATAATAATAATAATAATAAGTCACCTAACAGACTCTATTGTTGCATATTCACATTTGTCAGTACTCCAGAAATACATCCCATGTCAAGTGAAAAATGTCCAATTCCAATTTCCTCTAAGTTCATCTTTTATCCAGTTATATGCACATCAGTCATGCTGAGTGAACTGTCTTGTGACGCCTGTAGCTAATTCACCAATAAATAATCAAACCATGATTGATCTCTGTTTTAATCTGGACACTTGTTCAAAGTCACTTTACAAAAGTCATGCTTCAACATGATGCGATAACTGTTAAGAGATGTTTCTAATTACAACACACACACAGAGCAGCCCACAGCTACAAGAAGTGCTACAAAGTTTACTTATCTTGCTCTGAGGGTGGTACTTAAAAGATAACCTAATTCAAAATGTAAAGATGCATTACGTACATTTTGTGGTAGAGAGTGTGCCACCTGCTTGTCTCCATGGTGATGCTATTGCTTTGCTTGAAATGTTCCATATGTATTGGTTATGAATCATGCCATTGTCATTTATAGCAAGTTAAGGCCCCAACAAGCATTTTACCCGATTCCCCACAAGACTTGAAACAGTCTTGCTGATCGTTCCAGTGTTCTGTATACCTAATAAAGACCATTAAAGAGCCCATATATTGCACTATTTTCTGATCTATGTTATAATGTTGTTTCCTCAGCAAAAACATACGCAAAGTTGTGTTTTGTTTCATTTACACATGTTTAACATAAAAATCCTGCATATTTAGACTGAGACAGAAACAGAAAACACTCTGTTCCACCTTGTGATGTCATGTAGTAATACAGGAAGTGCTGTACTTTGTTTCTAAACTCCATACACCTTCACTAGAATCATTTGGATAATTTCAGGCCTGGAATTGCCAATTTCTACAGAGTTAAAGGTAAAAGGTAGCTCTTAACTTGAAACCTACCACTTCATGACATCACAATGTGTATTTTGAGCTTTGGAGATGTCGACAGACTAATAATAAAGGGTTACTCAAAGATGTGTGAATGAAACAAAGCACAACTCCGTGACAATGTTTTAATGAGGTAACAACATTCAAACATGCTTTAAAGCACACAAGAGTCAATTTGGCATAATATGAAGGACCTTTAATTATGTTTACTATGTAGAAGCACTGACCGTAGCCCACCTGTGCTCAGCTCTCCCATGTGTCTCTACTCACTACAGACCTGCTTTTGTGACTGCACTGGTATCCATATCTAACGCACACACTTTACCTTTCAAGTGGAGAGCTGAATAGAAACTTCCCCTTCAAATGTCAAGAGGAATATTTGACTGACATTAGAAATAAACAGATGTGTATTATGTCAATATGAGGACAAATCCAACTACAAAGTCTATTATTCTGGCTAGACAGTGATCCTTATATAATCAGTCAAGGTATTTTTGAAGGATTGTGTTTTGTGGCTTACCCTCTGTGAAGGACCAAACCAAACAGCCCTAACAGACGCTGAATGATTTCTTGCCATACTGTTGATATGAGGGCCAGCTAAGCTCTCTCCAGTTTCTCTTGCTAATGAAATGATTGGCTGCTATTGGAATATGGCATGAAACGGCTAACCATAAATCATTTAATTTGTCACAACTGAAAGCTCAGAACTGATACTTTTGCAAACCACAGAGAAAAACTCCAAGTGCAAGGTTTTCCCAGGCCGAATATTGCAGTCACCTCAGTCCGAGCTGTCAGCACTGGTACATTGTATAATTACTGCAGGTTTCTTGCTCAATTCTCAGTGTTTATGGGATTCTGAGTTGGCGAGTTACTTTTTGGCACAATGTTTTATCACTGTTTTAACAATACGATTATAGATAATTTTGCATGGTATGTTAATGTTTATATGTACTCACATTTTCGTACAGAGCTTGCAGTGTCTCCAGGTCCACGATGCTGTTGTCCATGTTGAGAACGGCTGGAAAAGAAACGGATTATATAAATATAGAGAGAAGACTAAATAAACATCTTAATTAGACATATTCGTTACATTAATCCTTTCTTGGCGTCTTTTTGCAACGATACAGAAGGCAAATAATGGACATAATATCTTTACCATGTTTAATCAAGTTCATTCTAATGACTCAGTAATCCTAACAAATTCCTGTAACTTGAGCATGTGAAAAAAATAGAGCCAATGACAACACAAATTAATTAAAGTCTTACTTAAGTCTTAAGTGGATGGAAATTTCTTATTTAGAAAACAATATCCAAAGCTTAGAGCTCTAAAAGATATTATTCATGATTTTATATAAACTAGGGCAATCCAGTTAAGGATATAACAAGCTTGTGTCAATGAAATTAAGAGATTAGCTGCCGACATGGAATAAATATTTGATGGTCCTGCTGACTCAAAGTTAATCTGTGGGTTTTCATAGAAGTCGCGATCAATCTGCTCTTTCATAAAGGAGTCAATTTGATTCTCTTCTGTGTGAGAGGGCGCGCTCAAATGGAAAATAGTGTTCATAGTTAGAAGTAGGAACTTGAATTGCAGCAAACTTGAGTAACATTAAGTTAAAGGCGCACTATGTAACCTTTCTGTGAAGAGTCCAATACCTGCTTGTCACTATTACAAGGAATGTTCCATAGTATGGCATTAAAGAAGACTATAGTGCTGTGTAATTATAATCTATGACACATGTGGATCATTATAATACAATTTGGACATTTTAAATCACAATATTCATCTAAAACAACTTAATAAAAGAAACAAGTCCACTGATTTCTGTGTTAGAAAACTGAAGTGCTCACTGGGAACCAACATCATTGTAAACGTCATCACAATAAAGCACCATGCAGCTGCCGGCACCTCCTTTGAGGAGTGGCTTTGTTTGCATTTGTACCAAAATCACTTGGCAAAGCTGCTGAATCCTGTGTGTATCACAGATTAAGAAAATAAAATTGGAATACAAAGTAAGTACAGAGCTGTAGGCGTATATTCAAACATGCACGATCATCAATATCACACTGCTTGCGTCTTTCATGCTTCATTACTGTTTTCATTGTGTGCAATTAAAAACTTGGCAAAAAAAAAAGCTGCCGTTCCCTTCTGAGACATGCTGCTAACAGACTGGTGTAAGCCTACCCCTGGATTTACCTGCCACCTGACTACCATTTGTTCAAACATCATTTCCAATCACATTGCTCTTTAGCGAGCTCAAGGTGGAATAAGACAAAGGGCACAGTCTCTCCTCAGAGTCCTGGGATAATGTCAGGATTGGTGTGTGCAGCCAGTTACACAGTTATCACTTGTCATGGTGATAGTAAAACATAAATATGCAGTTTGGAGCAGTCTGTCAGGCCTACGAGATGTGTGTTTGAACTCCTGTGTTTGAATTCCTGGTGTCGCCTTTTTGTCTCGCTGCGAGGACCTGGCGCCCGCGAGCATTAATCCTTTGAAAGTAAATGTTTAAAGACAAACACAGCCCGGGGGTCTGTGGTGTTGCTGTACGTGCAACTGCACACAGCCCAGCTCTCCACACCTATATATGTCTGTGGGAGCTTGAGGTGTCTGAATGACTTTTGATCAGTGTGAGAGGTGCACAGGGAATGTCACTGTGTCATGTGTGTGGCAGGAATTCAATAATAGCTTCACTGCATTATATGGACTTCACTCACAGGCCAGTTTTATTGTTTTCAATATTAAGTCCCATATTAGTCATTAAAAAGCAACTCGTCTACTGTCACTACCTGAGAGTTCCTTTGTTTTTTGTGATCCTTTGACCCAATAAACACACTGTCTAAGATTGACAAAATGTGTAATATTTGTATGAAAGAAAATGGCTTGTTAACGACACAGTATGTAACTTTCTGGAGGTGTCATGTCACCTACACAATTCCATGAAAATTAAAAATTTAAAGAGGCCCTCCTCCAGCCCAAATACAAGACCGGATTGTGGAGATACAGTGCAATAAACAACCAAATTGAAAGAATAAAAATCCAAAACATGCTTTTATTTTAATTGTTTTTTTCTTTAAATTATTACATACTGTAGTTTAAAGGTGCACTGTGTAAATTTTCGGGTTGGGGGTCCATCATCTTCTAGTTTATATAGATTCTCATTGCTCTGCTTAAAATGCTCCACAATATGACTTTAAAAGATCTACTTTACCTTTACTTTTTTATTCAATTACAGGTGGTTTTATTGTCCAAAAAATACCTAGAAAAAAAGGCATTCTGACTGTGAGTGAAGTTACCTCTCCACTGATCTGACCTGTAACTTGGTCTGGTTTGGTCTCCATGATGATAGACAGTTTTAATGCCATACTATGAAACATCTCAAACAAAGCAATAACTTCTCCATGAAGAAAAGCTTTTGACAGACCCTCTACCAGAAAACTTACATAATAACACCTTTAAACTATAGCCACAACATTGGTGTGGAAAATAGTGTCATTTTGACTCATAGAAGTGTTTCTGATTAATGGATTTTTAAAATCCTGTATTGCCACATTTTAATTAAGGAAATGCTCCATTCTCAAACCATACTGGATTTAATATTGCTTATTTCAACTTGCTTTGTCACAATATTTGGTCATTCAAAGTTCCTAAATTAAGCAAATTGTACTCTTGTGAGCTTTTAGCCATGTTAGAATATTGTTACCTCCTCAAAAACATACCACCAGTTGTGTTTTGTTTCATTCACACATGTTCCACCTTGTGATGTCATTAAGCGGTAGTTTTCAAGTTAACAGCTACCATTCACCTTTTCTTCAGTAGCTAATTCCTGTCTAAAATTGTCCAAATGGTTCAAGTGAAGATGTATGGAGTTGGAAAACACAGTGGAGCACTTTTTGTATTTCCACATGACATCACAAGGTAGTACAGAGTGTTTTTCTTTTGGGAAAAGAACACAGCCTAAATATTCAGGATTTGTGTGATGTGGAAACATTATAACATCAGAAAACAGTGTAATATGATATTTAATAGCCAGCCTAAGCCCTATAACGCATATAGATTCATAGACAAACCAACGGCTGTATCTGCTGTGTCCACTCTGCTCTGCTCAGACAGTTATATTAGTTTAGCAGCAGAACAATCAGTGCAATAGTGTAGGAAAATGTGTCAACTGTTCTGAGCAATTTAGCTGTCATACAAACCGACAACGTAAATAAATGATTCATAAGTTGTTTTTCCGTTTCATTTAGCAGGCTTTAGGATGGCATCTCGCCTATTATTACTCTTTGTCAGTGAGGAATTACAGCAAAATGAAAAGAGTGAGTCACTACAATTAAAAAGTTCAGACTAATTCATCTTTCCTTCTGTAAACATGCAGATTATTAAAATTCACCCCAACCTCAAACATGAGATCATTTCCTGGAGAAAACAACACTGGAGTTTTGTTATATGAATATTTCACTCTCTTCTAAGCCTAGTCTACAAATCAACTCCAATGAGAACAAAACAAACAGAAAACTCTCGCTGCTTTGAGGTCAGATTTTGTTGATGAAAAAGAGCAGGCAGCGCAGGAATGAATATTAAAAAAACATGATACAAAAATGTTTAGACTTCCTTCAATTTAAATAATGGCTGCCGGAAACAGATGAGAAAGTATTAATTAGATCAATTTTAGTATTCATCAACAAATAACTTTCCTTATGGAGACAATGAAGTACACATTAACCTTTGCTAAAACATAAGAACTGATAAAAAATACAACACGCTTTTATATAGCTTTTACCATCTTGAAAGGGTCCATATTACACTATTTTCTGATTTATGTTATAATGTTTTTCTCATCAAAAACATACCTAGAGTTGTGTTTTGTTTCATCCACACACATTTAACACACAAACTGTGTGGCTGAGTTCTTCTCTTCATTAGAATAATTTGGACAATTTCATCCCTATAATTTCCAGTCTCTATTGAACTAAAGGTAAAAGGTAGCTTTGGAGATATAGACAGTCTAATAATAAAGGATTACTCAAACATATGTGAGTGAAACAAAACACAGTGTTCCATTCTAACATGGCTAAAAGTTCACAAGAGAAAATTTTGTGTAATATAGGACAGTTAAGTAAAAATATAAAAAGTCTTGAATACAACAAGTTACAAAATTTTTTATATACTGCATTATTCTGTTATTGCTTTTACTCTGTTTTTATTTACTTCTGCCACAGTGTCAAAAGTTGTTGGAATCAGATATCTAGCCCGTGATCTCACCGACATGATATAATGACTAGTACAATCAGCGCTGATTGTGTATGATGGTAAAAACTGTCCTAACACTGGAGACGGATGACAGGCCTGATGAGAGTGGCCCCTGTGTGACCTCAGACCGGGAAGCACTTACAGTGGAACTAGTACTCTCTCTCTACTACTACTTGAGTAAAAGTACTGTTACTTTGTCAGTAATAATACAATATGTACTATAAATGCAGCTACCACTATCACAAGCTCCTATGATTTAACATATAACTATAAGTATTGCTTCTTATACTCAAGTCAACAGGCAAGAGGACAAAACAGAGCACCTCGGAGCGCCTAAACTTACTACTAGAATAATGCTTGAGGATTTTACAACAACTATCACTAGTACATACACTGATGGGAAGAATACTTTGAAAATGTATTTAGTTACATAATAATGAGTTCCTGCATTACAATGTATTTTGTAACATATTCCAATATATCAGAGTACTGTATTCTGAATACTTTGAATACTTTTATATCGAGTTGCATTCAAATGTGAAACGTAACATTGGATTAAAAACAGCTTTGTTTGTTTGACCATTTGTTACGCATTTACAGTGTTTATCACTAATTGGAGAAGGAAAGATTGCACATGTACTTACCACAAGAGCAGTGAGTTTTTTCTCTCTCTCTTGCTAACATCGAACAGTGTGAAGCCTAAATTGTGTGATCAAGCACAATGATGTATCCCTATGAAAGCTAAATTTATTCTGAATACCACCAAATGAAAAATAACTGTAATGGAATACAAAGCAAAATTAGTATTCATAATAGGTATTCTCAGTGAATGTGTTCAGTTACTTCCAAACTCTGAGCACATATGACAGGTCTATTGCATTATTCGGGGGACAGTATAAAGTAAATATTTATTATAATTTTAAACCAGGTAGATAACAGTAATGTAATGATCTCTTATGTCAGATCTACTGCCCATGTCAAACCAGAAATGATAAACTTCAACAAAATTCTCTAACTAAAGAAAAGTAAGTAAAATCATTAGTAAAATCTGATCTTAAAATATATAAAATTTGTGTATAAAATTGTGTAGTCTAATTTGCCATACGGATTAATTTAACAATAATTTTAATGCCACCGCTCCACCTATGCTTATTACAGATTTGCTTCTACATGAATAAGTTATTAGTACACGCAATCTCTGTTAACACTATACTGCTAGTGCGCACTTGACTAGATCATCATCGTTTCTTATTTTATTTAAAAAATTGTGATTCTGTAAGTGGGAAACAGAATAACTATGAGCGCATGGACACCTTTTTTAAAATATTTTGACAAGATTGGATTTGAGTGACAATTGATGTTTGACTTTGTTTGTTTGCACGGTGTTCTTTTTGTTTATTTTAGTGTAGTGTGGAGAGAAGGGTGGGGTGTGGGAGAGTTTTTTATTTATTTAAAATTTCTAAATTGGGGGGGGGGATTTTAATTAAAAAGTTTGTTGTTTTAAGTTATTTGAAAATAGTGTATGTGCATTTCAAAAACTATACCACAGAGTGAAAGTACCTCATTACAGCTGAATGTGACACTGTGAGAGAAAGTCTAAATGCAGTTTTATGAAAAGCTTTGAAGAAAAACCAGCCCCTGAGCCTCACTGTTTACTGCCTGTTTAACACAAGACGGGAATGGTCTTTGTGGTCTGCCTTTATTTTGAAGTTGTCTATCCCGCTGCCATATGTGCCACAATAATCAGGTTTGGGGGAACGGTCCCTGTGAAAAGGATGGGAAAAAAGGGGCCTGATGTTTAGAAATAAGGACGAAGGAAGACTAAGGAGCAATCAGACTCAAACTCAAACAGGAAGACAGTTGGTTCCCATCCACCTCTCCTCCATGACTTCACCTCAGCACCGTGACCGAAGAGCTGTTGACAACTCATCAAAGGCGGACAGTAATGAAGAATGTGCGATTAGCCTCGATGTGAGAAAGGAAAAACACTAGGAAGGTTTTGAAACTGTCGTCCAATTTTATGACTAGTGATAAAACAGAATGGACTTAAAGTGACATCAGCAATGACCTCAATGGCCGTCCCATTCAAAATAAGCTGTCCCTTTCACTGTCCTAACCAAACACCATCAAGATGATCCCAAAGACAGCACTTCCTAAAGCTATGGAAAGTCAAAGTCCGCCATGACGCCTCGAGGAAAGCCAAATACATTACAGTAGAGATGTGCTTGAGTGGTTTCGCAGCAAAGTCTACTTTAGAATTCTGAAAACAGTGCCGGAGCTGGAGGGGTTGAGAGGTTAAATAAGTGAATGAGCACTCAATAAATGGAAGTGGGTTTTGTACATTGGAAATTTGAGAAAGTTGAACGGGGTGAAGGACATGTGGTATTATAATAAACCTTAACCTCTGTAACGAATGCTGGAAGTCGCATTTGTTAACCCTACACTTGGGGCAGGATCCTGCAGTGACTGAAAACTACCATAGTAAAACTCATGACAGTTTTAGAGGGGAAATGGACTTGGACTACTGCCTTACAGGAATCAACCTTTTTATTGTATATTTAAAAGTAATGTAACTTCACACACTTTTTTATTAATGAAAATGTTTATCCTAAGTAATGTAACAAGAATTTAAAGATGCATTGTGTAATGTTTCTAGTGAAGGGTCCGTCAAATTCTTTTCTTCATGGAGATCTTCATGCGATTGATTTGTCTGGATGTTCTACAGTATGGGATTAAACCTTTCTATCTTCATCGAGACCAAACCAGATCAAGTTACAGGTCAGGTCTGTGGAGAGACAACCCCACTCACAGTCTGAATGCCTGTTTTTCTAGATATTTTTCAGCTATAAAACCACCAGTAATTTAATATATGTAAGGTAGGGCTGTTTAATGTCATACTGTGGAAGATTCCAGGCAGAGCAATGACATAGCCATAGAAACAGCAGGTGACTGACCCCCAAATAATAAGTTACACAGCACACCTTTAACATGATATTACACAAGAGATAACGCAGAAAATCTTGAATAAGTAAAAATGATCAAGTCAAGGAAAAATGCCAAAGGAATAAGCTCTATCCGGGTTATAATACAAAAGAAATGTATCTCCTGCTGCATTTTCACTTGAAATAAAAAAAAAAAAAATAAATAATAAATATGAAGAAAACTCTTTTTACATCTGTGCAATTAGTCCAATTTGAATCAAGATTGAAATTCAATCATTTTAAATCCTCAATGATCAGCCAGGGTCTTTTGATCGGGAAGTAAGAGCATGTGGTTTGGACCTGTGTTCAAACTTTGGAGTAACTTTGACTATTTTTGTGTTAAATGGCACTAATTCAAAGTCTTCATGCTCAGGAAATTCTTCATTTTTATTTGTTTTTAATAGGACATAATAGAATCAAATTGCAGATCCTAATTGTTCAATATTAGCCCTAAGGTTTGAAATAAAATGATGTAAAAATATTACTATTGGCAACTGGCTAGTCAAAATCTACTCAAATCTAATCAAAATCTACTCAAATCAAGATAGAATGATTTATCCACAAAGTTTTAATTTACTTTAGCTTTTGTGTTTTTCACAGTGTTTTATCTTAGACCAGGGTTGGCGGTTGCTTATCCCAAAGTATGTATGGAATAGCATCCCTTTGAGCATATTACATTAGCTATTTCACTATTTTCTTCATGGAGAAGTTATCCATGTGAATAATGTTGTTTCCTCATCTCAAACATACCTGGAGTTGTGTTTTGTTTCATTCACACACACATGTTTAACACTGAAATCCTGCAAATTTAGGCTGAGTTCTTCTCTCAAGGCACTCTCTTCCACCTTGTGATGTCATGTGAAAATACAGGAACTGATCCACTGTGTTTTTAATCTCCATACAGCTTCACTAGAATCATTTGGATGATTATAGCCTTGGAATTGCCAATCTCTACTGAACTAAAGGTAAAAAGTAGCTGTTAACTTGAAAACTAACACTTCATGACATACTACTTTGTAAACAAACTAGTAATGTAGTATTACTAAAACATGTGTGAATAAAACAAAACACAACTCCAGGTATGCTTTTGAGAACTAACAACATTATAACGTGACTTAAAGCTCACAAGAGTTAATTTTGCGTAATATGGGACCATTAAGTCCTGCAAACTCACCTTTTTGCACTGACATTTCACACGAGCCGAGCAATGTTATTTATACTTCCTATTTTCAGTTATTATGCTTTTTCAGTCATTTTAAATTTGTACAGCACATTGGGCTGTGCTGCCTGTAATTACTGTATAACCTTGACCTATCTTTTTCTAGTATTTTAGCTCATTTGCATCACCCTCTGAGACTCACCATTACGGATGTCCTTCATGTCCAGATGAATACTAGACATCAAAATGCCCACAGCCTGAGACCGCTTGTTGCTCAACAGCTTCACCACCTGAATCCCAAAACACATGAAAGGGACATTAAAACAAGAATACACAAGTGCACAGATGAGACACACGTTATGTAAGCAATAATGTTTTTGAATACACATTTGTGGGGAGAAAAGTGCTGATCACATGTTTTCAAAGACGTGTTTATTTCAACATTTGCAAACAGCTACAGTTTTTTGTTTTGGAGGTTTGTTGCACCTGGTAAACATAATTAAGGAACTGTAGTATTCAGCAGCATACTAACATTTCAAAGCACTGAAATGAGTAAAGGCCTTTTTACGCAAAGTTGACTCATGTGAGCTTTAAGCCATGTTATAATGTTGTGACCACATCAGAAACATACCCGGAGTTATGTTTTGTTTCATTCACACATGTTTGAGTAAACCTGCATTACTGGTCTGTCCACATCTCCAAAACTCCAAATGCTTTGTTCAGCATTATGATGTCATGAAGCGGGACTTTTCAACTACCTTTCACATTTTTTTAAGTAAAGACAGGCAGTTCATTGCTGAAATCATCCAAATTATTCTACTGAAGCTGGATGGAGTTTAAAAACACAGTGGAGCACTTCTTGTATTGCCAAAAGGTAGAACAGAGTGTTTTCTGTTTAAGAGAAGAGCTCACCCTAAATAAGCAGGTTTTGTGTGTCAAACCTGTGTGAATTAAACAAAACAAAACTCCAGGTATGTTTTTGATGAGGAAACAACATTATAACATAGATCAGAAAATAGTGTAATACAGGCCATTTAAAATATGACTTATAAAAGGAGGTTCCAGCAGTTGATATGAGGCCAGTGTTGTTAGTTGGCATCCGAATGAGGGGACCATTAGAAACCGCAGCCTGGCTGAGTAAGCAGCTAGTTTTAACATCGGGGGAGAGAAAGGACAGGAAAACCCTGGTCTGCTGCAATCCAGACAAAAATCTTCCATCCAAACCAGATCACATCAACCACAAGTCTCCCCAACATACAGGAAGTTATATCACCAAAGCCCCCCCTCCCCCTCAAAAATAGTACGCTTTCTCCAACCACAACTTCAGCATACTCTTGAAATGTGATGCAAGGAGACTGGCAATTCGCGTGTTATCTGGCCACCACGGCTCCTGATAGCACTGCTCTGTGTACTTTACAGTCCATTTATACACATTTAAAATTCCTCAGTAGTCACCGAGAGAAAACAAAACACAGATGGATTCGTAGACCGCTAGTTATTATTTTTTGTGATGGACAGTTTCAAGGGAAGCCTTTCAAGAAAATAAGAGGAAGTTCCATCGTAAAGTGTTTTTCGAAGAGTTATACAAGCATGTGTCTTCAGTTTATGGTTTATGGATATCCTCACAGTCACATTAATTATATGCTGTTTGGTTGAGTCAGTTATGTACAGTTTGGAAGTAATGAAACAAAAGATATATGAGAAAATATTTGAATTTAACTCATTCAGTACAATGGCAGATTCTTTAACAATAACCACAGACTGTATAAAGAAATGGACTTAAGAAAATGTGACGTCACCCATCAGCTCCAGTCAAATGAAGCTCAGGAGGCTAGCAGTTATATGAGTGAATTTGGAGCCAGTTCCACATTAGAAATAGGAATTTATTTACAAAATAGCTAGGTTCGCTATGTTCAATACAAAATGCTGGAAGAGGCCGTAACTCCATCTGCTAGCAGACGTGCAGGAATTGTACTTAAACACAGAAACGTTCAGAATGTGTCTTGTATATGTGTATGGACTTTAAAAATGCAGAGCTTCATGGATTGGCTTAAAGGTGCACTTTGTAACTTTTCTGATGGAGGTTATCACAATGAAGTTAATGGTCAGATATATATTTTTTGGATGATTTAGGGTTTTTTTCAGAGCAAGTGGCAATGAAGTCAATATGCAGGATTCACTATGACAATTAAAACTACTGAAAACACACAATATTTTGAAGAGGAAATAACATGTTGATAGAACAGTCCACCCAGCCAATATCTCACCCTAATATTATCATAAGGAGATGGACGGGTAAATTATGGATTTCCGCTCACTATGTCCTGTTAGTGCATGTTCTCACAGTGAATGAACGCTGTGAATTGTGTAGTCATTTTAGACTACCTCAAATGCGAAAGTCCAATAAAAATGAACAAAGAAGCGAGTTATAGAGTCCAAATGGCGTGAGAAAATAGTTTGTTTAAGTAACAACTTAGTAACTGCCCAACACTTGTGTCTTTTACCAATCGCAACGTCAGAGTCAAGGACAGTCTGTACAGCATTGTTAATGATACAGTGGCATTACCTCACTCTCTCATGGTACAAAGAGGGCAGCTCCAAGAATCAAATGCAATCCATCTCTGACAAACTACTTTTGTACTATATGTGTAATGCAAGCCTTGGCAACCCATAATTCACCTCATGTGGTAGGTAAATATTGCTCAAATTCCAGCTAGGTACAAAGATTAGATGCCTGAATTTGCAGTAGCCTATTGTATAAGAACAATGTCAGCTCTTACTGTGATGCATACTGCTGTGATCTTCTTTTCTGCATAATAAAGGCTTTGGTCCATATAAAATGTGAAATGAAGCATCACCATCATGCATGTAGGGCTTTTACAGTTCACATACATTTTCATAAATGTTGGTCTTGGATTTGGGATCATTGCTGAGGAGGATTTCCCATCAGCGTGTGTGCCCAATAGTCACATTTTGTGTCAGGAAATGCTATACACTGAGTCCACTGGGTTTTAATTAAAAGGGGAAACACTCTTCCCTGGTGCAACATCATTTGTGATTTAGAAACATAACTCACGCCAAAAGCAGATCAGCAGAAATGTTTTGGACTGGAAAAGTTTTAAGATGTGCACTGTAGATCAGATGTTAGACATGCAGATTGATGGAGTGACATAAAGGCTATTACAGAGGAAAACAGTGGGACTATAAAAGTAAGTCATACAGAAAGCACAATGGGACAAACCACTGTATGCAACACAGCTCCAAGCCTGGTCTCCTCTCTGCCCTCTCCACACTCATCACCATCATGAGGTTTCCTCACCGCACGCGAGCTGTTGGCTCAGTGCCCACAGAGTCCCAGGGGAGTCGGGCGGGAGCCAGAGCTCACACCACATAATAACTGTCTGGCTCTAACAGTTCCTCCTGTCACTCACACAAACTGGATGTGGAGAATGGTGGAATCTTCTGAATCAAAGAGATACTATGCTACATGCCACAATGTCATAGAACATACCTGTTTGGCTTTGGTTTTGCTGATGGTGTCTGAAATTGGCTTTTTCTTTTCCTTTACAGCACTTTTAGAAAAGAGCTCCACAAATTCATCAAAATCCACAGATGGTTCTTCAATTTTTTCCCACACCAACTTGTCATTATGCCTGGAGATAAATAAAGGTGATATTTAAAATGCAACACGTAGCACTTCAAACTGCCAGCAGTTACTTTTAAAAATACAAAGGATACTTTCATAATGAAATTGATGATGTTATTCTACCGTAAGAGTTAATGATATTTTGCGATTTGTGCTTGTTTATGAGTACTCAGATGTCATAATTCTTAATAAAATGCTCAGCACTTGACAAATCTCTTAGTCTACAAATTATATTTAGATTGCAGTATCAAGTTCCCCGCTTGAGAGTAAATCAAGCAATCTATTTGTAGCTGCATGTTGGACTGTAATTTTCCAAGCCTTATTAAGGAAAAGAAAAACCTGGTTCAAGTCAATCCACTGCCCACCACAAAGCCTGGACTACATCACTTTCATTTTCCACAAGGTTAAGCATCTCTACTGCCGTCACAGCACGCGCCTGATCTTAACTTTGCTTTCTCCGCTGTCTGCTCATACCTGTGCACAAATGATGCGTGTCTATCGGCACTTACTTTTTAGCATGCAGCTGGATGCGTGTCCAGTACAGTGGCTTCATGGGCTTGGGGGGCTCAATTATGGCCTTGGCAGTAGCTGCTTCCTGGACGACCATGGAGGGCATGGGCCCTGGTGGAGGGGGAGGACCAAAGCCCGGAGGTGGGGGAAGAGGTGGGCCCATCCCAGGTGGAGGAGGTGGTGGAGGAGGTCCACAACCAGGAGGAGGGGGTGGGGGTGGTGGTCCACAACCAGGGGGAGGGGGTGGGGGGGGTGGTCCCATACCAAAAGGAGGGGAGGGTGGTGGCGGAGGAGCTGGGGGTCCCATACCAGGAGGAGGAGGAGGAGGTGGGGGGAGGGGGGGGAGGTGGTGGTCCCATACCTGGGGGAGGAGGAGGAGGGGGGGGGGTGGAGGTGGAGGAGCACATAGGGGTCCCATTGCAGGTGGAGGAGGTGTAGCTTTAACATCAGTTTGTTGCTTCTTCTGGCAGATACTGCACACAGGGCCATCTGAAGCTGAAGTGGGAGTAGATTTCCCAGTTGATGCCTGGCTCAAAGGCACACTGTCAGCCCTTAGACTCTCTTTGGTGGGGGAAGTCTGGACACACACATCTTGTTTTTTCCCTGTTACTCTGCCTGTCACCTGTGAGGTCTTGTGCAGAATACCAGCCCCTGAACTGTCACCAGACTTCTCTGTCTCTTTTGCGGAGCTGCCCTGCTGGCCCCGCAGCACATCAATCTTAATCCGCAGATCACTGATGGTGCGCTCCAGCTGAGGCACCAGAAGGCCTTCATCCTCTGAGGAAGACTGTCCTGATTTCAACCTGCTGGATTCTGTCTGTCAGGAAAAAAAAAACATATATATTCAAAAATATTTTTAATAACCTGTATGTATGTGTCCAAATCTACTTTCAAACATCTGAAATCCTTCTTGTGAGCTGAAGACATTTAAGCAGGCTACAAGGTCACAACCACATCATATATCTTCTATAAACTACATGTTATAACAGAACAGTAAAAGAGCCACAACTAAGGGACAGGCTAGAGATCTGCAGTGGGGTGAACACAGTGCATTGTGTCTAGACTCGTCAGAGCGCTGGCTCCAGACTGGTTACATCAGGATGAGAGGATACTGAGAGATTTGACCCCGAGACACTGAGTCTGGCAGGGCCTCACATGAGGAGGGTCTGTAAACATACATTCACATATAGTGGTCACATCTTTGAATCTTACAGTGCTCACTATGGCTTCAGTAGTTTATTTATTTTGTTCAGGAAGTAAAGGGTTCCACTTGAAATGGTAAGTCAGGACAAGTCTGACCTCTGCTGGACAAAAGGGACTTTACACCTCGTACACGCATTTCAGGGTTATGCTAATTTATGTTTGCAACAAAAAGCAATCAAGACACTATCTAATATAGAATTAATTATTATTTTAGGAATACTATAGGTTGTAATGTCAAAGGTCACTTAAGTCCTTAACAAATATCAGTCCGCTCCAATTCAGAGTGGATAGTGTCTTACCGGAGAGGGCAGAGCTGATGAGGGTTTGACAGGTGACGTCTGCAGCAGAGCGCGCCTGGCGTTAGTGACTCTGCCAGTGCTTTTACCTCCGTACAACTCCCATATGTGAGAGGATACAGGCAGTCCCAGAGAGGCCCAGGTGTACAGCTGCTCCTCCTATAAACACACGGAGAGATAATAGTTTCAAACATCTTAGAATTGTTATCCTATTGTTATGTTATGTGTGTATTTTACATCACTAGTTTTTCTTATTTCCTATCACCAAACAGAACATTCAAAATGGAATTGTTTGGCCAACCGAATCTCAAATGTGTGACCACTACTGAAGTGGATTTGATTGGATTGAGTGTGTTGTGAGCTTCACATAGAATGGCCAATATCCAAACACAATGGATACAATACTGCCATCTAGTGGTGTAGCGCATTATGGCATAGGACTTGAGGAACATCTGAATCAGAGCATATTCCAGCACTTATCTAATGAATCAAACCAAATAGTCAAACTATTCCAATGTCATGTAACCTAATCCATCTGTTGCTTATGTAGATATTATATGTACTATTGGACTTGAAGAAATACATTGATGACAATATAAAGTGGGGTCATTCATTTTACGATAAATATGTGACTGTATAAGGACACGGCATTCATGAATTATTACATACAGTGGAGCAGCAGAGACAGTTTAATCTAATAAACTGAAATTATTTACATTCAAGGCAGATAGAAGATACAGAAGCATATAGGTGTATACTTTAAGTGGCGACTACAAAGATTATATCTGGTCAGAGTGAGTAATAGAGTCCTCCAGGCCTTGCTTGGCTGCAGCAAGAACAGAAAAAGCAACTGTGATAGTGTGTCCAATGGAGTCAGGGAAAGCTCTGAGCTGGAGAAGAGCAGCCAGAGCACAAGGCACGTGGAGCTGTTACATAACTCGGTCAGCAGATGGTCTACGCAATCACTCATGTGTGTATGACTGTGTATGTATGTGTGCTTTTGTGAATGTGTGTGCCTGTGTACGTGCGTGTGTGTCTTTCTGTATGTGTGTCTGTATCTGTGTGCCTGTGGTTTTGTGTAGGACAGAATGTTGAAGGGGGTACCATTAAGCCAGCCAGGCAATAAATAAACACAAATACATAGACTCTAAGTGCATACATGCTGTTAATGTTGCAGGCCTGTATATAACTGCACAAACTCAACACATAATAGCTTGCTCAGTGCTTTAGGGTGTTGTTACATTAGTTTAATATCATGGACTGCTGCAACAACAATGTCAATACAAACACAGTATTGATAAAATACAGTGAAATATAAGAAATATCAAAATACCAGAAGGCCAGTTTGTATATTATGAATGTGTATGTTATGGAAGAATTGAAGATTCTAATTGAGATGACACTGTTACTGCTTTTTTATTGCCCTGCTCGCCTTTCCACAGAGATGGTCCATAACTCGGCCTGGAGAAGTTACCTGCTTCTCTCCATGGATGCTATCTCAGAAATGTTACTAATGTTGTCTTAAGGTCCTATATTACACTAAATGGATTCTTGTAAGCTTTAAGCCATGTTAGAATGTTTCCTCATCAAAAACATAACTGGAGTTGTGTTTTGTTTCATTCACATATGTTTGAGCGATGCATTATTAGCCTGTCTATGCCTCCAAAGCTCAAAACGCTCCGTGCCACCACCATTAAGCTGTAATTTTCAAGTTAACAGCTACCTTTCACTTTTGTTCAGTAAAATTTGGTAATTCTAGGGCTGAAATTATCCAAATAGTTCTAGTGAAGGTGTATGGAGTTTAAAAACACAATGTATGTTACATCACAAGTCCAGGTATGTTTGTGACGAGGAAACATTATAACACAGATCAGAAAATTGTGTAATACTGTATAGGCCTTTTTATTCAATGGTTTCATTTGCATATATATATTTGCACACACAATATTTGCATTATATACTATACGAGTATACTGCATTATATATAGTATTGTTAATTTTCACATGGATGCTTGTATCTGCTTCACAAATGTTCATGTAGCAAATGTCCTAACGCATGCTTAAGGCCACAGCAGCACATTAGTGGACTGGACCACATGAATCTTTCAGAGCTGTCCGCCTACATCCCTGCTTTTTGTGCAGTGAGCTTGAAAGCATGTGAATTTTTAAACCTCTGCTAACCGACATTACAACCACTCAAGTGTCTAAAATGGGTGTAAAAGTGAAGTGAATCTTACATAGAAGAGAGGAGAAGTTGGAGTTGTGGTGCCGTGGTTGGACTCTCCGTTGCTATCACTGAAAGGGTGGAGTAAGCCCAGAGCCAACATTGTCTGACATAGGTCCTTTGCTTCTTGGCCCGTACAGCCCTCCCCCTGCTGCAAACTCACCCTCTCCAGCAAGGTCTGACCTGAGAAAAACACAGAGATGTATCATAGTAAGTGACACAGTGACAACTAGGACTGTTACAATAAATACTCGCTTCACTTCTATCACTTTACTTATTCACTTATTATTATTACTGATTCACTTATATCTAACTATATATATCATTCAGTATATGTTTGATGAGTCAATCATTTTAGGGGGTCAATATCTAGCATTTATTCATTATGGATATTTCTATTGCTCAAAAACACAATAATTTTTCTGTGAGTAGGGGCTACTCTCCACTGATCTGAAATGTAATGTAGCATAGTGCTGTAACATGCTTGTCTCCCTCGTGATAGATACGTTTAAACTATACTGTGGAACATTCAAGACAGAACATTTCAATGGAGACAAGCAGGTGGCAGCCCCTCCACAGTGCACGGTTATTGTGTCAGTGGTATCAATAATCAAATCAATATTATATTTATCATCTATATTTTTTTATATTCGTACATAATTTTTATCATGACAGGCCTAGTGATGACGACATTGAACTTTTTTGTCATCTTCTGAATTAAAGGTGCATGCCGTGTCTGTTTCGCCACTCTCTTTAAATAAATGTGTTTGGGATGTGATAATTAAACACCTACTCCTTATTCACACTGAGTACATGAATTGTCAGGAGATGTGGTGTTAATTAGGCAGTGTCAAAGTTACAGTAGTGCAAAGGGAAGGTGTAGCAGAGTTATGTTAATTATAATGAACTTTAAAATGTTAAGGTGAGAAACTTTGGTTGGATTGCTATTATTATTATATGTCATAAATAAGTATTAGTCAACCATAAACCACTGATACTGAGATTACTATTTCTTCTACAATTGCTATCACTACCACAATCCCTACAACAATTTCTATTGCAACAATAACTATTACTTAATAATTCTTATTACCATCACTTCTACTACAGTAGCAGACAGTTAGTGTTGTCATGATGCTAAAATTTCAAACTCAATTTCGATACTACTGGGCTTGATAATCAATACTGATTCTGACTCTATCCATGGCTGTATGCTAGTCTATGTGGTCTTATACTTTCTCTGATATAGCTCAAGATCATTCTAAAGCTATTTGGGAAAGGTTCATTTCTGTCCTGTGAATGTGACTTTTTTAGTATTGATACTTGCTAAAATGAGTATCTAATTATGATACCTCCAATACTTTTGACAACTACAATTTCAATCTCTAAGTCAATGTTATATTTTATTTAGATTAAATAACACTTGAAGTGTCTCTAAATAAATCACTAGACAATCAATCTGATGCATTATAAAATCTCTGCTCTGCTGTTACAAGGTCGACTAGACAAGATTCGAATGGATGTCAACTCATGACTCATTTGTATCAAGCAGATAAGCTGCCATGAGGATTTAGCATCTAAAACTGCACACAGGGGAGACAGGGGGTGGGCATTTATCTCATTGTGGGGACAAAAATGTGTGTACACATTCACATCATACCTTTGGCTGGGGGAAAAAATCAGGTTCACTAATGCAAATCCTTTATAATTAGATCAACAACGCAATTTAGAATATGGGTTAAAATAGGTCAGGGTTTAGATTAGGTAAGTACTAAGTAGAGACTATGGTTAAGGATCAATGTAATGTCCCCAAAAATCATGGAAACCCAGCCCCTGTGTGTGATAGTGGAGCCTGTGGATGAGGCCAGAGCCTCTGTTGTCATTCTCATTGTGCTTTATGAGCGCAGGTTCAGACAGTGCAGAGCAGCTGAGCCCTATAGTCACCACAGAGCAGACCACACAGAGCCACTGTGGTGTTCAGGGGATGCTTTTGTTCCACACACTCCACTGTAACTCCACTGTGTCATCAGGCCTTTCATCGCTGCCTTCACCCCTGCTGAGATCATTTGTACAATATGACAATGTGAGTTCATTATGAGAGAAATCAACACGCAGTTACACTAATCACCAAACATTATCTCATTGCATAATGACCCAATCTGAAATACAGAACTGAACTCCAGCAGACACATGATGGCACAAGTGAGATTTCTAGGAGCAGGTGAAACACTACAGTTTGGATGGCTATGGTCATTTAAAAAGACTGAATAAACCAGAGAAAGGTCACAAAGCAATTAAAATAGAATTTTATAAATTTCAGTCATTTTATGCGAAATGAATCAACAGCCCAAATAGGCCTGTAACCCAAGCATCAGTGCAAATTTGATTAATTGTTGTAGGATTTAAATAGTAGTATACAGTGCAGAATTATTCCAGCTTCATGCATAGTTAAAAAAATCTTAACAAAGGCTGTTTAATGTCAAATAATAGGCTAGTAAAATAATCTGTCCTACTCGCATCATTTGATGAAACAAACATGAAACTAATTTAGGCTCACCCTATGTGCTTCAGTGACCATTTCCTCTCTTAAAAAAAAAAAAAAAAAAAAAATATATATATATATATATATATATATATATATATATATATATATATATATATATATGATGTTTGTACATTTCATTAACATGTGAGTTCACTGATTATTTACGTGGAGATGCTAATGTTTTGTAGCCTCTTTGCTAATGCATTATTTGTGCAGAAGTCTCACTTCAAAGACAAGAAAACTGTAAAGACGTTACATTACCCCAATCGTAGCTCGGGTTTGGGAAATAATGACCTGATGAAGGCTTATGCTACGTACCCAGAGCAGGAGAGGAGGGATCTACAGGTTTGCTGATAATGTTCGTTGTTTTTAGCTAAAACAGGGTCAAAACGTGACTGTGGCTGATATGACCAGTGATCAGATATGAATTATGTAAATCCTACACTGCAGTTAGACCTAATTATAGCTTTAGACCAGGACTAATGTAGGCTTAAAGTAGCCAAGAGAAATTGTTATATTGACTGTAGTCTAAATATAGGCTATGTTTTTGCCAAATCACTCTGCTCTAAAGACACGATCAGTGGCAGGATTTTGACCTTTAGGCACAGATTAACAGCACCTTAACTACAGAAGATTATATTAAACACTGTGTTTTTTGAATGATTAAGTGTAAATGTTGTAGGCTACATAATATAATTGTATTCAATAAAGTTTAATGCTGTATTGTATAAATGTAGTTTTCCTTCATACTTTGTTACAGTGCTGTGACTCACCAGAGAAGACATCCAGGTAGGGAGTTGGGGTGTTGGAGGCTTGCCGGACATAGTGTGCTCTCCTGGATCCCAGAGTCCAGTAGGTGCCAGCTGTAAAAACCTTGTCTTGTGTTTCCTTCTCTTCTGCTTTGACTTCACTCTTAGGCTTAATGTCCAACTCCAGGTCTGCTTCCCATTCTTTAGCACTCAAGGGCCCACCAATGGAAGAAGACCTCTGCTTCCTCTTTCGGAACCCTGACGCCTCTGCACTTGAGTCCTGGGCTGTGGGTTCCTTCCTGGGCACGTTGGGGCTAGTTAAAGGAGAACCTATGGGAGAGGTGAGTTGTCTGGTGGTGGTCTTCACATAAGAGGGGTGCACAGGAGGGTAGAGTTTGACTGTCGAGCTTCTTCTTCTTGTCTGTGAATCTATGTTTAGCTGATTGGATGACATACTATTCTTCCTTCTTTTGAGTGACAGGAAGTTTTGTTTTCTAAGTTCCTCCTCCTCCCCTCTCTCCATTGACAGATCGGTGCTGCTTACACTCTTCTGACCACAAAGAGGCCCTGCACCTGCTACAATACCAGCATCCAGGTAAATATTTGGAACACACATTTTACTCTGCAGGCCTGAACTGACTGGAACCGGGCTCTCTAGCTCATCCTGGGGCTCCTCTGCACTCTCATAGGATGTTGTAGTGCCTGTAGTATCTGGAAAACTATATGTGCTGTTTGTTTTGGGGAAAAGGCTACTATTGCTTAGTTCTGCCAACTGTCCACTTTCACCAGACGAATCTCTAGACATTGGAATACCCTGGCTCGCATTTTCTATGGTCTTTGCTGCACTTGTGGGAGTTAAAGCTTGCTTATTCTTGCTACTTATGACTTTGCCCTCAGCGGTTGACCTTTGGGAGTACTGACTGACCATTAGCTCTAGCAACTCTTCGGTTTCGACACACTGCTGTCTTATGCTCATTTGGATGTCTTTTAAAAGGTCGTCATTGTCCATTGCCGCAGAGTGAAAGCTGTAGAGGTCAATGTCTGATCCTGAGCTTGTTTTGTGTCCATTCTCTCCAGACTGCGCCCCGTTTAACACAAAATAGTTTGAATCTCCTTCATAATCTGACAACATTCCAAAATCATCCACGGATCGACTTGCTTCCACTTTCTGTTCTTCCAGGATATCTTCTTTGGAGGATCTTTTAGCCTTTTTGATCTTCATGTTGGAAAATACAGAAGTTTTTGAATCTGACTTTGCTTTCTTCTTGCTCTCTGCTTTGTTTTGCAACTTTTTCGATTTCTTGTCCACATCTCTATCATCATCTCCATCACACTGGGCATCCCCCGCTGCTCCTCCACTCGTTTTCTTCTGTTTTGCCTCTTGATTGCCCATATTCCTGAACAGGCGCACCCCTTTGGCTAACAGGCTGTGGTGCTGTGCTCGTGGCGGGGCATCCTGGTCTTTTTCCTGGGCTACCGCTGCTCCTCCCCGGCTGTTCTTTCGCTCCGATCTGTCCGCGCAGCTTAATCCCTGCTGCCGTGCCAACTCACTCAGATGTGATGCTGATGCTGGGGATGCTACGGGGAGTGGGAGGAGACTCGCGCTGGCACTACCATTCACCCCCCTGCTGCCCGGCTTACTCACTCTCTCGTGGGCTTGTTTGGCCCCTCCCCTCCCTTACATAATGGACTGCTGTTGGAGCGCATTAGGCACAGATGCTGGGAAGGCTCTGAAGGGGAAATGATTTGCTGTGCAGTTGGGTGTTTGTGTTCTAAGATGCACTGCTGTTGTTGGAGGTGGGGCACGTGCTGCTGTCTGCGGAGGATGTTGCTCATGCTGCTCTTACGCCTCCCTTTAAATGTGGAGGTGAATAAACTCTCTTTGAGGAAGGGCACTTGTGTCTCCACTGTCTTGATAGTCTGCATTTTGAGATCTATAGGGGAAAGATAGTCATTCATGTCAATGGTTATAATAAAACGAGTTAGGAATTTTTATTACTGAAAGTCCTATACACAAAATTGACTCTGGTGAGCTTTTTGACTTAACATTGTTACCTTCTCAAATACATACCTGGAGTTGTGTTTTGTTTCATTCACAACTGTCTGAATAACCCTTTATTATTATTCCACAACTCAAAATGCTCCGTTTTCAAGTTAACAGGAACCTTTTACCTTTACTTCTGTAGAGATTGGCAATTCCAGAAATAATCCAAATGATTCTAGTGACTTGGAATGTCCCACTGTATGGCATTAAACATATCGGTCTTCATGTATACAGGCAGGCAGGCAAAGTTGCAGGTCATATCTGTGAAGACGGGAGTCTGTTTACAGTAAGAATCCTTGTTTTCCAAGGTGTATATGAGCAATAAAAACACCTGTCATTGACTAAATGCAAGATAGGGCTGCACAATGAATCGATGTGAAATCAAAATCACAATTTGTCATGTTCCACTTAAAGACTGCAAACTCAGTAGTTTAGATCTGTATAAACATGTTCTAAATTGTGATTCTTGTATTAGTTTGTCTGTTCAGAATTTTTGAGAATTCTTCATGACATTATTAAAAAAAATCAGATAATCTAAATGCAATCATCCCTCTTATTCATCCTTAATAGATTTTAACATCATACTGTGGAACATTCCAGCCAATGCCATAACATTTCCAGAGAGATAAGGAGGTGGCTGACCCTCAACAGAGAAGTCACAAAGTGCACCTTTAGTATGTTACAAGAAGTATGTACGTAATAGAGATGTTCTCACATGATTCAGTGATTGAAAAAGCCTTTAGTTCTAACATCATAACATCTTTACAGCAACATAATTAATTTACACACATCAGTTTAACCTTTCTTATTTATGGACTGTTGTTATGTAATGTCAATAGTACACTGCATTCTTGCGATTAAGTAGTTAAGAGAACATGTAAGTAAATTACCATATTCTCAAAAATCTTTAAATTATATATTTGATAAATACGTTTTTAATTTTATGCTCTTCTGTTGGTGCTGTTTGTGTATGTAGTGCTATTGACTTTTACACTACGCACACTGGTCGGCCACAAATGTGCTATATATTGAATTTAGGTTTAAGTTATATTCTAGAAAAAACATCACAAACTATAAATATTATGATCTGTGCGGTCAACCAATTAAGAAATTAAGTAGATGTTTCTAACGGTCTAAAGTTTGTTGGTATAATCAGTGTTTATTTAATAATGTACCTTCAAAACATTGTGAGCAAATGTATTGTTATACCAAGAAGACTGCAACCCATACACTCCATAAAGTATGCAGAGCCGCCACAAGTCCAATTAAGAAGAGTTTGTTCAAAACACAAAAAGACCATATTATGTAATCCCTATAGTGTAATTTGAATGGTGTACTTGCCTGTTGGATGGACTCGCCTCAGTGGTTCCAGACTGACTAAGAGGAGAGACAGACTCGGGTTTGTCTTAAGATGAGAGCCGCTCCTTAGCCTGGGTCACATGAAGCTGGTATTTTCCTCATCACATGTCTGCTCTTCCTTAGCTATCTCCATTAGCAGTGTCTGAGAAACAGCCCCTAACTGCATCATTGGAACAGGGGAGCGCAAAGAAGTACTCTCTGGTGTACTGGGCCCTGAGTTTTAGTCATACACAGCAATGATGAGGTAGAATATCTCCACAGGACCATAAACATGTATTTAATGCAGAGGTGGGAGGAAAAAAGCATAGTATTGCATTTGTTTTTTAGGAGATGCAAACTTAGAATATAGTCTTTATCTTAAAAAAGTGGTTGCAATATAGAGAAACAGCAGACTTGCTGTGTATTCTTTCAAACATGGGTATAAAGTGAAATTGTTTAAAAATACAATCCACTTTTTGTGCAATACTTGAACCTCTATCATGTTTTAGCACATTTCTGATGAACTGTCACAATATTGTCTGAATATAATCATTGGGATACACAAAAATATTACAATATTTACTTCTGTCAATACTGCTCATCACTAGTAATATTTTTTAGAGTAACTAAGTCATTTAATCTTAATTATTTTTCATTACACTGTAGTTGCTTTTGTTCTTCCGCCCAGCTGGTTTTTGGACTGCACAGAAGAAATTTAGACTTGTGGGGCAAGTAATTTTAATTCTGCATATTTTTATGTATTTATAATAATGTGTGAATAATGTCAGTCAACCAGACAACACAAGACAGGCAGCTTTAGTGTCAGTAAAGTCTTTTAATGACTTAAAATACAAATATGAATAGATTTGGCATACTTAAAATGTAACAAAATGTTTGTGGCAACATCATAATAGTGTACATTCTTAATATTTAGAACAAAAAAATCTCTTATTTCATAAAGAACGCACTGTCACACTATAGCACACTGATAAAGCAGACAAAAAAATTCACTGATGATGGGGATGGGAGATTTAAAATGTTTTTCACACAGCACATAAGCCATCCTTTTATGTTATAATCACAGTCATCCTAATATATAGTCTTCAATATATAGAATTATCCTCCACCTACATTCTTAATATATATTTGCTTCTGAAAATATCGGGTGATTCAACATTGCATTCGTCCAATGTCATTACAGATACATTTTCTATTTCTTTTTGAATCATGGGCCCCTGACATTGAATTATTATTCACATATTAATCAATAAAGTAAATGAATTACACTTAAATATTAGTCTTAATAGTGTCAGAACATAGAAAAGAAGACTCAAGTTTTGAGTTTTCCTCGTGCTAGGTAACTATTTTAAGATGTATGTGATATTGCACAAGCTAAAAGAAAAGGCAATTTCCTTTAGAGGCTAGCCTTTATATTTGCAAAATATTGGCAAATATAGTTCACTGTGTATCAGTATCAGAACTGACAGTGTCACACCTTAATTTGACCACTAGAGGGTATCATTGCTCTACAATACTAAAGGTGTATTGGCCTTCTTACAGTACAGCTTTGAAAATGCAAAATCATAATACACTGATGTATTTATGAGTGCAATCAGCCACCAAATGTGATGAAGAAATATTGAAATATACACAAACATAATATTTTTATGATCATTACAGAATAATCAATACTCTTCACAGAAAATCCTGAAGCACATAAAACACAACCCAAGTACTTTAGTGTCCACCATAAAAACACAACAATCACATTGAACACAACAGCAGTTCACTGACTGTGGTGCCACACATAGCCACAACTCAGTTCTTTTTCTGGCTCAAAATCTCGTAAATACCTAGACAAAAAAAATCCAATATCACAAAAATACAGCTCTGTATTGACTGCAGTAAGGACGCATATTAAGAACGCTTTATAACCCATCATCATACACAGGAAAGCTATAACCATGTAGAAAGGCAATGTACACAGTTCCGATAGAAACTTTGTGCCAGTTGGTATGGCATCACAAACTCTTACGGTCTTGGCTTTTTAGTGACAATTCACAAGTACATTGTTTTGTTTTAAAATGAAAACTGTTCCTTACAAATCTAGCTACCCACAGAAAATGGAAGGAAATGTAAATCCAATACTTCTATCCATTTGAATCAATAGCACTTGAAATATATCAATGCATTTTTCAAAACTTAGACAAGTCTCTCCCAGCACATAGTTTAGCCCTTTTCTTGAATGCTCTTTTCAGTTCATTCTAAAACTTACATGAAATGATTCTTGAAGGACAGACTCCACCTTCACATGACTTCAAGCACACACATTATAGGCACACATGTACCATCACAAACATGGCAGGGACACCACATGTTTGTTTAACATAGGTGTGCTGTGTTCAACCAGAAACACAGGAAGGATTTATAAGCAAAGAACTCCACAGAAACAACATGAGGATGCTTCTCAGGTTTGCTTGTCCCATGGGAAATGTATTCACCCTTCATTCTAATAATCTGTTCTTTACGTGGACTCTCGTGGAATCCTCCGGTGGAAGACTACAGACTGTCTCTGTTCAAACTGCTGCTTCCTCCTCTTCTTCTGGTCCCATTGGCACAGGAGGATCATCTTGAAGGTGGTCCGAAACGTCTTGTTGCAGAGGGCGTAGCACATGGGGTTGACCGTGCTGTTGACATAGCACAGCCAATAGCCCACCGCCCACAGCACACCAGGGATGCAGCCCTTACAGAAGGCATTGATGAGCACCATGATGTTGTAAGGTGTCCACGTGATGATGAATGCAAACAGGATGGCACTTAGTGTCTGAGCTGCCTTCTTTTCTTTAACCAGGGACATGCGCTTTCTCTTGGTGATCTGGTTTCGAGCTCGGGCTGCAAAGCGCTTTGCCAGAGCTGCCTCTTTGAATGAAATTGGGACAGAGGGAGATTTTGTGGTCATGCTGGTGGTAGAAGAATCATTGGCAGTGGTTGTTTGACCGTCTAACAAGTTTGTATTGGCATTAGCTTGAATGCTGGGCATTGACTGGATCTTACGGGCCATGAAGCGTTGGTGGTAACTGTTGTTTGTGCTGATAGCCCCATCTGAAGTGGTTGACGTTGTGGTGTTTGTTGTGGCCCTTGTGAGGCTGTCCTGACTGTACTCGGCGCCCCTCAGGGGGTCCTCCTCTGACACAGCATCTAAATCTTCACATGATGTGAGCTGGGAGTTGACCGCAGCCTTAATCCCTGGAAGACTAAGGACAATGGAGAAAATGGTGTGACTCTGGGAAAGCATTTCTTTCCCTCCACAGTCCTCCTCCTCTGATGAGCCAGACTGGTCCATGGACATGGCAGCATCATTGTTGTTCCAGCTGTCACTGCTGCTCTGATCCGGGTCCCCCTCTCCATGTCTGATACTACCAGGTTTCCAGGATCGAACTCCAGGCCAACAGTGTAGGCGACCAACCAGCTCTCTGCATGCACTTTTTCTCCGGGACATTCTGGTAAGCTCATAGCTGCCACAGCTTCGCCCACTTCCTGTTTGATGGACAAAATGGGCCTTCTCTCCTGTACCATTCCCACTTTTTTGTCCAATGGCACCACGTCCAACAGACCCTTGCAAACCAGCCAGCTCTTTAGAGCGGTTCTGAGTTTCCTTGTAAATTCGCCAGTACAGAACACTCATAATTGTCACAGGCAGATAGAAGGCTGCCATGGCTGTGCAGAACGTTATTGTGGGCTCAGATAAAAATTGAATGTAGCATTCATGTGAGGGTACTGTCCTCTCTCCCTCAAAAAACTGCCAGAGCAGAATAGCTGGTGCCCACAGCACCAGAGACACAAACCAGGCCAACCCGATCATAATCCCTGCCCTCTTAGTGGTCCGTTTGGCCCGGTAGGTCAGAGGTCTGGTGATGGAGAAGTAGCGGTCAAAGCTGATGACCAGTAAGTTCATTACTGAGGCATTGCTGGCCACATAGTCTATAGCGAGCCATAAATCACATGCCCAGTTTCCCATGGCCCAGTAGCCCATCACCAAAAAAGCTGTGTACACGTTCATAGAGATGACCCCAATGATGAGGTCAGCTACAGCCAAACTCAGCAGGAAGTAGTTATTGACTGTCTTTAGCTGGCGGTTGACCTTGAATGACACAACAACGAGGATGTTGCCAATTATGGTGACAAGTGAGAGCATCCCTGTGACCAGGACGATTAAAACCACCTGCCACAACTGGTGACCCCCCAAAGGGTCAAAGATGTCTGGGCCCCCATTGGGGACTTGTGTGGTGTTGTTCCACAGTCTGTTAGCTGAAGAGGAGTTGTCATCCAGGCTGCTCATGGAGTAAACAAACCCTGAGCTTCCTCCAGTTTGTCCTTGGTAGAGAGCATTGGATTGTGGGTAGGCTCCTGCAGCGGGTGTTAAAGTGATGGCAGTAAGGAAGAGGCCAGGGTCTGTGCTGTTGGAGCTCATTGTTAGGTCCTGGCATATTCTGTGAGGGAAGAACACAAAACAGAAAAAAAACATCAATACAAATTTCATGGCAGACTTAGTTCACAGTTTAACCAGTAGGGGAAGCTAGAGTACCATTACAGACACTCAACAGTGACAGCGAAAGCGGATGATCTGATTTTGTAGGCAACAAATGTGTCAAAATTCAAACTTTGCGTTAATCAGTTTAAATTTATTTTGAATATGCCAAACATAACACATAGTACCCAAACAACAGTTTTTTAATTTGTATTTTATAGTATATTTATACAAGCAAGCACTTATGCATCATTCAATGTGTAATCTGACCATTATTTGCATACATGTGTGAAAAAAAATGTTATTCATTATTATTGATTTTTTTTTCGCTGAATCCTTGATCAGTATTATAATAAACATTGATTATACAGATGGACCTCTCAAAATGTCACAAAAATGACCTTTCTCTAAATGTGTGGTAGGTTTTACAAAAGGAAGGCCATGCAGAAGTGAGGAGCAATTCTGTTTTTCAGAAAGCATCTTCTGAGAATAAATTATATACATAGAAGCAAGATACCACCTGCATAGAATGGTGTTTGTTGTTTTAAGAAAATCAGCCAAAACACAAACCCCTGCTGGGTCTACCAAAGCAAGTTGTGATGAATGAGAAAGAACTTGAGAAAATATTTTGTAAAGCAGGGTGTCTTGTTATGTGGGTTTGTCTATGCAATTATCTATAATTGTCACTGTGATTGTATTTAGTCAACTTGTAAAACAGTGCTGCAAAAATCAGAAAAAAACAGCCAATTAAATATCTTGTGAGCCATATATAATTATGTGAAACGGCAACAGTAATGTGAAAGATGAGAAAGAAGATAGTATAGGTACAAAAGTAGAAATATATATATATTTTGTATATAACCAGACCAAGGAAGACTAGGTTAGTGCTGTACATGTTACCAAGAGACAAAATAGAAGAAATGTACAGATTATTGTAAAAAAGAAGTTCAGAGGAGCCCACTTGATGCCACAGGGAATGCTATTTGAAGCTGAATGTTGCACCTGTGCTTTGGCAGAGACTTATCCCTCCCTCTGAGACACTAAGGAACCCAGTGGCCAACAGCGACTCACTGCCATCACAGCACCAAGAGATCCTTCTATCTCCTCCTATAGCAGCATGTCCCCTGTATACACGCATAACAATATACATGTGTATTGAATAAGAGATGTGCTAAACATAAAGCACTACCATTTGAGAAAGCAAGACATTAAAACTAAAGCTCCAAGAGGGAAATGTAAATGAACAATAAACAATAAAGGTGAATGCCTTTAAGAGCAAACATAAAGAACTGTTTATGCCTGCATAAAAGCCTCACCCATGTGCACAGTACTTTTAAATGTTTACAAAGCTAGTTTGACCCAGCACCTCCCTGTGCATTGCTGCTAATGAGTGTTAAACATACTTCAAATGGTTTATGGAGCAAACTGTGTCTATGTGAAGATAAGAACTAAAAAATCCTCAAATGAGCCTTTTATCTTTTACCTTGAGTTTACGTAAACAGAAGTGAAAATGAATTAGAAAAACAAATCTAAAGCTGTATATCTCACAAACACTTAGTTTCAGAGACTGGACTCTTGACGTATATCCTGCTGGAAGTGAGCCAGACGTCAGACTGACTGAGATTCGGACTTCTTTGTCTGACAGCTCCAGAGAGGCTAAATCTGCCCAGATAAGTCAGGTAAGCCCCTGGCTGTCAGGAATCCTTCTATGAAATACAATGGCCTGACTACATGTGAAGTATGCATATACAGTAAGCCGGCTGTATTTGAGTATGTTTTATTCATGCACTACACAGTACCACAGCAAATACATTCACACATGGTACAATTGAGCCTTGCTTATGCTCTAAATCTGAATTGTTATCTTTTTCAAATTTAAATTCATAAAGCCCAAAGCAACAACTTTTGGCAAACTGTGCAACAGAGATAGTACTTTAATTGTTTATGTACCCTGAACTTGAACTGATTGAGCTGTCACTTGTCAGAGATGGCATCCTTCTGGGGTAACATGGTAGCCCAGCCAGCCCTCTGATAAGCAGATGTTTGGGCACTAAGCATGGAAACTTTGTTTTTATAGCATTATGTTTGTTGAGCATGTTAGTTTGCCTTCTATGCTATCTATTCTTCATTACTGTGCTGCAATGCAATGTTCCCTGACATTCTGAAGCATTTGTCCCAGCATCTTGGAGAGTACAACAGATCCAGGGATCTGTTGGAATAGCTAAGTGACAAATATCGAACTATTTCTGTTTTCTATTTATATTTCTATTAACAGTCAAACTTTAATCAGATGTGCACAGTAATGTTTCTTTCACATTGCTCTCATTTTCAAGTGAGTTACATCAACAGCCTTTTTAACATGATGCGCTTCGCTTTGAGGACTTACTGATGCAGTTTCCTGTTTTTTTTAATTCCTAGCAGCTCAGTTGCTCCATAAATATTCATGCATTCAAATAAGACTTAGCAACTTTTCGGTACTAAACATGTATAAATTCCTTACAAACTGCACTTCAGGGATGGAACGTACGGCAGTAAAAACAAGTTGTCCATGAGAGACGTACAAACAAACAAAATACCACTCTGGCCAAGATAAAGAGATGCAATCACTTTGTCGAGAACTGGTCCGAGCTGTAATAGAAGAGCTGATTGGAGCAGACTGTGTTGCCCAGCGCTGACAATAGAAAGAAGGTAAATGTGGGCAGTTAGTCATCCTGCAGAGGCCAGTCTTCACAATCAGTGTCTGGCCTCTCTCCTCTATGTAAATGAGAGCGCGATGGAAGCCAGCACACAAGCAAAGGTGGAAAAAATACTGCATATGTGTAAAATAAAAAGAAAAAACTATGGTTAAAATCAATTCTTCTCAGTTAACTTTTACTTTAAGGTTTAGTATGTAACTTTTTCTGGTAGAGGGTCTGCCACCTACTTGTTCCCATATGTTTCACAGTATGGCATTAAACATATTTATCTCCATAGACACAAGCACTACACGCCACCAGGCCAAGTTACAGGCCAGATTTGTGGAGAGGTGACCCTGCTCACATGAAGAATGCAAGTTTTTCAAAGTATTTCTGAGCAATTAAAACAACTGTAAGTGAACAAATGCAAGTAGAAATGCTTAATGCCATACTGTGGAACATCTGAAGAAGACTAAGCGTTTGGCTGCAGTCAAATGAAGCTTACAGAGGCTAGAAGTTATGGGGCGAATTTGGAGGAAAGTTCCAGATCAGGAGTAGGAATAAATTTACGGACAAAATAGCAAAATAACAATCATGTAGAGCGGTTAATACAAACATTTTAAGAACAAAATGTGGAGCCTGACAGCAGCAGTTAACAAGAGAGAGGTGCAACAGTTTTTCATCCATGCTCACTTCCTATTTGAAACGCAATGCTTGGTGGGCTAGCTATGTCCATTTATATATACAGTCTACAGGAACATCACAGACAAAACAATAAAATCTCCATGGACTCAAGCGGATGGCTGAACTTCCACCAGAAAAGGTTACAGTGCGCCTTTAAGTATTTTTTCCTTATAGCTTCCTTATATTGATGAGGAAGTGACATCATACATCTACAGGCGAAACAAGCACGACCAGATTCTTTGATGTGTTCAGAGCATTGTGCCTACATGTATGAGAGTATGTAGTGACTGTATATAACATAATGGGCTTGATACATGATCCAAGTAGAGCATAAATTCCAGGTCGTATATTGAGCCTAGAGATAAAGTGTGTGAAGGTGAAATAAGATCATACCGCATTGCTACAACAGGTCCGGTACACCGATCGATTACGCTTCTATTGAGTGAAAAGCCTTGTGGGTAATGAAGGGGCCGGGATACACCAACTTTGACCTACAAGTTTTATCTTGCATGTGCAAATACGACACCGCTGAGTGACGTAAGATGAAGTGTACAAGCAAAGTGAAGTCTCTAAAGATAGACTTCGATGAAAGATGGATCAATAGGAAGATGAGCTATTCAAAGCACAGGTATATTTAAAGGGCCCATACTACGCTATTTTCTGATCTACAGTATGTTATAATGTTGCTTATAATGTTGCCTCATCAAAAACACCTTGAGTTGTGTTTTGTTTAATTCACATATTTTTAACACACAAATCTTGCATATTTAGGCTGAGTTCTTCCCTCAAGCAATAAAGGAAGTGTTGCATTATGTTTTTAAACTCCATACACCTTCACTACAATTATTTGGATGATTTAAGTGCTCTAATTTCCAATCTCTACTGAAATAAATGTAAAAGGGAGCTGTTAACTTGAAAACTACCACTACATGACATCACAAAGTGGAACAGAACTCCAGGTTTTTGAAAAGGTAACAACATTCTTACACGGCTTAAAGCTCATAAGAGTCAATTTTGTGTAATTTAGGACCTTTAAAAAGAAAAATAAAGACACAGAGACACAAGAAGCTAAGGAATGCCAATTATCCATATAATTTTGTCTGCTTGTCTCCATGGAGATGTTCCATATTATAGCCTTACACCTATCTATCTCCATGTAGACAGGCCAAATTACAGATCTGCGGAGAGATAACCCTGAGAGGAGAGAGGGGGAAAAACACAACCGTAAAACCTCAACAAGACTATTATTAAACACCCACTAACTGTCTTCCATCACTTATAACCATTGAGATAATGGCTGTTTATAATTGGAAAAGGGGATAATTATATAATGTCTATTAAAAGTATGCAAAAGAGTAGCAAATGTGAGAGAAGGCACTGTACAATCCAAAATAGCATTTTTCCTGTGTCTAATAAATACATTTTTGTACATGCATGTTAAAAGGGAATTTTAGAAAGTACCTTAACAGTCTATCAGAAAAAAATATATATATATTATATATATATATATATGTATATATATATATAGATAGATAGATAGATAGATATAGATATATAGATAGATACACATACATACATATATAAAAATACATTTTAGAGTGAT